CGGGATCGGGATTTCCTTTAAGTACACATGAAATATGGAAGGTCATCAAGGAAAACAAGGACTTGGATCTTCCCGCGCATAAGGTCCTTTAAGAAACGTCGGTGTTTAATTTTTAATGTCTAAAATTTATATTTCAGGTTATGGTAGCTACCGTGCGCTGCGAAGAAATTGCAAACGAGAAGTTTTTGGCACTTTCAGCTGATGAGGTACGAAGAAATGTTTTTTCATACTGTTTTGAAAAATCTTTTTGAAATACACTCGTTTTTATCAGGAATGGAGGGAGCTCTCTGAGGCTGCAAAGTCCGTTCCAGTTGCGGGATTTGGAAAAAGACTAGATTCATTACTGGATCAGTATGTTAGCTCGTAAGTATGCCCATCTTGCCCCGTTGTATGTAAGTAAATGTTTGTTTTTCAGGTACGATTCAGAAGCAGCATACTTCGATGCACAAGTTCGAGACCATAAAAGAGAATTCTTGATGAATCGAATCTTGGAGGTATTATGGTGCCAGGTTTACTTCTAAAACTGGTTTCATGTTGATTTGATGCAGCTTGTTCAACCGTCCTATCAAGCAGTTCTAGCTCACTATAGAGCGAAAGCGTTAGCAACCTTCAAGCAGGCTGCTGACGCAAGCTCCGCATCGTCGGAAACAGAAGGATTTGCAGCTGCAATAAGAAGATGCACTAAAGAATGTCTTGACGAGTTTGACCGCGGCTGCGAAGGTAATTTATTGTTGGCCAAATTCTTCTCATCTTGACAAAATGTTGCAGATGCAAATGTTAAACTTGCTGGTTGGGATTCTTCAAAGGTCAAGGAAAAGCTTCGTAGAGATGTAGATGCTCACGCATCCAACCTGAAAGCGAAACGGCTTGCGGAAATAGTGGGAAAGTCGGAGGTAACATCGAGGATTTTAATATCTTCAATTAACAGTATAAACTGTACAGCGGCAACTAGAGGACGTTTTGGGGAACTCTGTGTCAACATTACTAGATGCGGCATCATCAGATACTTGGCCGTCGCTGAGAACTTTGGTGGCTCATGAAACTAATTTGGCTAAAGACGCTTTACTGCAAGCTGTCTCGGGCTTTGAGCTAGATGCAGCGGAATTAAGGAGGATCGAAGAGGACTTTGTAGCTTTTGGGCGAAATGTGGTTGAGAAAAGAGCCAGAGAAGAAGCAAGTCAAGCTTTAATTCGCATGAAGGATAGGTACCGCCTTTTTAACTTTCTCTGTCGGTCTTATATGTTTGGATTACAGATTCAACACAGTTTTTAGCCACGATGAGGACTTGATGCCAAGGGTATGGACCGGTGAAGAAGACGTGAGAATGATCACGAAAGACGCTCGTTTATCGGTAATCGTTTTATGTTCGTTTCATCAACCACAGCACTAACAAACAAGTATATGATGGCAGGCTATTAAGCTTCTTTCTGTGCTATCTGTGATACGCTTGGAAGAAGATGCTTCTGATAACGTCGAGGAAACACTGACTGGGTTGCTCGGAGAAATTCCAGAACGCTTGCAATCTCCAGCTAATGCAACTGCAGTGGACAGGTCCTTGGCAACGTCAGCTTCCAGCGCGTTGGCTGCAAGTACCTGGGATGGAGTAAGCTGGGAGATCAAAAGCCTTTCTTCTAACTGCGAGATTACCTTTGCAGGTTCCATCGGAGAAAATGTTGTTGAGTCCAATAGATTGTCGAAATCTATGGAGACAGTTCAAAGCTGAGACTGAGTACACTGTCAGTCAAGCTCTAGCTGCACAGGTTGGTATTCTCAACCTTCTTGATTCATTTTCTCTTTCTTATATTTTCGCAGGAGGCAAACAAGCGCGGTGCTTCCTGGCTACCTCCACCCTGGGCGATTGTCGCCATGGTGGTTCTCGGATTCAACGAGTTCATGGCTTTACTAAGGTGATACATGGTCGCGTCATATATCTTTACTGAGATGTCTATACCCAGGAATCCTATCTACTTGGCAGTTGTCTTCGTTCTCTACTTGGTGGGTAAGGCCGTGTGGGTGCAACTCGACATTGGCCGTGAGTTCCAAAATGGAATGGTAAGTATTTTCCTTGTCTTCTAGATAGCCGAGTTCTCACGCTCGATGTTCTCTCAGCTATCCGGGATGATCTCGATCTCCACAAAGCTGCTCCCAACGTTCATGAACATAATGAAGCGCCTGGTGGAAGAGGGCCAGCAAGCAACCACGGGAAGCAGCGGCGTCTACCGTGAGGTCCCAATGGAAGAATTTCCATCCAGCAGCGATAGCTCGTCCTCGGAGAGCAGCAAAGCGCGACGAAGGCAGCAAGGTTTGTCCAAGCAGCATTGATTCTTACGTTTCGTTTTTGTTACTTGGCGAGTGTGTATAAATTGGATGATATATAGATGGATTTTTTTGATGATCAACACCGGATTGTTACCAAGAAGCGAGTGTCAAACACTTTCCTCCTCGTAGCGTCCACGACGCTGGCTGGAATGTATCTCCTCGCCAGGAGGTGATTGACGGCCACCATGGAGCACGCGACTTGGGGCCGGCTAGTTCTACTCCGGAGCTCCAGCATGAGCTGGGAAGACGAAGAAGACGTAGAAGAAGTTGACGAAGGTGGCGATGGCGAAGCATCCATGGAAGACGAAGACGATGGCGATGGCGAAGACGATGAACTAGTCAGGGGAAGTAACTGGCGAGAGCTCTGGCTGGAAGGAGAGAGCTGGCGACGACGATCCGACGCTAGAATCCTGTCGGTCTCGAATGGAAATCCCAAGGCACTCCACGCGCTAGCGATCATGTCCAGGCACTTGGAGTCGACTGGAAGCCCCGCGGCGGCCATGGCGGCGACCATCTCCTCGGCCTCGCGGGGCTGGCGGGCCTCGCAGAATCCCCACACCAGCGTCTGGACGGTGTTGAGATTGGGAGCCTCGCCTCTCTCGAGCATGAGCTCCAGCACTCGCAGCGCGTCGTCCATCCGGCCCATGCTACACCAGCCGCTGATGATAGTCGTGTACACCACCACGTTTGGAGCCACGCCGTGGAGGCTCATGTCCTGGAGCAGCGACTCGGCCTCGTGTGTTCTTCCGGATCGCACGTACCCCTTGGCCAGGATCGCAAACGCTCGCACGTCCGGCTTGACGCGATCCTGCTGCATCTCGAGCAGTATCGTCTGCGCCTTGTCCGCCATCCCGGCCGAGCTCCACCAGTTCATGATCGTGCTGTAGGTGGTCACGTCCGGCCTCACGCCGTTGGCCGCCATGAGATCCAGCACCATCTCGAGCTTTAGCTGCTGGTCGTTCTCCTGGCTCTGGAAGTCCTGCTGCTGCTGCTGCTGGGAGCTTTGCTGCTCGACGTAGCCTTTGAGCAGGGTGTTGAAAGCCACCACGTCTGGATGGAGGCCCTCGAACTTGAGGCGCGAGAGGAGCTGGAGGCCGCGCTCGGGCATGCCGTTTTGGCAGTAGCAGCTGATCAGGATGGCGTAAGTCCGCAGGTTGGGCTTCAGCCGCGCGTTCTTCATGTCGGCGATGAGGTCCTCCAGCTCCGCCACCCTGCCGGCGGCCGCGTAGGCCTTGGCGAGCGTGTTGTAAGTCACGGCGTCCGGTTGCATTCCAGCCGACTTGATCATCGCCACCACCCTCCACGCCTCCTCCAGCCGCCCCTCCCGGCACCACGCATTGAGCAGCGTGTTCATGGTTCGCAAGTTTGGCCTCGCGACCGGCTCAAGCCCGTCCTCGCTGCTCGGAGAGTTCCTCGTCTTGTTGAGGAGGTGAAGCACTAGCTGCTGCGCCTGTTCTGCCTGTCCTGCTACTCCGTAGCCTTTGATCAGAGTGTTGTAAGTGGAAGTGGTGGGACGGCAGTTTTTCTGTCTCATCTCTTGCACCACTCTCATGGCCTCCTCCATCTGCCCTTCGTTGCACCACCCGTTGATCACCGTGTTGAAGCATACGCTGTCGGGTGCTAGACCGTCCTCCTCTTCCATCTGTTTGAGAAGCTGCTGTGCCTCGCTCATCTTTTTCTCCGCCACCACCTCGGCTATGGCCACCGTGTAGCACTCGACGCTCGGCCGGTGGCCCTGCCTCTTTAGCCTGCGGAGATAAGTTCATTAGAGAGCTGAGAAATGTGGCAAATCAACTCTCTCCTACCGTTCAAACATCGCTCCTGCAGCCTTTTTCTTCACCTTGGCCTTCTGTTGCTTACCTCCGTTCGCGTAGTAAATCTTCATCAGCTTCGTTGCCTGCCGGACTGCCGAGCACTCCTTGCCTCCAAAGCAATCCTTGCACTGCTTGCCCTCCGAGCACATTCGGGCATTGTGCCACTGGCTGCCGCATTTCTCACAGCTGCTGGCGGTGCCACGAGAAAGCGTCTGTCCTGTCCTCTTGGATGATTAAGTCGTCCACTGGAATCAAACTACATACCAGGCTCTGCAACAATTTGCTCCACTTTGGAGATATCTCTTCGTGAGCCACGAGCGAGGCGTTGGCATCTACGACCGCCATCGCTACCTTCCTCTTGCTCCTCCCAGCCAAAACATTGTTAAACAAGAGTTCCCTGCCAGAAAAATTCTCAAGTTAATTCAAAACAGTGAGCTCCGACGTTACAACCTTATACTGGATCCAGGAAATAAAAGAATGTGTTCTCGCTGGCTTTCGCGAAAAAAATTCATGACACCTGAGAGAAAAAGGATCATCACACAGAATCCAGAAAGAAAAACACTTACATACCTCAATGGACATAAGCCACAGAGGCTTGATAACATTATAGCTCTGTACTCGAGCATGGATTATCGCTGGAAACTCTACCATTCGAATGAGCTACCTCTTTTCTAGCGCTCAGTGGAATGAAATCCATCGCTTACCTTGTCAAGCCGAGCTCCCTCCGGAATGACAATCTAGTGTCTTCGTCGCGCCCCAGCCAAGCATCGCGCTATCGACCGCCCTAAAGAAATACTATCGTTCTCATAAACCCTAAATTCAAAAGCGTTTACCGCCAAAGCAAACACTAAATCAAGGTGGTGACGTGGCGCCCGTGGAGTCACTCTTTTGCTCGTTGTCGGTTGCCGCTAAGTTACTTGCGTATGTGGCCCCTTGCGCATCGTAAGAAAGAAAGAATTTTCTTTGCTACTTTTTCGTGGCTCCAAACAGGATTAAAATCAAGAGCTTCCATCAATCTTTTTTGCTCAAACTTTGACAAGCTCTGATGATCGAGGACTGTTGGAAGTCACCTCTGCAAAGAACACACGATTGCATAAATCCTGGAAAACAAAAAGATCACACCTTTCTCAAAAGGAGCTGATGCCACTGCTCGAAGATACGAGATAAGCTCTGCCTGTGCTTGGATCTCCAGCTCCTGCAGAACGAGTTGATGTAAATCTCTTAGAAAATGCTTGCAACGCTGACCTGTTGGTAGCACTTTTTCTTGAGATCACTGAACGCGGCTGCTAGTTTGTGTTCCTTGTGAAGTAAATCGAGCTGGATTGGACCACCAACTTTGGATCCAAGTTGGACAGGTCCCGTTATCTGCAAGCTCAGTAAAATGTTAATTCCTTAGCAGTGCATTCGAAAAAAGTTCGGCACCTGTCGATATGATTCTACTTCGAGCCGTAATGCAGTTATCAATCTGTCATCGTTTTCACTCTTTCTGACAAGCACGGCCATCTTCTCTTTAGCAGACCGGATCTGGAAGACGTTTTAAAGGACGGGTGAGAAAGGTTAGAAGCACGGTAGTAACTGAACCTCGTTTTCGAGATAGTTCCTCCTTGCTATCATGCCTTCCAGCTTCCGTTGTTGACACGCTAAATCTTCTCTCAGTGCCTGGGGTATTTTAAACCAGTCAAGACAGACGAAGATTATATACATTACCAAATATTCGATTGCCAGCTTCTCAAACTCTTTCCTGCGCGCAGCATGGAAAGCTTCAATTTGAAAACGCTGAAACTCTTCGGACTCCGACCGGTGCAGCTTTGCTTTTAGCTCGCGCACTTTGTCCTGATGAAAGAGGTAAGATTAGCGCACAGCCATGTCAATTTCTGATTTACCTTGAGAAGAGAAATCTGCTGACTTCGGCCTTTCCATTCACCGCCTTCTTCCAAAACCTTGTTCAACACTTAACACCAAAGAGCATCTTCAGGATCGAAGAGATCATACCGATGTGCAAGTGCAAAGACCTTTGCTACAGGTATGTGTTCGCCAACTTCACGTTGCAGCGCGTAGCGAAGCTTAGAAACCTCCATTGTGAGGCCTGTGTGTACAGATTGGGCCTCGGCAAGCTTGAGGGCAACCTGAAAGAAAAAGTGACAATTAGAAACTAAAAAAAACAGTGCAAAGCTACACACCTGATCGAATTTTTCCTTCCACGGTTCTTCAGGTGTTGCAATCTCGGCTTTGGCTTCTTGTATTGATTCCTCTACAGTCCCTTGTTGTTCTCCCTGTTGTCCTTCCGGTTGCTCTGATTTCTTTTGTTCGTCTTGTTGTTGTGCGTTCTTAACACCATCTGCCGGATTGGTTTGCTGAGACACTTCTGGATTTGTTTGTTCGGGAACTTCTGCATTGGTTTTCTGGAGAGTTTCAGCATTGCCTTTGTAGAGTTTGTTCCTTCTTTTCAAGACCTGCACAGGACAGATAGAAAAGGTATTTAAAGAACAGGCACAAAACAAGACAATACCTCTTGCTGCAGTTGCCCGACTTGAAACTTAAGCTTGGACGAGGAATTTCTCTCTCGCTCATATGCCAGGTTAAGCTCCCGATTCTGCATTAGCACTCCCTTCTAATTAGAAGAAAGCGCAGACGAGCTTGAAGAAGCGAGAGTTAGAAAAAAACTCCACCTTCTTGAAGAGCTCCAAAATCTTGGCGTCCCGAAGGCTGTGGCCCTCTCCATCCACCAACGCCTCCAACAGATGCCTGGAAACCCAGTGTAACCACGCGCGACAGACTTACATTCCCGATTTCACTCACTTTAGATGGAAGATGTCGCGCTCTTGCGCTTCAATCTGCTTCCGCAGGGCGATCTTGGGATCCTCCTTCACTTCCTCTGGCGGCGGCGGCGGGGGCTCCTCGCCCTTGGGCTTGGGCGCCATGAAGAACAAAGTAACGAACTAGCCCTAACATTCAAAAGTATGCACGTGTCAACTGTCTTCTTCAAGACACGTGGAGGTAGTATTCGCCGCCACGTAATTTAATGTCAGCCGCACGTCATCAACGGCCAGGATAAAGCCATTTGGCACGGTGCTATTTGGCGCTATAACCTTCTTCCTCCTCTTTCTCCTCTGCTTATAGTTCGCGACTTCTTCTTGTCGATCCGGATAGAACAATCTACCGATCACGCTCCAAGATCTGGGTAAATCCTTGCTCGCTCGGCTACAATGCCTTCATCGGCGTCCCAATCGCCATCACCGACGCTGCCGCTCTTGCTCTTGCTCCTGGTGCTCTTCATGGCAGTGGGTCCTTGGTTCATGAGCAGCCAGCCGGCGGTGGACGAGGCTATGACCAGAATGAGGCGATCCAACGGGCGGGCGATGTTCCCCGCGGAGGTGCTCATCCTCATCCCCGCGATCATCCTCATCCTCTTCCAGTTCTACGGCGCGTACGAGAATTCCCTCCGAGTCACACACTGGCGATTGCCCGAATTCAAGATGAGCGATTCCTTCGTGGCGCTCGCGGGCTTCCTCGTCGTGGCAATTGCGCTCTCGTGGATGCGCTCCAGCGTCAAAGAGATGCTCTAGAGAGCACGGGTACGGACACTCTTTTTTTTCCTCTCTAGTGCTTTGATCCGCTTTAGTCAGTATCACTAGGCCTACAAAGTCGAAGATGCGCTGTACAAAAGCTCTTACTTTCTCCACAGGGGTAGACATGTTTGGAATAGTTATCCTGCCAGGAAAAAACCGTAGAAATGTGTACACGAAATGTGCTGTAAAAGAAAGAAAGAAAGAAAGAAAAAAAAGAAAAACGAAAGCCTTCCACTGGTGGGAGATTTAGACAAGAGAATCGAATCACTCGACTTTGCAAACTTCTGGAAGAAAAAGCGAGATGTCCTCTGTGAGACTAATCCTCTCAAACTTGTAAACTTCTGGCAGGAGAGAGAGGAAGAGCTTGGGAGTGTAGAGCAGCGACAACTTAGCTGAGCTTATTGCCAAGACAATTCTTCCGCCGAGAGTGACTCGGGCGACTTGGATCCCAGTTGAGTCACGAGGCCGGATCTTTCAGCGCGTGCTCCAGATGGTGCTTGAGCGGGGACCGGACCGGAGGTGGCCCCGTATGTGGCTCGATTGTGTGGACGCTCCGGGCTGCCGACAGCACTGCGCGATGATCCAGGCAAACAGGAAAACAAAAAAAACAATGGTGAAAACCACGAGCTGGATAAACTTATCGCGAGAGAGCAAACAGTACTTTGTAGCCCCTCGAGGGAAGCTTGTCAAATTCGGCGACTGTGGAACGGACGCTCCGGTCTGCGACAACAACAACAACATATTTGAATCTGTAAGCTTTCGGGACAGACACTTTTGATCGATTACCTGTTGAAAAGAGTAGAACTTAGATAAGGTATGTGTGCGCTTAGTGCTGTTTAGTTGATCACCTTGTAACACTGGAGAAACGCGAGGCGTGATCGACGAGGACAAGTTTGAAAGCGCACTTACATTCTTGAACATGTTCGTGATGCTTCGCCTCGCGTCAGTTTGATGCTTGCCTTCGGCAGTGGGACCGATGCTGACTTGACGTAATGGAGGGGTATCGGCCGCTACAAATGAAAAGTAGAGACTTAGCGAGACGAGAAAACGAAAAAGAGCCTACTTTGAAAGACAGCCCAATCCTGGGACTCCCTGTGAGAGGTCGTGTTGAACGGTGATTCTTTTGGTGGTGGAGCAGTCACTGTTGCTGGTGGAGGCTGGAAAAAAAACAAAAGAAGAAAAAGTTGGCTTGGCATGGCACAAAGGAATTCTTACAGCAAATCTTGGAGGACTTGATGCAGAAGCCACAATATGCTGCGGACCAGCGATTTGCGGATTTTGATTTGGACTCCCGCCTCTGGGAGCAGCTCCCAAGCTTTCGATGGTTTCGTTTGAAACAGCGGCCGGTTGGGGCTGAGGAACACCTTTGGCTGCAAAACGCTTGTCATCGTACCTGCATCCACACAAAAGTTTTGCTTGCTGAGTGGCAAGGATATGTGAGTACCGACGTACTTGGCACGCGCAAATGCTTCTAGTCCTGCTCGATCGTTTTCTTGAGGGCGCTTGAAATTTTGTGGCAACTCTGATTCCCAATACTTGTTCGCTCTTACATTCCCCATATCTGATCATCAAAATTGCAATTTCTTTGCAGTCGAGCAAAAAAAACAAGCTCTACCGTGCATGAACTTGACTTGTTCCGGCAGCCATGTATCAAGAGTAGTCGATCGCACCTGGAATATGAACGATTACTACAAGGTTCAAGAAAGAAAAGAGATAAAGGTGTCACCTTGGAAATGTGAACTCCCAGACCCCGATGAATTCCAGAGCATTGAATACAGATAAAAATTCCAAGGTTGATGCTCGCCCACCTCGGGCTCCTACAATGCCATTTTGTCAAATCGGATCACACAAGCGAGCAAAAAGAATGTATTTTTTCCTACTCACTTGCTTCGACAATCAGCACATTCCCTGTTATCTGGCAATTTCATCAAAGCCTCCAAGATCTGAGTAAAAAGAAAAAAAGAAAGCAAACGAAAATCCAGCGATTGGAAGGAAGAATTTTAGTACCTTCTTGTGCTTCTCGTTTTGCTCCTTGCTGACCGTCACTTTGTCATTGGACATGGCTTCTCGCTGCTCTCTTTTTTTCTCATGGAAAGAGAAAAAATGGGGGAGATGAATAAGAATGGAGACCTAAATTGAGGTGACCGCAGGATTCGAACGCGGGCATCAACACCTGGCGGTCCGATCGAACGCTCACCACAGCCGTTGGATGGAATCCTATGGGAGAAAAAAAGGAAAACAATTCAATGGACATCGTGCTGAAAAGAAGACAAACGCACGATTTCGCGAAGTGAAACAGCTTACATTGCTTCTCTTCTTCGCGAAGATGTTAGAAAATTTGGCTTAGAGACGTTATCTATGCTGAGTTTTCGTGAAGAAGAACGTACTCGCGGCTGGAAAGACGAGGAAAAACGATTAAAAACGAGATCTACATGATGAAACAAAGCCAAACCAACCTGCTGTTGCCAAACTTGAGAGTGTCCTTCTCAAAAAGTTCGTAGTAACGTTGAGGCTCGATCGCTTCTCCCTGCGAAAGCAAGTCAGGGACAGTTTGAAACGAAACAATGGCTTCGACTTACATTCAAGAAGGTTTTGTTGGTACTTCCCAGATCCATGACGTAGGGCCTGGAACGATGAAGGGAAATGAGAAAGATGTAGCGCTAGCCTTGAGATTTCGTTACCTGATCTTTTTCGACATAAGTCCGTCCACTTCTTTCTCGATGAGCCTGTACTGGATGACCGCGTGCTGCTTGCTGCAAGAGGGATGATCGATCGGAATGTCTGCAACCTTTCTTTCTCGTCCAAACAGATAGCAACTCTGCCGATGTATGAAAAGCGGGTCTGCTCGGGAAGATCACTCAGATCATTCACATGAAAATCGAGAACAAATACAAAAGCTTTACCTTCCAAAGGCGCTCCGTCTTTGAAAACGTAGAGCCTCCATCGGACACTGGGCTGGCGAGCCTCGGGAGGCTCCGTAAACTGCAACGCAATACCTGTTGGAAACTAGATATCAGAAAGCAGAAACAAAGGAAAAACAAAGGAGATCTTACCACTGACTTTGTTGGTCTCAGCTGCGAGCTTCCCAGTGTACTCAAACGAGGCCTTTTCCTGCATTGAAACAAGGATGAAGCATCGCAGCGCAGCTCTTTGGATCTGTCCTACCTTTGCTTGTTCCTTGGCCTCCAAAGCAGCTTCTGCTTGCTCCATGAGCGCTATACTATCGTCCTTGCTGCTACAATCCAAACACGGTAAAGAACCAAAAGAAACAAGAGAAAACTCAAAGCCATACCTGCGAGGGATCTCTTTCGCTTCATCCCCATCTCTATCCTACACGCACAAAACACCCAGTAAGCATTCGAAGCATTCGCAAGATCGAAAGAGAAAAAGGCCCGATAGAAATCACCAGACACCTCGTTCTCAATGTCCCCCGGCTCCACTTTGACACGCTTGCTACTCAAATCCTCCATCGCCGCTTCATCGCCACGCTCCCTTTTAAACACATTCTCTACACTCCTGGGCTCCTTTGCTTCATCCTTGACTCTAGTTCTCGTTTCCCATTTCTCTCGCTCTTCCCTGTCACTAGACCTCTCTCTCCCCCCACGCCTAGCTCCATCCCTGCCATCGTCCTCGCTCCTACCTCTCACAGCAGCCTCATCCCTGTCCGAATCCCTTGCTCTTCCACGCCCGTCACGCTCGCCATCTCTGTTCCGGCTGCGCCCATGCTCCCTACCTCGGCGATGGGCGTCCCCTTCGCTCCGCCGCGACCGCTGTACTCTTGGACTCGCCATGCTCTATCTTGCCCTAAAATAACGCATCTTCGAGAATATTCGTAGATAGAGTAGATTTTCTTTTTAGGGCTTGCAATGCGCATAAATTTGCGTCCAATAGATTCCCTGTAGGCCTTGGTGCCGGATAAAGAAAGAATTGCATCGCATTGTTTCAGTGTCCTATGTGGAATCTAAGGTCTTGCCTGCAACTTACGTTTCCAGCAAGGCATCTAGGCATATATATACAAGAAATCGTGCCTGATCAATTTCATCGTTTTTGTTGGAGCGTAGGTTGATGGCGTCAGCAGAGAACGCGCGTGGTGGTAGTGGTGGTGGTGCTGGTAGCGCTCAGTCTGGCGGAGGCGATGGTGGTGGTGGTGGTGGCGCTCCCGCTCCCGCTGCCCCCTCCTTGTCGAATAGCGTTGCGACGAAACGAGCCCCAAAGATCCTGTCCTCAACGCATGTTGAAGCACGTAAGTGATGCTTTCAGGACTGTGTATGTAGACATTACCTTTGCTCCTTCAGATCAATTTCGACCGATTCTCATGGATAGCAGCCCTGAAGAAAGATTGATGGACCTGATCAATAACAAAGACTGGGATGGTCATACTGTCTATGACAGGCAGAAATGTATCTTCACAACTGCACTATATCTCGCTGCGGAGGCTGAGAACACTTCTGCAATATCCTGGTTGCTCGAATGGTCTGAGATCACTAAGGTAAACGACATCTTAGAAGCAGATTCATCCAATGGTAGCACCGCTCTACATGGAGCTGCCACTGTTGAAAACCCTGCCATTGTTAAACAACTGCTACAAGAGCTGAGGGATGCAAAGCAAGTTAATGTCGTTGATAAAGATGGCAATACTCCCTTGCACACTGCTGTGAAACGACAGAACCTGAAAGTGATACAAGCGCTCTTATGGAATGATGCGGATCCATGCCAAAAGAATATCAAGGGGGACGCGCCGTTACACATTGCAGTAAAAAAAGGTGCCAACCTTGAAGTTCTGAAGAAGTTGCTCTACCACGTAGCCGAGGTGGACACCCCTGACTTGGAGAAGGGCCAGACTCTTCTGCACCTTGCAGTCCTGCAGATGATAAAGGAGTTGGAGTTAAAGGAGGAGTTACACATAAGGCAGCAGGAGCTTTCCCGTGTGGAACGATATCTAGAAGAGGAGCTTTCCCTTGTGGAACAACATCTACACGAGCAGCAGGACATGATTGTTCTGTTGATTGCCAAAGGTGCTGATCCGTGCCGAAAAGACAAGGAGGGAGCGTCTTCGTTGCACCTGGCGTTACAAGGGAATGAGTCGGTTTTTCAACTGCTACTGCACACAGCCTTGAAGCCACGATTCCAAAAGGCTTGCTCAGTGGAACATATCACGAGTAAGTCGTAGAGAGTAAGTCCTTCTAACATCTGAAATTTTTGGGCAGATGCCTTGGAGGAGCTGCGGATCCAAGAAGGTGGAGATTTTAGTGACAAACTGGAAGCTCTAAAATATGGTTGGAACATCCACAATGTTTATGCTGACAAAACCGCACTACACCTTGCAAGTGAATTTGGAAATGTAAGTCTGGTGAAAGCGCTGCTGAACCTCCATGAAAAAAGTAAAATTGACGTACGGAAGCAAGACGAACTCGGCAACACTGCTCTTCATTTCGCTGCTTCGAATTGTGTTGGGTGTTTGGAAATCGTAGCAGGGGAGAGCCCTTTGCATCTTGCTGTTGGCCAAGGGGAAGTCACAATCGTCACAGCATTACTGGAAGCAGGTGCGGAGATTGACAAAAAGAATAAGCTTGGGCACACTCCTTTGCATTATGCTGTTGGACAAGCCAGAGCTGACATTGCTCGCAAATTACGCGACAAAGGTGCTGATTTTCGCTTAGAAGATGAGACAGGAGCTGGAGTATTGCACTTTGCTGCTAGAGGAGGGGGTAAAGATATCTTCGCGTTGCTGGATCCGAACGGCCCGGAAGTGAACCGAGCTACTAAAGCAGGTCTGACTCCGTTGCACTTTGCTGCCTGGAATGGGAACACTGTTGCACTCGAGTGGTTGCTGAAAATTAACGACATCAAGCTAGATGCGGAGGACAAGGTTGAGAAAGGACTGCCATGGCATTGGGCGGCTATGGGTGGCAACATAGACTGTCTTGACATACTCATATGTGAACATGTGAAAAGAAAGATACAGGTGTTTCCAGGAAGTCACGAGGACTGGCAGCGGGCATTCCAGCGTATTGAAGATCATGGTCAAGCCGACATAATTGATTGGGTGCCGTGGACTTTCCTGGGCAGGGATGGAGTGTTGGAGCCTGGTATATTGTCGTCTGCTGTTGCATATGGAGACAGTATAACGAATGGGCTCTTAGCGAAGAAGTTGGGTACAAGAGAAACTGGGTCAGGGCCAGAGGACTCTGTTCATGACCTTGTGGAGGAATCACGGCTACTGGAATGGGCTGCTTTGAGTGCCACTACCAGAAGCACAGAATTCGGTGGCAAGGGCCTGTTCAACAGAGTAAAGCCTGTGATGGAGTTCATGATGAAGAAGTACACCAACGTGAAAGGAATCAATGATCAACTCAGGTTAGCTTTTAAGATTGCTTTCTTGCATGGAGAACAGGATGAGGTGCGGGGAAGGGAGACCTTCGCAACCTGCATGGCAAAGTGCTTCACCCAGGAATTACCCGATATGATCAAGGAAGCTGTGTGGAAGAAACTGGACATTAACTTTGAAGACAAATATCGAAAATTGCCAAGCAAGTACAAGGATGCCTTCGACGACGTGAGTGGGCTGGTGAAAGATGTGCCTGTGGCTTATTGGGAGGCAAAACTCGAAGAAGACAGAAGCAAGGACTTGGAGGCCATCTCGCAAGAGAACATCTTGGAAAAGAAATATAACGACGAAGAAGGACATAGGAGGAAACGGCTGGCTCAACGTTTGAAACAGTTGTCGGAAAAGTTCATCAAAGATTATCCCAACGACACAGGCCACCGGACAGGTCGGACTGCTTTGCACTGGGCTGCCATCTTCATGGAGCGCGAGACAGTGGTTACCTTGTCTCGCAAAGGCTGCAAACCAGACGTCTGCGATAACTTCGGCAAGCCACCTTATTGGGACGCACAATGGGTGGGTGAGAAGGATGCTGTCATGCTGAACTGCCTCAAGTGGGGCAGCTATACTGAGAGCTTGCACAAGGACCGGCAGATGTTCGTGGATGGCTTAAACGCAATACTGGTTGGATCAGCTCTCATTGCCAGTGTCACGTTCGGAGGCTTATTGAATCCGCCACTGGGGTACAAACTTAAGTTCAAGGACAGGGAGTATGTGTCCATCGACAGACCAGGTGTGGTTGTGTTCTGGGTTGCCAACAGTTTGTCCTTCTTTTTCGCCATGGCCAGTGCTCTGGCAGGAGTCACCGGGGTCCTGCCTTCTCCCGACAAATTCAACCTGACACTCCTTCGCCGTCTCCGACACATACTCATTGCCGCAGCAGTCATGCTCGTCATCTCCATCATCTTCGTCCTCGTGGGATTTGGAGCCGCAGGATTCTCAGCATTGCCACCTTCGGGAAAGTACCCGACCAGCATGATCGCCACTGCTGTCCCCGGGGGTTTGGTCTGCTTAGCTCCTCTCTGCACGTTCATCTACGCAGTTTACAACCTGAATTCCCGGAAGCTCAGGTTCTTCGACTCGCAGCTCAGCAAAGCAGGTCAGGGGAGCGACGGTCAGAAAAATACCATCTCGAAGCTTGTTGATGCTCTGAAACGGTGCTTTAAAGTGCAAGATCATTCGGAGGTTGGGGGCATAAGTTTCGGCAGTCAAACGCTTGAAGAGCTTCTAAGCTCTCAGGGTTCACCTCAGAGACGGAAAAGGTATGCGCGTGGTCAGCGACCTTGGGAAGATGGTTTGGATTCCCTGGTTCCGGATGGTAAGACTGAAACGGATGGTCAGACGGATGGTCAGACTAAAACGGATGGTCAGACGGTCATAACAGTAAACCCAGGTCCCTGAACCGAATCTTGTGCTCAAGCTGAAACATTTCGAAATGCTCATCCGCTGCTCGATCAGACCATCACATCGAATGTATATCAGTGTGAACACTAAGATTATTTACAGAAAAGCTTTACCGTCCAAAGACGTCTGTGAGCCTCCATCGGACACTGGGCTGGAGAGCCTGAAGCTGCGTTGGGCTAGAAATCAGAAGAACGTGAGATCTTACCGCTCACTTTATTGGTCTCAGCTGCAGTGAAACGACCTTCTCCTGCATTGAAACAAGGATAAGCATCGCCACGCAGCTCTTTGGATCTGTCTTACCTTTGCTTGCTCTTTGGCCAAAGGAGCTATAGGCGCTATCCTATTGTCCTAACATCCGAGCAAGGTAAGAACCAACAGCACGAAACAATTAAAAAAATAAAAAAAAATCCATCCTCTCCCTAGTGAGCGCACGAGGCAAAATCCTTAACCACAACAGCTCAAAATGGAAGAGATGACACACCATTAGACGTGACGAAAAGATCTTTCTTCTCTTCCACAGCAGCTCCTCTTCCTCTCGCCAATGTTCCGCCAGATCTTGTTTGCCAGTCTGAAGGGCCGAGCCACTTCCATTTGAGCCCACACCTTAGCAACTTCCTTATCCATTTTGCTAGCTGAAACCCGCTAGACTTGAAGACGCTCGTTAGTGAGCTCCACTGCTCTAAACCCTTAAACTTTGTCCTTAATCACCCTTACACCAGCACAGTCTGATCATTGACTATTTTGACCATGCCGTTGACTATATTCAATGCAATGTGGAAAGGATAGGATAAATACCGAGAGCAACGCACGGTTCAACTGCCATGATTCTCTCAGGACCATTTAGGAAAATATATCACCTTTTATGACATTCGCGGCACACTGGATAGCTCTCGAAGCTCTCCATATTTCATGTTGCAAGTCTTGTTTTAAAGCTTTAAGCTCTTCTTTGTCCTCACCCACAGCCATCTTCGATATAACGTCCGCAATAGCAGGGAATGTCGAGGTACCATAGACATTTGTTTGAGTTGGGCCATAGATCTACACAATTCACAACATCAAAACTCTTACAATCAGATAAAATGCACTCACCAAGTGTTTGAACCATGGCTTCCCTGGAAGGCCTTCGCCATCTAGAAAACAGCGCTCTCCAAGCATCAAAATATCATTTTTACTTCTGGGCGCAGTGAAAGAAGGGATCTTGGACGCAAGTTCACGAAGTTGATCCACCGCAGAATGAAGTGGGAAGAAATTTACGTCGTGTGACTTGCTGAGGCTAAGTATATTAACCTGGAAAAACCGATGAGACCAAGCGAAAGAAGAAAAAAGAGAAAAGCTTACTGGATGACCCGAAATAAGCAGGAACCTGGCCTCCAAATCCTTTACAGCGACCTTTAAGAAACAATCCAACTCATGAAAAGCAATGGTATAATCGCTAGTACCTCGAACACGTTTGCATACGAGACATAGTTGAAAGGCAAGATCGTGTCCATGGCCAAGCGCCTCGCAAGCAGTCCCCAGACTTTCACCACTAGTACCAAAGCCTCGAAATCTTATAAAAAGGAATCAAAAGCAAAGTTTCACCTGTTGCATGGCGATGAAACTCAGGGTCTCCAAAGTTTTTCATCCAGTTGTAATTGTCATAGAGTGAATGATACACGGGAAAATCTGAGTTTTTTTCTTCGTACGTCATGCTGGTGGAGGGAATTCCTGCGTGCTGCAAGAATGGAGCGTAGTCGGAGCTACCACCGCCCAGCCTCCCGACCTGAGTCCATCAAACCATTAATACGGAGCGGAGGAGATGATAATGATAAATTTTTTGTCTCTTACACAATCGTTTGATTTTCCACACCACGAGTCAAATATGGTTCCATTTGAGTCTGGATCTTTCACCTTGAGAGAACCAAAATGCCATGAGCTGCAAAAAGAAATGGTAAGATTTGCATACCATTTTGGTGACTTCGAATAAAAGGTTGTCAAGCTGAGGCGTAGCAGACGCTGAGAAAGAACTGCCTGTTACTGCTTCATCCACGTTTAAATAAGCCACCGCTCGAGCCTTAAGCATGGCCAAATTGTCCTCGACCCACTCTGTAGAACCAGTCTATTAAGAGAGGAAATTTTTATGAGTAAACACGAAGGTAATAGAGATACAAAGGATTACCAGGCTGTACTCTTCGGCATCCCAGCTGCAAAATACGATTGTTCTCGCTGGTTTTCTCAGAAACTGTCCAAAGATGCGAGCTATCTAAAAACTCGCAAAAACATGAAAAGTTTCTTTGAGGAATAACATGAAAGCTTTACCTCCAAAAGGCAGGCAGTTCCGCTGTTTGGATCGCCGGCTCCATACGTCCAAGCGTCTCGGTGATTCCAAAGAAGCACATATCTATGTGTCAAAGCTTTAGAAAAAATACGAGAGAAAACAAGACTAATTTGAAGCTCGAAAACTCACCTATCTTTCTCAGAGCCTTCTATGATTCCAAAAACGTTACGAATTGTCGCAGTGGTCAGGTTAGCCTGCCAGGAAGTACGTAGTGCTCAAAAGCTTTAATATTTTTTTTGCAGAAGTTACCTCGTAGCGAAGATCAAGTTTCACAGGTCCTTTCCCAGCTCGATACGCGTCCACCGCAAGTCCTCCTTGCCAGGAATCAGGAGCAACAGGGCCTCCCAGCGCCTCGATGATTGGAAGAGCGTCGCGAGCGGAGATTGGCAGCGCCGGGATCGCTGGAACTCCCAGCCTTGTCAAGTTGGAAGCGTCCAGTCTCTCGGAAAGCTTGCTACTCGGCCACCCCGGCGTGAGAGGATCCCCGGGGTCCTGGATCACGGAGCCTCTCTGGACTCCACTTGGAGGCAACCATCGCGAGAATGGATAGTAGCCTTCAGTGGTAGCGTTCGTGGCGTAGTCTCGAGGATCCGGATACAAAACCACGGCCACCGCGCCTTCCTCCTGCGCGTTAAACACGATATCCCCTCGAAAGCTCTTGCCAAGCCTGGCGATCACCACGCTCCCTCTCACCTCCACTCCCAGGCTCTTGAGCTCGTCAAAATCGGATTTTTGGCCGTAGTTTGCGTACACCACCTCGGCAAGAGCTTCCCCAGACGGCGAGTAAGCGAAGAAAGTTGGAATGACTCCAGAGGAATCGCCATCGCCATCCACGGTCTCTTCGTCTAGAGCCAAGCTGAGTGACGAGTTGCTTGGGTAGACCACGGACAACGATCGCTTCAATGGATACGAGACGAGTACCTCGTAGTCGACCGTGCGCGTCGAGAGCCCAAACTCGCGGAATCTCTCCTCGACGAACTTGGCAGTAGCAAACCCCTGCGGCGTCCCTGCGACGTGGGGGTGGAGCGTGAGATTGTGGAGGAAGGCGGCGATGGAGCGAGTGCTAACTTGGGTCACGAAGAACCAAGCCGGAAGCGAGCTTAGGTAGAGATTGATCGCGATGATCGCGACGAGCAGCAGTAAAATGTGGGTGGCGAGAGTGCCAAACATCTCTTTCTTCGAGCTCGTACTTAAAAATCTTCTCTTCTCTCGCAAGAACCCTACCTGATAGTGGGATCCAAGTCATATCATAAGCTTATCTCCCTGGATTTGTTTAAGAGTGGAGTCTTGGGAATGGATATGGTACTCCCAGGCCACGGAGGTACGCTTTTACCCCTCCACACCTGCGAATCTTGTAATCAAACAAGTTCTTTCTCGCGCGTCTCCTCTCCTTCCCAATCTCGGTCTTGTGGCGGCCAAGTTCTCTCGCAAATCTGGACGCCATCTTTTTTTCCACTCGCTCGCGGCTCGCCTGTGTAGCTATAACATCCGCTGCTGCTGCTCTAGCCTGATCTTTGTCACCATTCTCCCCTTCTACTTGACAACCACCTTGATCTAAACCTTCTTCTCTGTCTTCGTTGCCAGCCCCTGGTAAGACTATCATCGGCTGCGTGGCTTGAGCGGGCTCTCTGTCTTCTTTGAGAAAGTGGTACCTAGAAATGTATTGCCCCAGCCTGTAAACTTGTGAATCCAAAGCCCGTTGGATGTGGTGCCTGGAATCGGCCTGGAAAAACAAAACAGCAAACTCGTCAAAGAAGAACAAGAGGGAAAAGAAAAGAGCAGCAAATTTACATTTCTCCTGTCGACAGCTTCCAAAGTTGGAGGATAGAGCTCCTCTGGTGTCTGGTAGTTCTTACCACGAAACATAATCACCGTCCTGTCCTCAAGGACATCGAGCACGATGCCTCCACTCAATCTCGCTACCTCGGCACTGATTCTCCGCGTCTCCTCCATGCTGTTGTGGCGGGGGCACTTGATCCTCACCGTCTCATGGAACTTCCAGTTGGTGTGGATGTTGTGAATCACACCTCCGTAGATCCCACGCTTACCGACGGACGCAAAGTTCTGGTTTTTGTTTCCAATCCTTGCGTAGTGCGCTGCCTCTCCTTCACTCAGAGGCTCCGTTTCTCGCAAGCAACGCTTTCCTTCGGTGAGATGGGACGAATGCTTTCGCCGGATCTCCGTCCTGTTGAGATCGATCGTGTACAAAGACTGGAAGAAACGAGAGAAAGAAAATACATAAACAAAAGCAGTTAAGAAGAGTGCTCCTTGGAAAAGAAGAACTTCTAAGACGTACCCTTCGGATCTTTACTTCGAGAAACTCCTTCTCGGTCTTGGGAGCACGGTTCTTGTCCTCCTCCCTTCTCTTGCGAATCTCCTCTCGAATTTGTTGCTTGACGAGCTCCTTGACGAGATTCCTCTTCTTGATCCGGAAATCCATAGACAGCTGCTAATCGTGGTCCGGATTCTCATCCTGGCGTTGCTGCTCAGTCGCTAGATTCGTCTGCCTCACACCAGACAGAACCCTGCGATAATTTCCACTCCATCGGGCCTCCACATTCCCGGCATTCTTCCTCGTACGCAACAGGCTTTGCTCCAGTGGCGGCAGTGCACATCGCCGATCACCATATGAGGGAAAAGGAGCGCATCCTCTCCATAAACCCTAGAGCCGACACGTGGCAAAAAGACTTTAGGCATTAAAAATGCATCAGCCGGGAGTCGAACCCGGGTCTATTGCTTGGAAGGCAATTATCCTAACCGTTGGACTACTGATTCTTATTACATTAAAGTAAAATTAACCTGAATGAAACAACACTCCTGCGCTCCTTTGCTTCATCCTTGACTCATTTCCCATTTCTCTCGCTCTTCCCTGTCACTAGACCTCTCTCTCCCCCCACGCTTAGCTCCATCCCTGCCATCGTCCTCGCTCCTACGTCTCACAGCAGCCTCATCCCTGTCCGAATCCCTTGCTCTTCCACGCCCGTCACGCTCGCCATTGCTGTTCCGGCTGCGCCCATGCTCCCACCTCGGCGATGGGCGTCCCCTTCGCTTCGCCGCGACCGCTGTACTCTCGGACTCGGCTATCTTGCCGTAAAATAACAAATCTTTGAGCATATTCGTAGATATAGTAGATTTACTTGTTAAACCCTTCTTGATGCTAAACTAAAAGTCTCTGCTGTTGAAATTTGGGAAAGGAGAGAGATCGATTCCTTCCGTTATGTGCACTCGCGTCGTGATCAATACTCCACTCCACTAGAATTATTATAGTACGTAAAAATTCGAGAAGATCATGCAACTTGCGTGGTGCCTGATAATGTATCGCACTGTTTCAGTGTCCTATGTGGAATCTAAACAACCCCTTTTACAGGTCTTGTCTGCCACAAGAAATCGTGCCTGATCAATTGCATCGTTTTTGTTGGAGCGTAGGCTGATGGTGCCAGAAGAGAACGGGCGTGATGGTAGTGCTGGTGGTGGTGGTAGCGCTCAGTCTGGCGGCGGCGATGGTGGTGGTGGTGGTGGCACTCCCGCCGCCGCCTCCTTGTCGAATAGCGTTGCGACGAAACGAGCCCCAAAGATACTGCCCTCCACGCATGTTGAAGCACGTAAGTGATGCTTTCAGGACTATGTGTACACATTACCTTTGCTCCTTCAGATCAATTTCTACCGATTCTCATGGATAGCAGCCCTGAAGACAGATTGATGGACCTGATCAATAACAAAGACTGGGATGGTCATACTGTCTATGATAGGCAGAAAGGTATCTTCACAACTGCACTGTATCTCGCCATTGAGGCTGAGAACACTTCTGCAATATCCTGGCTGCTCAAATGGTCTCCGACTAAGGTAAAAGACATCTTAGAAGCAGATCCATCCAATAATGGTACCACGGCTCTGCATGAAGCTGCCACTAATGAAAACCCTGCCATTGTTTCAAAACTGCTAAACCAGCTGAGGGATGCAAAGCAAGTTAATGTCGTTGATAAAGATGGCAATACTCCCTTGCACACTGCTGTGAAACGACAGAACGTGAAAGTGATACAAGCGCTCTTACGGGAAGGTGCGGATCCATGCCAAAAGAATATCAAGGGGGACGCGCCGTTACACATTGCAGTCAAAATACGTGGCAAGCTTCAAGTTCTGAAGGAGTTGCTCTCCCGCGAAGCCCAGGTGGACACCCCTGACTTGGAGAAGGGCCAGACTCCTCTGCACCTTGCAGTCCTGCAGATGATAAAGGAGTTGGAGTTAAAGGAGTCGAAGTTAAAGAAGTTACGCATAAAGCAGCAGGAGCTACAAGAGCAGCATAAGGAGCTTTCCCGACATCTACAACAGCAGCACGAGGAGCTTTCCCGTGTGGAACAACATCTACAACAGCAGCATAAGGAGCTTTCCCGTGTGGAACAACATCTACAAGAGCAGCAGGACATGATTGTTCTGTTGATTGCCAAAGGTGCTGATCCGTGCCGAAAAGACAAGGAGGGAGCGTCTTCGTTGCACCTGGCGTTACAAGGGAATGAGTCGGTTTTTCAACTGCTACTGCACACAGCCTTGAAGCCACGATTCCAAAAGGCTTGCTCAGTGGAAGATGTCACGAGTAAGTCGTAGAGAGTAAGTCCTTCTAACATCTGAAATTTTTGGGCAGATGCCTTGGAGGAGCTGCGGATCCAAGAAGGTGGAGATTTTAGTGACAAACTGGAAGCTCTAAAATATGGTTGGAACATCCACAATGTTTATGCTGACAAAACCGCACTACACCTTGCAAGCGAATTTGGAAATGTAAGTCTGGTGAAAGCGATGCTGAACGTCCATGGAAAAAGTAAGATTGACGTACGGAAGCAAGACGAACTCGGCAACACTGCTCTTCATTTCGCTGCTTCGAATTATGTTGAAATCGTAGCAGGGGAGAGCCCTGGCCAAGGGGAAGTCGCAATCGTCAAAGCATTACTGGAAGCAGGTGTGGACATTAACAAAAAGAATAAGCTTGGGCACACTCCTTTGCATTTTGCCGTTGGACAAAAGAGAGCTGACATTGCTCGCAAATTACGCGACAAAGGTGCTGATTTTCGCTTAGAAGATGAGACAGGAGCTGGAGTATTGCACTTTGCTGCTAGAGGAGGGGGTAAAGATATCTTCGAGTTGCTGGATCCGAAGGGCCTGGAAGTGAACCGAGCTACTAAAGCAGGTCTGACTCCGTTGCACTTTGCTGCTTGGAATGGGAACAGTGTTGCACTCGAGTGGTTGCTGAAAATTAATGACATCAAGCTAGATGCGGAGGACAAGGTTGAGAAAGGACTGCCATGGCATTGGGCGGCTATGGGTGGCAACAGAGACTGTCTTGGCATACTCATACGTGAACATGTGAAAAGAAAGATACGGGTGTTTCCACGAAGTCACAAGGACTGGCACCGGGCATTCCAGCGTATTGAAGATCATGGTCAAGCCCACATAATTGATTGGGTGCCGTGGCGGTTCCTGCATAACGATGGAGTGTTGGAGCCTGGTATATTGTCGTCTGCTGTTGCATATGGAGACAGTATAACGAATGAGCTCTTAGCGAAGAAGTTGGGTACAAGAGAAACTGGGCCAGGGCCAGGGGACTCTGTTCATGAGCTTGTGGAGGAATCACGGCTACTGGAATGGGCTGCTTTGAGTGCCACTACCAGATGCACAGAATTCGGTGGCAAAGGCCTGTTCAACAGAGTAAAGCCTGTGATGGAGTTCGTGATGAAGAAGTACACCAACGTGAAAGGAATCAATGATCAACTCAGGTTAGCTTTTAAGATTGCTTTCTCGCATGGAGAACAGGATGAGCTGCGGGGAAGGGAGATCTTCGCAACCTGCATGGCAAAGTGCTTCACCCAGGAATTACCCGATATGATCAAGGAAGCTGTGTGGAAGGAACTGGACATTATCTTTGAAGACAAATATCGAAAATTGCCAAGCAAGTACAAGGATGCCTTCGACGACGTGAGTGAACTGGCGAAAGATGTTCCTGTGGCTTATTGGGAGGCAAAACTTGAAGAAGACAGAAGCAAGGACTTGAAGGCCATCTCGCAAGAGAAAAACTCGAAAAAGAAATATAACGACGAAGAAGGACGTAGGAGGAAACAGCTGGCTCAACGTTTGAAACAGTTGTCGGAAAAGTTCATCAAAGATTATCCCAACGACACAGGCCACCGGACAGGTCGGACTGCTTTGCACTGGGCTGCCATCTTCAAGGAGCGCGAGACAATGATTACCTTGTCTCGCAAAGGCTGCAAACCAGACATCTGCGATAGCTTCGGCAAGCCACCTTACTGGGACGCACAATGGATGGGTGAGGAGGATGCTGTCATGCTGAACTGCCTCAAGTGGGGCAGCTACACTGAGAGCTTGCACAAGGACCGGCAGATGTTCGTGGATGCCTTAAACGCGATACTGGTTGGATCAGCTCTCATTGCCAGTGTCACGTTCGGAGGCTTATTGAATCCGCCACTGGGGTACAAACTTAAGTTCAAGGACAGGGAGTATGTGTCAGTCGACAGACCAGGTGTGGTTGTGTTCTGGGTTGCCAACAGTTTGTCCTTCTTTTTCGCCATGGCCAGTGCTCTGGCAGGAGTCACCGGGGTCCTGCCTTCTCCCGACAAATTCAACCTGAGACTCCTTCGCCGTCTCCGACACACACTCATTGCCGCAGCAGTCATGCTCGTCATCTCCATCATCTTCGTCCTCGTGGCATTTGGAGCCGCAGGATTCTCAGAATTGCCATCTTCGGGAAAGTACCCGACCAGCATGATCGCCACTTCTGTCCCCGGGGGTTTGGTCTGCTTAGCTCCTCTCTGCACGTTCATCTACGCAGTTTACAACCTGAATTCCCGGAAGCTCAGGTTCTTCGACTCGCAGCCCAGCAAAGCAGGTCAGGGGAGCGATGGTCAGAAAAATACCATCTCGAAGCTTCTTGATGCTCTGAAACGGTGCTTTAAATTGCAAGATCATTCGGAGGTTGGGGGCATGAGTTTCGGCAGTGAAACGCTTGAAGAGCTTCTAAGTTCTCAGGGTTCACCTCAGAGACGGAAAAGGTATGCGCGTGCTCAGCGACCTTGGGAAGATGGTTTGGATTCCCTGGTTCCGGATGATCAGACGGATGGTCAGACTGAAACGGATGGTCAGACGGATGGTCAGACTAAAACGGATGGTCAGACGGTCATAACAGTAAACCCAGGTCCCTGAACCGAATCTAGTGGTTCATTCATGTGCTCAAGCTGAAACATTTCGAAATGCTCATCCGCTGCTCGATCAGACCATCACATCGAATGTATATCAGTGTGATCACTAAGATTATTTACAGAAAAGCGTTACCGTCCAAAGACGCTCCGCTCCGTCTCTGAAAACGTAGAGCCTCCATCGGACACTGGGCTGGCGAGCCTTAAGCTGCGTTGGGCTAGAAATCAGAAGAAAGTGAGATCTTACCGCTGACTTTATTGGTCTCAGCTGACCTTCTCCTGCATTGAAACAAGGATAAGCATCGCCACACAGCTGTTTGGATCTGTCTTACCTTTGCTTGCTCTTTGGCCAAAGCAGCTATAGGCGCTATACTATTGTCCGAACATCCAAGCACGGTAAGAACCAACAGCACGAAACAATAAAAAAAAAAAAATCCATCCTCTCCCTAGTGAGCGCAAGAGGCAAAATCCTTAACCACGACAGCTCAAAATGGAAGAGATGACACAGCATTAGACGTGACGAAAAGAAGCTCCTCTTTCTTCTCTTCCACAGCTGCTCCTCTTCCTCTCGCCAATGTTCCGCCAGATCTTGTTTGCCACTCTGAAGGGCCCAGCCACTTCCATTTGCCACACCTTAGCAACTTCCTCATCCATTTTGCTGACTTCAAAAAGCTCGTTAGTGAGCTCCACGCTCTAAACCCTAAACTCTGTCCTTTCTCACCCTTACACCAGCACAGACTGATCCTTGACTACTTTGACCATACCGTTGACTATATTCAATGCAATGGCGTGACGCTGTCAGCTGGCGATGGAAAGGATAGGATAAATACCGAGAGCAACACCGCACGGTTCAATGGCCATGATTCTCAAAGCACCATTTAGGAAAATATATCACCTTTTAAGACATTCGCGGCACACTGGACAGCTCTCGAAGCTCTCCATATTTCATGTTGCAAGTCTTGTTTTAAAGCTTTAAGCTCTTCTTTGTCCTCACCCACAGCCATCTTCGATATAACGTCCGCAATAGCAGGGAATGTCGAGGTACCATAGACATTTGTTTGAGTTGGGCCATAGATCTACACAATTCTCAACATCAAAACTCTTACAATCAGATAAAATGCACTCACCAAGTGTTTGAACCATGGCTTCCCTGGAAGGCCTTCGCCATCTAGAAAACAGCGCTCTCCAAGCATCAAAATATCATTTTTACTTCTGGGCGCAGTGAAAGAAGGGATCTTGGACGCAAGTTCACGAAGTTGATCCACCGCAAAATGAAGTGGGAAGAAATTTACGTCGCGCGACTTGCTGAGGCTAAGTATATTAACCTGGAAAAACCGATGAGACCAAGCGAAAGAAGAAAAAAGAGAAAAGCTTACTGGATGACCCGAAATAAGCAGGAACCTGGCCTCCAAATCCTTTACAGCGACCTTTAAGAAACAATCCAACTCATGAAAAGCAATGGTATAATCGCTAGTACCTCCAGGACATTTGCATACGAGACATAGTTGAAAGGCAAGATCGTGTCCATGACCAAGCGCCTCGCAAGCAGTCCCCAGACTTTCACCACTAGCACCAAAGCCTCGAAATCTTAAAAAAGAGAATCAAAAGCAAAGTTTCACCTGTTGCATGGCGATGGAACTCAGGGTCTCCAAAGTTTTTCATCCAGTTATAATTGTCATAGAGTGAATGATACACGGGAAAATCTGAGTTTTTCTCTTCGTACGTCATGCTGGTGGAGGGAATTCCTGCGTGCTGCAAGAATGGAGCGTAGTCGGAGCCACCACCGCCCAGCCTCCCGACCTGAGTCGATCAAACCATTAATACGGAGCAGAGGAGATGATAATGATAAATTCTTTGTCTCTTACACAATCGTTTGATTTTCCACACCACGAGTCAAATATGGTTCCATTTGAGTCTGGATCTTTCACCTTGAGAGAACCAAAATGCCATGAGCTGCAAAAGAAATGGTAAGATTTGCGTACCATTTTGGTGACGTCGAATAAAAGGTTGTCAAGCTGAGGCGTAGCAGACGCTGAGAAAGAACTGCCTGTTACTGCTTCATCCACGTTTAAATAAGCCACCGCTCGAGCCTTAAGCATGGCCAAATTGTCCTCGACCCACTCTGTAGAACCAGTCTATTAAGAGAGGAAATTTTTATGAGTAAACACGAAGATAATAGAGATACAAAGGATTACCAGGCTGTACTCTTCGGCATCCCAGCTGCAAAATACGATTGTTCTCGCTGGTCTTCTCAGAAACTGTCCAAAGATGCGAGCTATCTGAAAACTCGCAAAAACATGAAAAGTTTCTTTGAGGAATAACATGAAAGCTTTACCTCCAAAAGGCAGGCAGTTCCGCTGTTTGGATCGCCGGCTCCATACGTCCAAGCGTCTCGGTGATTCCCAAGAAGCACATATCTATGTGTCAAAGCTTTAGAAAAAATACGAGAGAAAACAAGACTAATTTGAAGCTCGAAAACTCACCTATCTTTCTCAGAGCCTTCTATGATTCCAAAAACGTTACGAATTGTCGCAGTGGTCAGGTTAGCCTGTCAGGAAGTACGTAGTGCTCAAAAGCTTTAATATTTTTTTTGCAAAAGTTACCTCGTAGCGAAAATCAAGTTTCACAGGTTCTTTCCCAGCTCGATACGCGTCCACTGCAAGTCCTCCTTGCCAGGAATCAGGAGCAACAGGGCCTCCCAGCGCCTCGATGATTGGAAGAGCGTCGCGGGCGGAGATTGGCAGCGCGGGGATCGCTGGAACTCCCAGCCTTGTCAAGTTGGAAGCGTTCAGTCTCTCGGAAAGCTTGCTACTCGGCCACCCCGGCGTGAGAGGATCCCCGGGGTCCTGGATCACGGAGCCTCTCTGGACTCCACTTGGAGGCAACCATCGCGAGAATGGATAGTAGCCTTCAGTGGTAGCGTTCGTGGCGTAGTCTCGAGGATCCGGATACAAAACCACGGCCACCGCGCCTTCCTCCTGCGCGTTAAACACGATATCCCCTCGAAAGCTCTTGCCAAGCCTGGCGATCACCACGCTCCCTCTCACCTCCACTCCCAGGCTCTTGAGCTCGTCAAAATCGGATTTTTGGCCGTAGTTTGCGTACACCACCTCCGCAAGAGCTTCCCCAGACGGCGAGTAAGCGAAGAAAGTTGGAATGACTCCAGAGGAATCCCCATCGCCATCCACGGTCTCTTCGTCAAGACCCAAGCTGAGTGACGAGTTGCTTGGGTAGACCACGGACAACGATCGCTTCAAGGGATACGAGACGAGTACCTCGTAGTCGACCGTGCGCGTCGAGAGCCCAAACTCGCGGAATCTCTCCTCAACGAACTTGGCGGTGGCGAATCGGTGGAGCCTGAGGTTGTGGAGGACGGCGGCGATGGAGCGAGTGCGAACTTGGATCACGAAGAACCAAGCCGGGAGCGAGCTCAGGTAGAGATTGATCGCGATGATCGCGACGAGCAGCAGTAAAATGTGGGTGGCGAGAGTGCCAAAACATCTCTTTCTTCGAGCTCGTACTTAAAAATCTTCTCTTCTCTCGCAAGAACCCTACCTGATAGTGGGATCCAAGTCATATCATAGAAGTTCCAAGCTTATCTCCCTGGATTTGTTTAAGAGTGGAGTCTTGGGAATGGATATGGTACTCCCAGGCCGCGGAGGTACGCTTTTATCCCCCCACACCTGCGAATCTTGTAATCAAACAAGTTCTTTCTCGCGCGTCTCCTCTCCTTCCCAATCTCGGTCTTGTGGCGGCCAAGTTCTCTCGCAAATCTGGACGCCATCTTTTTTTCCACTCGCTCGCGGCTCGCCTGTGTAGCTATAACATCCGCTGCTGCTGTTCTAGCCTGTTCTTTATCACCATTCTCCACATCTACTTGACAACCTTGATCTAAACCTTCTTCTCTGTCTTCGTTGCCAGCCCCTGGTAAGACTATCATCGGCTGCGTGGCTTGAGCGGGCTCTCTGTCTTCTTTGAGAAAGTGGTACCTGGAAATGTATTGTCCCAGCCTGTAAACTTGTGAATCCAAAGCCCGTTGGATGTGGTGCCTGGAATCGGCCTGGAAAAACAAAACAGCAAACTCGTCAAAGAAGAACAAGAGGGAAAAGAAAAGAGCAGCAAATTTACATTTCTCCTGTCGACAGCTTCCAAAGTTGGAGGATAGAGCTCCTCTGGTGTCTGGTAGTTCTTACCACGAAACATAATCACCGTCCTGTCCTCAAGGACATCGAGCACGATGCCTCCACTCAATCTCGCTAGCTCGGCACCGATTCTCCGCGTCTCCTCCATGCTGTTGTGGCGGGGGCACTTGATCCTCACCGTCTCATGGAACTTCCAGTTGGTGTGGATGTTGTGAATCACACCTCCGTAGATCCCACGCTTACCGACGGACGCAAAGTTCTGGTTTTGGTTTCCAATCCTTGCGTAGTGCGCCGCCTCTCCTTCACTCAGAGGCTCCGTTTCTCGCAAGCAACGCTTTCCTTCGGTGAGATGGGACGAATGCTTTCGCCGGATCTCCGTCCTGTTGAGATCGATCGTGTACAAAGCCTGGAAGAAACGAGCGAAAGAAAATACATAAACAAAAGCAACTAAGAAGAGTGCTCCTTGGAAAAGAAGAACTTACGTACCCTTCGGATCTTTACTTCGAGAAACTCCTTCTCGGTCTTGGGAGCACGGTTCTTGTCCTCCTCCCTTCTCTTGCGAATCTCCTCTCGGATTTGTTGCTTGACGAGCTCCTTGACGAGAGTCCTCTTTTTGATCCGGAAATCCATAGACAGCTGCTGATCGTGGTCCGGATTCCACTGCCTCACTCCAGACAGAACCCTGCGATAATTTCCACTCCATCGGGCCTCCACATTCCCGGCATTCTTCCTCGTACCTCGAGGACGCGGCAACAGGCTGTGCTCCAGTGGCGGCAGTGCACATCGCCGATCGCCATATGAGGGAAAAGGAGCGCATCCTCTCCATAAACCCTAGAGCCGACACGTGGCAAAAAGGTTTTAGGTTTTAAACTAGGGAGTTGGTAGGCAATTATCCTAACCGTTGGACTACTGATGCTTATTACATTTAAAGTAAAATTAACCTGAACGAAACAACCTTTCACTCAAGTGTAAAGAGTACATTCGCATTGATGAATTAAAACTGAAAATCTGAAAGCATAGGTTTACTACATGAAATCGGCATCGACAGGATTTTGTACATGGACTTTAATGGAATTTCTATCGTTGGTGTGCACCATTGCCAATTTATCTTTAAAATATTTTTCGTTCATCACAACTATACCCATTGAATTTTACAGACTTTGAAGATATTTGCAAAGCTTGTGACAGCGTTGCCTCTCGATCCACTGATCGCTAACGAGCACAGAGAAATCCTGTTCTCCTAAACGTAATTGCATCATCCAATCTTGTGGTTTATTGTCCTGGGAAAGATTTCCAATCTCTCAAGTTGCGAGGCACATTCCATGTTGTCTGGATTTGCAAGAAGAATCAAAACGCAGGCAAAGATTGCAATCTTGTTGAGAGGGGCCATTTGCGACATGGATCGAGCTGGATCGAGAATGCCCTTAAATCGTCTGGTCCATGGTGTCAAACAAATCTCCATACAAAGAAAAATGGGCGCGAACGAGCATTGGACGGCCGCGATCGCAACAAATCTTAGGGTTTAGGCGAGGATGCAGCGCCCAGTCAAGAGGTTCCGCTGCGTGTGTGGGAGCGATGGCGGGGAATACGATCTGGCCAAGGCAGCCAAGGCGCAAGAGGCCATCGCTGCAATGGACAAGAGTAAGCTGTGCACTGCCGGTGAGATCACGGCGATTCCATATCCGGGAATCGGCAAGGCGCCGTCGATGCCCGGAGGAGATCTCCAGTTTGTAGGTCGCCGTGATCTTGAGAGCCTGGTGGAAGCAGCCAAAGAGACAAAAACGCTGCTAGTCGTTGGGCCATGTGGAATCGGCAAGAGTTGCTTGCTCAGGGCTTTGGCTTGCGGGTGGATTCACGATGCCGCGGGGACTAACAGCAGGATTGTTTGCCTCTGGGACCTCGCGATTGCTATCGCTAAGCAGGACTTGGGCGGGTGCGTGAAGAACGCGCTGAGGTTCACGTTTTGCAAGGAGGCCGAGCTGCTGGATGAGATAGATCGCTTGGGTTCTATGCAAGACATCGCCAAGTTCTTCTGCGATCGAGTAGCAGCCGCGGGTGACGAGTTTTACTTCGTCGTCGATCAGTGGGAGATGCTTGACGCTCTTGGAGAGGAAATGCCAGTGTCAGTGCCCGCCAAGGAGCTGCGTAAGAAGTTCCACAGCGAATTGTTTGCTTTGTTCTCACTTGCAGCAGTGACTGTCTTGGGGCTGTCTCGTGGGGTTGGAATGACGCAGGAGTACTTGCAGCTGCGGTATAGTCCGTGCGAACTGTTGCTCATGGAGGATGGTTTCTACGGGGTGAGCTGTTCTTTCTTGTGGATGTTTGTGTTTTGATTTCAAAAGTCTTGGTTGGCAGGAGGAGCTGACTGCTTTCCGAGACAAGCTGAGCGTTCTCGGGCTCCTTTGCTCGCGATTCCCGAAGCGCTCAATGCTTGTGGAGCATTACACAGGGAGGCACCCGTTTTCGTTGGCCGTCTTGGACAGCAGCTGCCGGAGCTATGCACTCGGCAAGCTCGTGGCCCGCGAACTACCAAGTTCGTGGTTACACCGCCGTGGTCCGGAAAGGAAGCTTAGCCCGGAAGAGGTAGTAGCATGCCTGGAGGACGAGGAGGGCTGGCTGGCGGCGATTGAGACTTTCTTGTCATCGGGTGAGATGGCGCGGATCAGGTTCTCGCTTGAGTACGCGCTGGCGATGCGAAAGCCGCTGCGACGGGCATGCCATACGATAGAGGACATGGCTAAGTTTGATTCGAGTTTCATTGTTGGCGACGGCGAAGAGGGGCCTGAGTTTGTGACTGAGCACATCGCCCTAGTGTATGCGGATGTGTTCCGAACAGCGGAGAAGGCCAATGTCTTCAGTGGTTCATGCCACACCGGATCCGGCATGACTTTCTCAACCTTGCATTAGCAACATTCATGGAACTTAGTGATGATAGCGTACGTGTTCATCATTGGTGTCTGCAACTCTCGTGTCTCAATTTTGTGATCCAACCTTTGTCTTTGAAAGAAGAGAGACAATCCAAAAGCTCTTCCACTCAATCGCTAGTTAAATAGATTTAAACCATGTACAAGCCTAAGAACAATGCGACACCAGAAATACGGGGAAGTACGAGGGGAAGTACGAAGGAGTCGTGCGTTCGAATCCGTGCCCCAACATGCTTGGGAAAATAAAAGGAGTGATCAGATTGTTTTATTTGAGGGTCCCTCTTCTTCGGGTGGGTTCGAACCCGGGATCGGCTCTACAAGACTATCCCTCAGGTCCCTGGGCTGGCCAGTCTTCCCAGGGTTGATCACTTGATAAATATTGCGTCTCTCTTCTACATGAAATGAAATGAAATAAACTTTGGTTTAATTAAGCCTTGAGCCTTTCAAGGGTCAACACAGGGTTTACAAAGCGTCAACACATAGTCATCTTGAAAAAGAAAAGAATTGGTTTAAACATTTTCTCACAGCGTATGGCTTGGGGGGGCCGATGCCGCCGAGTACCCCAATTGTTCTATCTCCCACGTCTCTTTTGGAGCAACCGAGACGTGGTTTGGAACATAAGCCTGCCAAACACACAAAAGATCACGAGGAAACTTGTACACAACCGAGGAAAACTTACCTCTAGTCTATCAAGGAGCTCGCCCGCAGTCGATGCGGAAATGACAATTTGCCTGGACGACGGTTTGATGAATCCTTCCTCCGTGCCCTTGTCAAACAGGGCGAGAAGCGGATTGTAGTAACCATCAACGTTTAGCAGGCCGACCTGATTAAGAGAAAAGAGAGACGACAAACACCAGACTTTCCATGTGAGAAACTGCGAGATCTCTTACAGGCTTATCATGAATGCCTAACTGGGACCACGTTATCATTTCCAGCAGCTCCTCTAGCGTACCATATCCGCCTGGCAACAACGAAGAATGTGTCAATACTTTTCACAACTGCCGCAAAAAACACAAATCCTCACAAATATCGACCATCCTTTGAAAACGTAGAGCCTCCATCGGACACTGGGCTAGCGAGCCTCGGGAGGCTCCGTAAACTGCAACGCAATACCTGTTGGAAACTAGATATCAGAAAGCAGAAACAAAGGAAAAACAAAGAAGATCTTACCACTGACTTTGTTGGTCTCAGCTGCGAGCTTCCCAGTGTACTCAAACGAGGCCTTCTCCTGCATTGAAACAAGGATTCAGCATCGCAGCGCAGCTCTTTGGATCCGTCCTACCTTTGCTTGTTCCTAGGCCTCCAAAGCAACTTCTGCTTGCTCCATGAGCGCGATACTATCGTCCTTGCACGGTAAAGAACCAAAAGAAACAAGAGAAAACTCAAAGCCATACCTGCGAGGGAGCTCTTTCGCTTCATCCCCATCTCCATCCTACAGGCACAAAACACCCAGTAAGCATTCGAAGCAGTCGCAGGATCGAAAGAGAAAAAGGCCCGATAGAAATCACCAGACACCTCATGTCAACCGGCTCCACTTTGACACGCTTAAATCACACTCCCTTTTAAACACATTCTCTACACCTTTGCTTCATCCTTGACTCTAGTTCTCGTTTCCCATTTCTCTCGTTCTTCTCTGTCACTAGACCTCTCTGCGCCCATGCTCCCTACCTCGGCGATGGGCGTCCCCTGCGCTCTCCCGCGACTGTACTCTTGGACTCGCCATGCTCTATCTTGCCCTAAAATAACGCATCTTCGAGCATATTCGTAGATAGAGTTTTTAGGGCTTGCAATGGTTGGAAAGACGCATAAATTTGCGTCCAATAGACTCCCTGTAGGCCGGATAAAGAGATAGCTTAAAGAATTGCATCGCAGTGTTTCAGTGTCCTGTGTGGAATCTAAACAATCCCTTTTACAGGTCTTGCCTGCATCTTACGTTCCCAGCAAGGCATCTAGGCATATATATATACAAGAAATCGTGCCTGATCAATTGCATCGTTTTTGTTGGAGCGTAGGCTGATGGTGCCAGCAGAGAACGCGCGTGCTGGTGGTGGTGGTAGCGCTCAGTCTGGCGGAGGCGATGGTGGTGGTGGTGGTGGCGCTCCCGCTCCCGCTCCCGCTGCCCCCTCCTTGTCGAATAGCGTTGCGACGAAACGAGCCCCAAAGATCCTGTCCTCCACGCATGTTGAAGCACGTAAGTGATGCTTTCAGGACTATGTATGTACACATTGCCTTTGCTCCTCCAGATCAATTTCGACCGATTCTCATGGATAGCAGCCCTGAAGACAGATTGATCGACCTGATCAATAACAAAGACTGGGATGATCATACTGTCTATGATAGGCAGAAATGTATCTTCACAACTGCACTATATCTCGCTGTGGAGGCTGAGAACACTTCTGCAATATCCTGGTTGTTCGAATGGTCTGAGATCACTAAGGTAAACGACATCTTAGAAGCAGATTCATCCAATGGTAGCACCGCTCTACATGGAACTGCCGCTGTTGAAAACCCTGCCATTGTTTCACAACTGCTAGACGAGCTGACGGATGCAAAGCAAGTTAATGTCGTTGATAAAGACGGCAATACTCCCTTGCACACTGCTGTGAAACGACAGAACGTGAAAGTGATACAAGAGCTCTTAGATGCAGATGCGGATCCATGCCAAAAGAATATCAAGTGGGACGCGCCGTTACACATTGCAGCCAAAAAAGGTGGCAACCTTGAAATTCTAAAGAAGTTGCTCGATGACGTAGACGAGGTGGACACCCCTGACTTGGAGATCCTCTGCACCTTGCGTAAAGGAGTTGGAGTTAAAGGAGTTGAAGTTAAAGGAGTTGAAGTTAAAGGAGCTACGCATAAGGCAGCAGGAGCTTTCCCGTGTGGAACAACATCAGCAGGAGATAAGGCAGCAGCAGCTTTCCCGTGTGGAACAACATCTACAAGAGCAGCAGCACATGATTGTTCTGTTGATTGCCAGAGGTGCTGATCCGTGCCGAAAAGACAAGGAGGGAGCGTCTTCGTTGCACCTGGCGCTACAAGGCAATGAGTCGGTTTTTCAACTGCTACTGCACACAGCCTTGAAGCCACGATTCCAAAAGGCTTGCTCAGTGGAAGATGTCACGAGTAAGTCGTAGAGAGTAAGTCCTTCTAACATCTGAAATTTTTGGGCAGATGCCTTGGAGGAGCTGCTGATCCAAGAAGGTGGAGATTTTAGTGACAAACTGGAAGCTCTAAAATATGGTTGGAACATCCACAATGTTTATGCTGACAAAACCGCACTACACCTTGCAAGTGAATTTGGAAATGTAAGTCTGGTGAAAGCGCTGCTGAACCTCCATGAAAAAAGTAAGATTGACGTACGGAAGCAAGACGAACTCGGCAACACTGCTCTTCATTTCGCTGCTTCGAATTGTGTTGGGTGTTTGGAAATCGTGAGAGCCCTTTGCATTTTGATGTTGGCCAAGGGGAAGTCGCAATCGTCACAGCATTACTGGAAGCAGGTGCGGACATTAACAAAAAGAATAAGCTTGGGCACACTCCTTTGCATTTTGCTGTTGGACAAAAGAGAGCTGACATTGCTCGTAAATTACGCGACGAAGGTGCTGATTTTGGTTTAGAAGATGAGACAGGAGCTGGAGTATTGCACTTTGCTGCTAGAGGAGGGGGTAAACATTTCTTCGCGTTGCTGGATCCGAACGGCCTGGAAGTGAACCGAGCTACTAAAGCAGGTCTGACTCCGTTGCACTTTGCTGCCTGGAATGGGAACACTGTTGCACTCGAGTGGTTGCTGAAAATTAATGACATCAAGCTAGTTGCGGAGGACAAGGTTGACAAAGGGCTGCCATGGCATTGGGCGGCTATGGGTGGCAACATAGGCTGTCTTGACATACTCACACGTGAACATGTGAAAAGAAAGATACAGGTGTTTCCAGGAAGTCACAAGGACTGGCAGCGGGCATTCCAGCGTATTGAAGATCATGGTCAAGCCGACATAATTGATTGGGTGCTGTGGTGGTTCCTGTGTAACGATGGAGTGTTGGAGCCTGGTATATTGTCGTCTGCTGTTGCATATGGAGACAGTACAACGAATGGGTTCTTAGCGAAGAAGTTGGGTACAAGAGAAACTGGACCAGGGCCAGGGGACTCTGTTCATGAGCTTGTGGAGGAATCACGGCTACTGGAATGGGCTGCTTTGAGTGCCACTACCAGAAGCACAGAATTCGGTGGCAAGGGCCTGTTCAACAGAGTAAAGTCTGTGATGGAGTTCGTGATGAAGAAGTACACCAACGTGAAAGGAATCAATGATGAACTCAGGTTAGCTTTTAATAAGATTGCTTTCTTGCATGGAGTACAGGATGAGATGCGGGGAAGGGAGACCTTCGCAACCTGCATGGCAAAGTGCTTCACCCAGGAATTACCCGATATTGTCAAGGAAGCTGTGTGGAAGGAACTGGACATTAACTTTGAAGACAAATATCGAAAATTGCCAAGCAAGTACAAGGATGCCTTCGACGACGTGAGTGAACTGGCAAAAGATGTTCCTGTGGCTTATTGGGAGGCAAAACTTGAAGAACACAGAAGCAAGGACTTGAAGGCCATCTCGAAAGAATATAACGACGAAGAAGGACGTAGGAGGAAACGGCTGGCTCAACGTTTGAAACAGTTGTCTGAAAAGTTCATCAAAGATTATCCCAACGACACAGGCCACCAGACAGGTCGGACTGCTTTGCACTGGGCTGCCATCTTCATGGAGCGCGAGACAGTGATTGCCTTGTCTGGCAAAGGCTGCAAACCAGACATTTGCGATAACTTCGGCAAGCCACCTTATTGGGACGCACAATGTGTGGGTGAGAAGGACGCTGTCATGCTGAACTGCCTCAAGTGGGGCAGCTACACTGAGAGCTTGCACAAGGACCGGCAGATGTTCGTGGATGGCTTAAACGCGATACTGGTTGGATCCGCTCTCATTGCCAGTGTCACGTTCGGAGGCTTTTTTATCCTTATTTATCCCCAAAGATTTTAAGGATTTATGGTGACAGTATATCCAAATCTTATCTTATGATCGCTCCATAGGTCCAAGTGTCTCAGTGATTCCCAAGAAGTACATATCTATGTTTCAGAGCTTTAAAAAAAATACAAGAGAAAACAAAACTAATTTGAAGCTCGAAAACTCACCTATCTTTCTCAGAGCCTTCTATGACTCCAAAAACGTTACGAATTGTTGCAGTGGTCAGGTTAGCCTGTCAGGAAGTACGTAGTGCTCAAAAGCTTTAATATTTTTTTTGCAAAAGTTACCTCGTAGCGAAGATCAAGTTTCACAGGTCCTTTCCCAGCTCGATACGTGTCCACTGCAAGTCCTCCTTGCCAGGAATCAGGAGCAACAGGGCCTCCCAGCGCCTCGATGATTGGAAGAGCGTCGCGAGCGGAGATTGGCAGCGCGGGATCTACCTGCTGATCGTGGTCCGGATTCTCATCCTGGCGTTGCTGCTCAGTCGCTAGATTCGTCTGCCTCACTCCAGACAGAACCCTGCGATAATTTCCACTCCATCGGGCCTCCACATTCCCGGCATTCTTCCTCGTACCTTGAGGACGCGGCAACAGCTCCAGATCGCCGATCGCCATACCAGGAAAAAGGAGCGCATCCTCTCCATAAACCCTAGGGCAAAAAGGTTTTAGGTTTTAAACTATGCATCAGCCGGGAGTCGAACCCGGATCTATTGCTTGGAAGGCAAATATCTTAACCGTTGGACTACTTATGCTTAATACAATTGAAATAAAATTAACCTGAGACATTGCTTTCTTTTTGGCATTGATCCTCTATAAAAAACTGAAAATCTGAAAAAAAATTGGATTTACTACATGAAATCGGCATCGACAGGATTTTTATACATGGACTTAAATGGAATTTCTATCCTTGGTTTGCACCATTGCCATTTTATCTCTAAAATATTTTTTGTTCATCACCACAACTATACGCATTGAATGTTACAGACTTTGAAGACATTTGCAAGGCTTGTGACAGCATTGCCTCTCAACCCACTCTTGCTTTCAGGACTATGTATCTACACATTACCTTTGCTCCTCCAGATCAATTTCGGCCGATTCTCATGGATAGCAGCCCTGAAGACAAATTGCTCGACCTGATCAATAACAAAGACTGGGATGGTCATACTGTCTATGATAGGCAGCAAGGTATCTTCACAACTGCACTATATCTCGCCGCCGAGGCTGAGAACACTTCTGCAATATCCTGGCTGCTCGAATGGTCTCCGACTAAGGTAAAAGACATCTTAGAAGCAGATTCATCCAATGGTAGGACAGCTCTACATGGAGCTGCCACTATTGAAAACCCTGCCATCGTTTTACAACTGCTAGACGAGCTGACGGATGCAGAGCAACTTAATGTCGTTGATAAAAGTGGCAATACTCCCTTGCACACTGCTGTGGAACGACAGAACGTGAAAGTGATACAAGCGCTCTTATGGAATGATGCGGATCCATGCCAAAAGAATATCAAGGGGGAGGCGCCGTTACACATTGCAGTCAAAAAAGGTGGCAACCTTGAAGTTCTGAAGGAGTTGCTCTACCGCGAAGCCGAGGTGGACACCCCTGACTTGGAGAAGGGCCAGACTCTTCTGCACCTTGCAGTCAGAATGCACCTGCAGATGATAAACGAGTTGGAGGTAAAGAAGTTGGAATTAAAGGAGTTGGACTTAAAAATGTTACGCGGATGGCAGCAGGAGCTTTCCCGTGTGGAACAACATCTACAAGAGCAGCAGGACATGATTGTTCTGCTGATTGCCAAAGGTGCTGATCCGTGCCGAAAAGACAAGGAGGGAGCGTCTTCGTTGCACCTGGCGTTACAAGGAAATGAGTCGGTTTTTCAACTGCTACTGCACACAGCCTTGAAGCCACGATTCCAAAAGGCTTGCTCAGTGGAAGATATCACGAGTAAGTCGTAGAGAGTAAGTCCTTCTAACATCTGAAATTTTTGGGCAGATGCCTTGGAGGAGCTGCGGATCCAAGAAGGTGGAGATTTTAGTGACAAACTGGAAGCTCTAAAATATGGTTGGAACATCCACAATGTTTATGCTGACAAAACCGCACTACACCTTGCAAGCGAATTTGGAAATGTAAGTCTGGTGAAAGCGCTGCTGAACGTCCATGAAAAAAGTAAGATTGACGTACGGAAGCAAGACGAACTCGGCAACACTGCTCTTCATTTCGCTGCTTCGAATTATGTTGAAATCGTAGCAGGGGAGAGCCCTGGCCAAGGGGAAGTCGCAATCGTCACAGCATTACTGGAAGCAGGTGCGAAGATTAACAAAAAGAATAAGCGTGGGCACACTCCTTTGCATTATGCTGTTGGACAAGGCAGAGCTGACATTGCTCGAAAATTATGCGACGAAGGTGCTGATTTTGGGTTAGAAGATGAGACAGGAGCTGGAGTATTGCACTTTGCTGCTAGAGGAGGGGGTAAAGATATCTTCGCGTTGCTGGATCCGAACGGCCTGGAAGTGAACCGAGCTACTAAAGCAGGTCTGACTCCGTTGCACTTTGCTGCCTGGAGTGGGAACACTGTTGCACTCGAGTGGTTGCTGAAAATTAACGACATCAACCTAGATGCGGAGGACAAGGTTGAGAAAGGACTGCCATGGCATTGGGCGGCTATGGGTGGCAAAAGAGACTGTCTTGGCATACTCATACGTGAACATGTGAAAAGAAAGATACAGGTGTTTCCAGGAAGTCACAAGGACTGGCAGCGGGCATTCCAGCGTATTGAAGATCATGGTCAAGCCGACATAATTGATGTGGTGCCGTGGATTTTCCTGAGTAGCGATGGAGTGTTGGAGCCTGGTATATTGGCGTCTGCTGTTGCATATGGAGGCATTCACACGAATGAGCTATTAGCGAAGCTTCAGTTGGGTACATGGCCAGGGGACTCTATTCATGAGCTTGTGGAGGAATCACGGCTACTGGAATGGGCTGCTTTGAGTGCCACTACCAGATGCACAGAATTCGCTGGCGAGGGCCTGTTCAACAGAGTAAAGCCTGTGATGGAGTTCGTGATGACGAAGTACACCAACGTGAAAGGAATCAATGATCAACTCAGGTTAGCTTTTAAGATTGCTTTCTCGCATGGAGAACAGGATGAGCTGCGGGGAAGGGAGACCTTCGCAACCTGCATGGCAAAGTGCTTCACCCAGGAATTACCCGACATGATCAAGGAAGCTGTATGGAAGGAACTGGACATTAACTTTGAAGACAAATATCGAAATTTGCCAAGCAAGTACAAGGGTGCCTTCGACGACGTGAGTGAACTGGTGAAAGATGTTCCTGTGGCTTATTGGGAGGCAAAAATTGAAGAAGGCAGAAGCAAGGACTTGCAGGCCATCTCGCAAGACAACATCTGGAGAGAAAATAGATATAACAACGAAGAAGGACGTAGGAGGAAACGGCTGGCTCAACGTTTGAAACAGTGGTCGGAAAAGTTCATCAAAGATTATCCCAATGACACAGGCCGCCGGACAGGTCGGACTGCTTTGCACTGGGCTGCCATCTTACAGGATCGCGAGACAATGATTACCTTGTCTCGCAAAGGCTGCAAACCAGACATCTGCGATAACTTCGGCCAGCCACCTTACTGGGACGCACAATGGATGGGTGAGGAGGATGCTGTCATGAACTACCTCCAGTGGAGCAGCTACACTAAGAGCTTGCAGAAGGACCGGCAGATGTTCGTGGATGGCTTAAACGCGATACTGGTTGGATCAGCTCTCATTGCCAGTGTCGCGTTCGGAGGCTTCTTGAATCCGCCACTGGGGTACAGGCTTAAGTTCAAGGACAACAGGGAGTATGTGTCCATCGACAGACCAGGTGTGGTTGTGTTCTGGGTTGCCAACAGTTTGTCCTTCTTTTTCGCCATGGCCAGTGCTCTGGCAGCAGTCACCGGGGTCCTGCGTTCTCCCGACAAATTCAACCTGAGACTCCTTAGCCGTCTCCGACAAATACTCATTGCCGCAGCAGTCATGCTCGTTCTCTCCATCATCTTCGTCCTCGTGGGATTTGGAGCCGCAGGATTCTCAGCATTGCCACCTTTGGGAAAGTACCAGACCAGCATGATCGCCACTTCTGTCCCCGGGGGTTTGGTCTGCTTAGGTCCTGTCTGCACGTTCATCTACGCAGTTTACAACCTGAATTCCCGGAAGCTCAGATTCTTCGACTCGCAGCCCAGCAAAGCAGGTCAGGGCAGCGATGGTCAGAAAAATACCATCTCGAAGTTTGTTGATGCTCTGAAACGGTGCTTTAAAGTGCAAGATCATTCGGAGGTTGGGGGCATAAGTTTCGGCAGTGAAACGCTTGAGGAGCTTCTAAGTTCTCAGAGCACGCTTGAAGGTTCACCTCAGAGATCGAAAAGGTATGCGCGTGGTCAGCGACCTTGGGAAGATGGTTTGGATTCCCTGGTTCCGCTTACTGAAAGGGATGGTCAGACGGTCATAACAGTAAACCAAGGTCCCTGAACCGAATCTAGTGGTTGATTCATGTGCTCAAGCTGAAACATTTCGGAATGCTCATCCGCTGCTCGATCAGACCATCACATCGAATGTATATCAGTGTGATCACTAAGATTATTTACAGAAAAGCGTTACCGTCTAAAGACGCTCCACTCCGTCTCTGAAAACGTAGAGCCTCCATCGGACACTGGGCTGGCGAGCCTTCAGCTGCGTTGGGCTAGAAAACAGAAGAAAGTGAGATCTTACCGCTGACTTTGTTGGTCTCAGCTGCACTGAAACGACCTTCTCCTGCATTGAAACAAGGATAAGCATCGCCACGCAGCTCTTTGGATCTGTCTTACCTTTGCTTGCTCTTTGGCCAAAGCAGCTATAGGCGCTATACTATTGTCCGAACATCCGAGCACGGTAAGAACCAACAGCACGAAACAATTAAAAAAAATAAAAAATCCATCCTCTCCCTAGTGAGCGCAAGAGGCAAAATCCTTAACCACAATAGCTCAAAATGGAAGAAATGGCACCGTCACGAAAAGAAGCTCCTCTTTCTTCTCTTCCACAGGTGCTCCTCTTCCTCTCGCCAATGTTCCGCCAGATCTTGTTCGCCACTCTGAAGGGCCCAGCCACTTCCATTTGAGCCCACACCTTAGCAACCTCCTCATCCATTTTGCTAGCTGAAACCCGCTGGACTTGAAGATGCTCGTTAGTGATCGTCTGATCGTTGACTTTTTTGACCATACCATTGACTATATTCAATGCAATGGCGTGACGCTGTGAGCTGGCAATGGAAAGGATAGGATAAATACCGAGAGCAACTGCGCACGGTTCAACGGCCATGATTCTCTCAGGACCATTTAGAAAAATATATCACCTTTTATGACATTCGCGGCACACTAGATAGCTCTCGCAGCTCTCCATATTTCATGTTGCAAGTCTTGTTTTAAAGCTTTAAGCTCTTCTTTGTCCTCACCCACAGCCATCTTCGATATAACGTCCGCAATAGCAGGGAATGTCGAGGTACCATAGACATTTGTTTGAGTTGGGCCATAGATCTACACAATTCTCAACATCAAAACTCTTACAATCAGATAAAATGCACTCACCAAGTGTTTGAACCATGGCTTCCCTGGAAGGCCTTCGCCATCTAGAAAACAGCGCTCTCCAAGCATCAAAATATCATTTTTACTTCTGGGCGCAGTGAAAGAAGGGATCTTGGACGCAAGTTCACGAAGTTGATCCACCGCAAAATGAAGTGGGAAGAAATTTACGTCGCGCGACTTGCTGAGGCTAAGTATATTAACCTGGAAAAACCGATGAGACCAAGCGAAAGAAGAAAAAAGAGAAAAGCTTACTGGAGCTTCGTGGTTTGAGGCCCGGATCACTTCCACCCGGAACGAAAGCATTCTTGGTACCTCCAACGTAGGCCGTCCCAGATGACCCGAAATAAGCAGGAACCTGGCCTCCAAATCCTTTACAGCGACCTTTAAGAAACAATCCAACTCATGAAAAGCAATGGTATAATCGCTAGTACCTCCAGGACATTTGCATACGAGACATAGTTGAAAGGCAAGATCGTGTCCATGACCAAGCGCCTCGCAAGCAGTCCCCAGACTTTCACCACTAGCACCAAAGCCTCGAAATCTTATAAAAAGGAATCAAAAGCAAAGTTTCACCTGTTGCATGGCGATGAAACTGAGTGTCTCCAAAGTTTTTCATCCAGTTGTAATTGTCATAGAGTGAATGATACACGGGAAAATCTGAGTTTTTCTCTTCGTACGTCATGCTGGTGGAGGGAATTCCTGCGTGCTGCAAGAATGGAGCGTAGTCGGAGCCACCACCGCCCAGCCTCCCGACCTGAGTCGATCAAACCATTAATACGGAGCAGAGGAGATGATAATGATAAATTCTTTGTCTCTTACACAATCGTTTGATTTTCCACACCACGAGTCAAATATGGTTCCATTTGAGTCTGGATCTTTCACCTTGAGACAATCAAAATGCCATGAGTTGCAAAAAAAATTAAAAAAATGGTAAGATTTGCGTACCATTTTGGTGACTTCGAATAAAAGGTTGTCAAGCTGAGGCGTAGCAGACGCTGAGAAAGAACTGCCTGTTACTGCTTCATCCACGTTTAAATAAGCCACCGCTCGAGCCTTAAGCATGGCCAAATTGTCCTCGACCCACTCCGTAGAACCAATCTATTAAGAGAGGATATTTTTATGAGTAAACACGAAGATAATAGAGATACAAAGGATTACCAGACTGTACTCTTCGGCATCCCAGCTGCAAAATACGATTGTTCTCGCTGGTTTTCTCAGAAACTGTCCAAAGATGCGAGCTATCTAAAAACTCGCAAAAACATGAAAAGTTTCTTTGAGGAATAACATGAAAGCTTTACCTCCAAAAGGCAGGCAGTTCCGCTGTTTGGATCGCCGGCTCCATACGTCCAAGCGTCTCGGTGATTCCCAAGAAGCACATATCTATGTGTCAAAGCTTGAGAAACAATACACTAATTTGAAGCTCACCTATCTTTCTCAGAGCCTTCTATAATTCCAAAAACGTTACGAATTGTCGCAGTGGTCAGGTTAGCCTGCCAGGAAGTACTAGTGCTCAAAAGCTTTAATATTTTTTTTGCAAAACTTACCTCGTAGCGAAGATCAAGTTTCACAGGTCCTTTCCCAGCTCGATACGCGTCCACTGCAAGTCCTCCTTGCCAGGAATCAGGAGCAACAGGGCCTCCCAGCGCCTTGATGATTGGAAGAGCGTCGCGAGCGGAGATTGGCAGCGCGGGGATCGCTGGAACTCCCAGCCTTGTCAAGTTGGAAGCGTCCAGTCTCTTGGAAAGCTTGCTACTCGGCCACCCCGGGGTGAGAGGATCCCCGGGGTCCTGGATCACGGAGCCTCTCTGGACTCCACTTGGAGGCAACCATCGCGAGAATGGATAGTAGCCTTCAGTGGTAGCGTTCGTGGCGTAGTCTCGAGGATCCGGATACAAAACCACGGCCACCGCGCCTTCCTCCTGCGCGTTAAACACGATATCCCCTCGAAAGCTCTTGCCAAGCCTGGCGATTACCACGCTCCCTCTCACCTCCACTCCCAGGCTCTTGAGCTCGTCAAAATCGGATTTTTGGCCGTAGTTTGCGTACACCACCTCGGCAAGAGCTTCCCCAGACGGCGAGTAAGCGAAGAAAGTTGGAATGACTCCAGAGGAATCGCCATCGCCATCCACGGTCTCTTCGTCTAGAGCCAAGCTGAGTGACGAGTTGCTTGGGTAGACCACGGACAACGATCGCTTCAATGGATACGAGACGAGTACCTCGTAGTCGACCGTGCGCGTCGAGAGCCCAAACTCGCGGAATCTCTCCTCGACGAACTTGGCAGTAGCAAACCCCTGCGGCGTCCCCGCGACATGGGGGTGGAGCGTGAGATTGTGGAGGAAGGCGGCGATGGAGCGAGTGCTAACTTGGGTCACGAAGAACCAAGCCGGAAGCGAGCTTAGGTAGAGATTGATCGCGATGATCGCGACGAGCAACAGTAAAATGTGGGTGGCGAGAGTGCCAAACATCTCTTTCTTCGAGCTCGTACTTAAAAATCTTCTCTTCTCTCGCAAGAACGCTACCTGATAGTGGGATCCAAGTCATATCATAGAAGTTCCAAGCTTATCTCCCTGGATTTGTTTAAGAGTGGAGTCTTGGAAATGGATATGGTACTCCCAGGCCACGGAGGTACGCTTTTATCCCCCCACACCTGCGAATCTTGTAATCAAACAAGTTCTTTCTCGCGCGTCTCCTCTCCTTCCCAATCTCGGTCTTGTGGCGGCCAAGTTCTCTCGCAAATCTGGACGCCATCTTTTTTTCCACTCGCTCGCGGCTCGCCTGTGTAGCTATAACATCCGCTGCTGCTGCTCTAGCCTGATCTTTATCACCATTCTCCCCATCTACTTGACAACCTTGATCTAAACCTTCTTCTCTTTCTTTGTTGCCAGCCCTTGGTAAGAATATCATCGGCTGCGTGGCTTGAGCGGGCTCTCTGTCTTCTTTGAGAAAGTGGTACCTGGAAATGTATTGCCCCAGCCTGTAAACTTGTGAATCCAAAGCCCGTTGGATGTGGTGCCTAGAATCGGCCTGAAAAAACGAAAACAGCAAACTCGTCAAAGAAGAACAAGAGGAAAAAGAAAACACCAGCAAACTCACATTTCTCCTGTCGACAGCTTCCAAGGTTGGAGGATAGAGCTCCTCTGGTGTCTGGTAGTTCTTACCACGAAACATAATCACCGTCCGGTCCTCAAGGACATCGAGCACGATGCCTCCACTCAATCTCGCTACCTCGGCACTGATTCTCCGCGTCTCCTCCATGCTGTTGTGGCGCGGGCACTTGATCCTCACCGTCTCATGGAACTTCCAGTTGGTGTGGATGTTGTGAATCACACCTCCGTAGATCCCACGCTTACCGACGGACGCAAAGTTCTGGTTTTTGTTTCCAATCCTTGCGTAGTGCGCCGCCTCTCTTTCACTCAGAGGCTCCGTTTCTCGCAAGCAATGCTTTCCTTCGGTGAGATGGGACGAATGCTTTCGCCGGATCTCCGTCCTGTTGAGATCGATCGTGTACAAAGCCTGGAAGAAACGAGCGAAAGAAAATACATAAATAAAAGCAAATAAGAAGAGTGCTCCTTGGAAAAGAAGAACTTCTAAGACGTACCCTTCGGATCTTTACTTCGAGAAACTCCTTCTCGGTCTTGGGAGCACGGTTCTTGTCCTCCTCCCTTCTCTTGCGAATCTCCTCTCGGATTTGTTGCTTGACGAGCTGCGTTGGGCTAGAAATCAGAAGAAAGTGAGATCTTACCGCTGACTTTATTGGTCTCAGCTGACCTTCTCCTGCATTGAAACAAGGATAAGCATCGCCACGCAGCTCTTTGGATCTGTCTTACCCTTGCTTGCTCTTTGGCCAAAGCAGCTATAGGCGCTATACTATTGTCCAAACATCCGAGCACGGTAAGAACCAACAGCACGAAAAAATTAAAAATAAATAAAAAAATCCATCCTCTCCCTAGTGAGCGCAAGAGGCAAAATCCTTAACCACAACAGCTCAAAATGGAAGAGATGACACACCATTAGACGTGACGAAAAGAAGCTCCTCTTTCTTCTCTTCCACAGCTGCTCCTCTTCCTCTCGCCAATGTTCCGCCAGATCTTGTTTGCCACTCTGAAGGGCCCAGCCACTTCCATTTGAGCCCACACCTTAGCAACTTCCTCATGCTCGTCCTTTCTCACCATTACAGTCTGATCGTTGACTATTTTGACCATACCGTTGACTATATTCAATGCAATGTGGAAAGGATAGGATAAATACCGAGAGCAACTGCGCACGGTTCAACTGCCATGATTCTCTCAGGACCATTTAGGAAAATATATTACCTTTTATGACATTGGCGGCACACTGGATAGCTCTCGAAGCTCTCCAGATTTCATGTTGCAAGTCTTGTTTTAAAGCTTTAAGCTCTTCTTTGTCCTCACCCACAGCCATCTTCGATATAACGTCCGCAATAGCAAGGAATGTGGAGGTACCATAGACATTTGTTTGAGATCTACACAATTCTGAACATCAAACCTCTTACAATCAGATAAAATGCACTCACCAAGTGTTTGAACCATGGCTTCCCTGGAAGGCCTTCGCCATCTAGAAAACAGAGCTCTCCAAGCATCAAAATATCATTTTTACTTCTGGGTGCAGTGAAGGAAGGGATCTTGGAGGCAAGTTCACGAAGTTGATCCACCACAGAATGAAGTGGGAAGAAATTTACGTCGCGCGACTTGCTGAGGCTAAGTATATTAACCTGGAAAAACCCATGAGACAAATCTTCACCAAGCGAAAGAAGAAAAAAGAGAAAAGCTTACTGGATGACCCGAAATAAGCAGGAACCTGGCCTCCAAATCCTTTACAGCGACCTTTAAGAAACAATCCAACTCATGAAAAGCAATGATATAATCGCTAGTACCTCCAGGACATTTGCATACGAGACATAGTTGAAAGGCAAGATCGTGTCCATGGCCAAGCGCCTCGCAAGCAGTCCCCAGACTTTCACCACTAGCACCAAAGCCTCGAAATCTTATAAAAAAGAATCAAAAGCAAAGTTTCAACTGTCGCATGGCGATGAAACTCAGGGTCTCCAAAGTTTTTCATCCAGTTGTAATTGTCATAGAGTGAATGATACACGGAAAAATCTGAGTTTTTTTCTTTGTACGTCATGCTGGTGGAGGGAATTCCTGCGTGCTGCAAGAATGGAGCGTAGTCGGAGCCACCACTGCCCAGCCTCCCGACCTGAGTCGATCAAACCATTAATACGGAGCAGAGGAGATGGTAATGATAAATTCTTTGTCCCTTACACAATCGTTTGATTTCCACACCACGAGTCAAATATGGTTCCATTTGAGTCTGGATCTTTCACCTTGAGAGAACCAAAATGCCATGAGCTGCAAAAGAAATGGTAAGATTTGCGTACCATTTTGGTGACTTCGACTAAAAGGTTGTCAAGCTGAGGCGTAGCAGACGCTGAGAAAGAACTGCCTGTTACTGCTTCATCCACGTTTAAATAAGCCACCGCTCGAGCCTTAAGCATGGCCAAATTGTCCTCGACCCACTCTGTAGAACCAGTCTATTAAGAGAGGAAATTTTTATGAGTAAACACGAAGATAATAGAGACACCAAGGATTACCAGGCTGTACTCTTCGGCATCCCAGCTGCAAAATACGATTGTTCTCGCTGGTCTTCTCAGAAACTGTCCAAAGATGCGAGCTATCTAAAAACTCGCAAAAACACGAAAAGTTTCTTTGAGGAATAACATGAAAGCTTTACCTCCAAAAGGCAGGCAGTTCCGCTGTTTGGATCGCCGGCTCCATACGTCCAAGCGTCTCGGTGATTCCCAAGAAGCACATATCTATGTGTCAAAGCTTGAGAAACAATACACTAATTTGAAGCTCACCTATCTTTCTCAGAGCCTTCTATAATTCCAAAAACGCGCAGTGGTCAGGTTAGCCTGCCAGGAAGTACGTAGTGCTCAAAAGCTTTAATATTTTTTTTGCAGAAGTTACCTCGTAGCGAAGATCAAGTTTTACAGGTCCTTTCCCAGCTCGATACGCATCGACTGCAAGTCCTCCTTGTCAGGAATCAGGAGCAACAGGGCCTCCCAGCGCCTCGATGATTGGAAGAGCGTCGCGAGCGGAGATTGGCAGCGCCGGGATCGCTGGAACTCCCAGCCTTGTCAAGTTGGAAGCGTCCAGTCTCTCGGAAAGCTTGCTACTCGGCCACCCCGGCGTGAGAGGATCCCCGGGGTCCTGGATCACGGAGCCTCTCTGGACTCCACTTGGAGGCAACCATCGCGAGAATGGATAGTAGCCTTCAGTGGTAGCGTTCGTGGCGTAGTCTCGAGGATCCGGATACAAAACCACGGCCACCGCGCCTTCCTCCTGCGCGTTAAACACGATATCCCCTCGAAAGCTCTTGCCAAGCCTGGCGATCACCACGCTCCCTCTCACCTCCACTCCCAGGCTCTTGAGCTCGTCAAAATCGGATTTTTGGCCGTAGTTTGCGTACACCACCTCGGCAAGAGCTTCCCCAGACGGCGAGTAAGCGAAGAAAGTTGGAATGACTCCAGAGGAATCGCCATCGCCATCCACGGTCTCTTCGTCAAGAGCCAAGCTGAGTGACGAGTTTCTTGGGTAGACCACGGACAACGATCGCTTCAATGGATACGAGACGAGTACCTCGTAGTCGACCGTGCGCGTGGAGAGCCCAAACTCGCGGAATCTCTCCTCGACGAACTTGGCAGTAGCAAATCCCTGCGGCGTCCCCGCGACGTGGGGGTGGAGCGTGAGATTGTGGAGCAAGGCGGCGATGGAGCGAGTGCTAACTTGGGTCACGAAGAACCAAGCCGGAAGCGAGCTTAGGTAGAGATTGATCGCGATGATCGCGACGAGCAGCAGTAAAATGTGGGTGGCGAGAGTGCCAAACATCTCTTTCTTCGAGCTCGTACTTAAAAATCTTCTCTTCTCTCGCAAGAACCCTACCTGACAGTGGGATCCAAGTCATATCATAAGCTTATCTCCCTGGATTTATTTAAGAGTGGAGTCTTGGGAATGGATATGGTACTCCCAGGCCACGGAGGTACGCTTTTATCCCCCCACACCTGCGAATCTTGTAATCAAACAAGTTCTTTCTCGCGCGTCTCCTCTCCTTCCCAATCTCGGTCTTGTGGCGGCCAAGTTCTCTCCCAAATCTGGACGCCATCTTTTTTTCCACTCGCTCGAGGCTCGCCTGTGTAGCTATAACATCCGCTGCTGCTGCTCTAGCCTGATCTTTATCACCATTCTCCCCTTCTACTTGACAACCACCTTGATCTAAACCTTCTTCTCTGTCTTCGTTGCCAGCCCCTGGTAAGACTATCATCGGCTGCGTGGCTTGAGCGGGCTCTCTGTCTTCTTTGAGAAAGTGGTACCTGGAAATGTATTGTCCCAGCCTGTAAACTTGTGAATCCAAAGCCCGTTGGATGTGGTGCCTGGAATCGGCCTGGAAAAACAAAACAGCAAACTCGTCAAAGAAGAACAAGAGGGAAAAGAAAAGAGCAGCAAATTTACATTTCTCCTGTCGACAGCTTCCAAAGTTGGAGGATAGAGCTCCTCTGGTGTCTGGTAGTTCTTACCACGAAACATAATCACCGTCCTGTCCTCAAGGACATCGAGTACGATGCCTCCACTCAATCTCGCTAGCTCGGCACCGATTCTCCGCGTCTCCTCCATGCTGTTGTGGCGGGGGCACTTGATCCTCACCGTCTCATGGAACTTCCAGTTGGTGTGGATGTTGTGGATCACACCTCCGTAGATCCCACGCTTACCGACGGACGCAAAGTTCTGGTTTTTGTTTCCAATCCTTGCGTAGTGCGCCGCCTCTCCTTCACTCAGAGGCTCCGTTTCTCGCAAGCAACGCTTTCCTTCGGTGAGATGGGACGAATGCTTTCGCCGGATCTCCGTCCTGTTGAGATCGATCGTGTACAAAGCCTGGAAGAAACGAGCGAAAGAAAATACATAAACAAAAGCAACTAAGAAGAGTGCTCCTTGGAAAAGAAGAAGTTCTAAGACGTACCCTTCGGATCTTTACTTCGAGAAACTCCTTCTCGGTCTTGGGAGCACGGTTCTTGTCCTCCTCCCTTCTCTTGCGAATCTCCTCTCGGATTTGTTGCTTGACGAGCTCCTTGACGAGATTCCTCTTCTTGATCCGGAAATCCATAGACAGCTGCTGATCGTGGTCCGGATTCTCATCCTGGCGTTGCTGCTCAGTCGCTAGATTCGTCTGCCTCACTCCAGACAGAACCCTGCGATAATTTCCACTCCATCGGGCCTCCACATTCCCGGCATTCTTCCTCGTACCTTGAGGAAGCGGCAACAGGCTGTGCTCCAGTGGCGGCAGTGCACATCGCCGATCGCCATATGAGGGAAAAGGAGCGCATCCTCTCCATAAACCCTAGAGCCGACACGTGGCAAAAAGATTTTAGGCATTAAAAATGCATCAACCGGGAGTCGAACCCGGGTCTATTGCTTGGAAGGCAATTATCCTAACCGTTGGACTACTGATGCTTATTAGATTTAAAGTAAAGTTGATGAAGGAAGGAGCTCTATTAAAACTGAAAATCTTATGGATTTACTACATGAAATCGGCATCGACAGGATTTTTGTACATGGACTTAAATGGAATTTCTATCGTTGGTGTGCACCATTGCCATTTTATCACTAAAATATTTTTCGTTCATTACAACTATACGCATTGAATTTTACAGACTTTGAAGATATTTGCAAGGCTTGTGACAGCGTTGCCTCTGGATCCACTGATCACTAACAAGCACAGAGAAATCCTGTTCTCCTAAACGTAATTGCAGCATCCAATCTTGTGGTTTATTGTCCTGGGAAAGATTTCCAATCTCTCAAGTTGCGAGGCACATTCCATGTTGTCGGCACTTGTAATTGCTAGAGCAAGAGATGGATTTGCAAGAAGAATCAAAACGCAGGCAAAGAGGGGCCATTTGCGACATGGATCGAGCTGGATCGAGAATGCCCTTAAATCGTCTGGTCCATGGTGTCAAACAAATCTCCATACAAAGAATCCTCTTCGTTTTGACTGGAAGCAAAATGGGCGCGAACGAGCATTGGACGGCCGCGATCGCAACAAATCTTAGGGTTTAGGCGAGGATGCAGCGACGCCCAGTCAAGAGGTTGCGCTGCGTGTGTGGGAGCGATGGCGGGGAATACGATCTGGCCAAGGCAGTCAAGGCGCACGAGGCCATCGCCGCAATCGACAAGAGTAAGCTGTGCACTGCCGGTGAGATCACGGTGATTCCATATCCGGGAATCGGCAAGGCGCCGTCGATGCCCGGAGGAGATCTCCAGTTTGTTGGTCGCCGTGATCTTGAGAGCCTGGTGGAAGCAGCCAAAGAGACAAAAACGCTGCTAGTCGTTGGGCCGTGTGGAATCGGCAAGAGTTGCTTGCTCAGGGCTTTGGCTTGCGGGTGGATTCACGATGCCGCGGGGACTAACAGCAGGATTGTTTGCCTCTGGGACCTCGCGATTGCTATCGCTAAGCAGGACTTGGGCGGGTGCGTGAAGAACGCGCTGAGGTTCACGTTTTGCAAGGAGGCCGAGCTGCTGGATGAGTTAGATCGCTTGGGTTCTATGCAAGACATTGCCAAGTTCTTCCGCGATCGAGTAGCAGCCGCGGGTGACGAGTTTTACTTTGTCGTCGATCAGTGGGAGATGCTTGACGCTGTTGGAGAGGAAATGCCAGTGACAGTGCCCGCCAAGGAGCTGCGTAAGATGTTCCACAGCGATTTGTTTGCTTTGTTCTCACTTGCAGCAGTGACTGTCTTGGGGCTGTCTCGTGGGGTTGGAATGACGCAGGAGTACTTGCAGCTGCGGTATAGTCCGTGCGAACTCTTGCTTCTGGAGGATGGTTTCTACGGGGTGAGCTGTTCTTTCTTGTGGATGTTTGTGTTTTGATTTCTAAAGTCTTGGTTGGCAGGAGGAGCTGACTGCTTTCCGAGACAAGCTGAGCGTTCTCGGGCTCCTTTGCTCGCGATTCCCGAAGCGCTCAATGCTTGTGGAGCATTACACAGGGAGGCACCCGTTTTCGTTGGCCGTCTTGGACAGCAGCTGCCGGAGCTATGCACTCGGCAAGCTCGTGGCCCGCGAACTACCAAGTTCGTGGTTACACCGCCGTGGTCCGGAAAGGAAGCTTAGTCCGGAAGAGGTAGTAGCATGCCTGGAGGACGACGAGGACTGGCTGGCGGCGATTGAGACTTTCTTGTCATCGGGTGAGATGGCGCGGATCAGGGTCTCGCTTGAGTACGCGCTGGCGATGCGAAAGCCGCTGCGACGGGCATGCCAGACGATAGAGGACATGGTTAAGTTTGATTCGAGTTTCATTGTTGGCGACGGGGAGGAGGGGTCTGAGTTTGTGACTGAGCACATCGCCCTAGTGTATGCGGATGTGTTCCGAACAGCGGAGAAGGCCAATGTCTTCAGTGGTTCTTGCCACACCGGATCCGGCATGAATTTTTCAACCTTGCATTAGCAACATCCATGGAACTTAGTGATGATAGTGTACGTGTTCATCATTGGTGTCTGCAACTCTCGTGTCCCAATTTTGTAATCTGACCTTTGTCTTTGAAACAAAATCTGCCGCAAGTTTCTTCACGTAGACAGACAATCCAAAAGCTCTTCCACTCAATCGCTAGTTAAATAGATTTAAACCATGTACAAGCCGAAGAACAATGCGACACCACTACAGGAATTGGTGAGGTACAAAAGAGTCGTGCGTTCGAATCCGCGCCCCAACATGCTTGGGAAAATTAAAGGAGTGATCAGTTTGTTTTATTTGAGGGTCCCTCTTCTTCGGGTGGGTTCGAACCCGGGATCGGCTCTACAAGACTATCCCTCAGGTCCCTGGGCTGGCCAGTCTTCCCAGGGTTGATCACTTGAAAAATATTGCGTCTCTCTTCTACATGAAATAAACTTTGGTTTAGTTAAGCCTTGAGCCTTTCAAGGGTCAACACAGGGTTTACAAAGCGTCAACAAATAGTCATCTTGAAAAAGAAAAGAATTGGTTTAAACATTTTCTCACAGCGTATGGCTTGGGGGTGCCGATGCTGCCGAGTACCCCAATTGTTCCATCTCCCACGTCTCTTTTGGAGCAACCGAGACGTGGTTTGGAACATAAGCCTGCCAAACAAACAAAGGATCACGAGGAAACTTGTACACAACCGAGGAAAACTTACCTCTAGTCTATCAAGGAGCTCGCCCGCAGTCGATGCGGAAATGACAATTTGCCTGGACGACGGCTTGATGAATCCTTCCTCCGTGCCCTTGTCAAACAGGGCGAGCAGCGGATTGTAGTAACCATCAACGTTTAGCAGGCCGACCTGAAAGAGAGACGACAAACATCAGACTTTCCATGTGAGAAACTGCGAGATCTCTTACAGGCTTATCATGAATGCCTAACTGGGACCACGTTATCATTTCCAGCAGCTCCTCTAGCGTACCATATCCGCCTGGCAACAACGAAGAATGTGTCAATACTTTTCACAGGCTAGAAAGCGCGAGAAAGCGCGAGAAAACTATACCCGGAAGTGCGATAAAGGCCTCCGCCTGCCGTGCCATCTCGGCTTTCCTCTGGTGCATGTCGGATACGACTTTCACCTCTCCGACCGTCTTGCCTGAAATCTAGAAAGGAAATGAAACGAGCTTTGGGGAATGAGTGCCCGTCCCAACGAGCCAGCCACATGGAAATAAATGGTAAACCTGTACTACCTCGTGAGGCATCAACGCTTTTGGGATTACTCTGCGAGGAGGACAGCCAAAAGGTCAGAGGGGCGAAAAGAACGTTAAAAAACACAACAAAAAGCACTACGTACCCAGTAACGCGACAGCCACCTTCGTAAACCGCTTCCGCTATAAGTCCCATCAGTCCGACGTTGCCGCCTCCGTAAACCAGATCGATTTTCCTCTTTACCTGTAGACGCCAAAAACACGCAAAGCTCGTTAGAGAACAAACCACAAAAGGGATCGCACACAACAAACTTATACAACAAATCGGGCGTGAGGAGACAAGAGCTTGGGAATATAAAGTACCACCAAAATAACGAGTTCACGCGCTCAGAGAGAGATGCAAGCTCATCCTCCTGGCTCAACCACACCAAACATATCAATTCCATGACAGCCTGGCCACTCTCGTGCCCGAGCAAATTATCCTCCGAAAGCACTCCAGGAGACAAGGAATGAATCGCCTTTTATGCACCACTCTATAGTTTTGCTCATAAGGAGCGAATGTATCGAGGTAAGGAAACCAGGGACAACATCACCACACCGGGACAGAGACCACTTTCTACGCAAAACAAACCAAAAACAATGCAAGAACACACATGAGAGAAAGAAGCGGAAGCAAAAGTAAACTATGGTGGTGGTCGAGCAATGCAAAAGTCGTCGCATGATAAGCTAAGTGGAAGTCACAAGCGATGCAACGGGATTAAACCGAGACTAAAATAATAGGAGGGAAAAAAAAAAAAAAAAATTAAAAAGGAGAGCCTTCCATTCTATCCAAGAACTCCCCCACCAAAATAAAGAAAGAGCTTGCTGTGATTCGTTCGAAACTAGCACACCGATCTCCAAAAAAGAAACCTTGCAGACAATGGCGCACATTCATTCACTCATGCACTCGCTCATCAAAGAAATGCAATGCGCAAGGGAATAGAGGAAGCATCACATTACCAATTCGCGGCCGAGGTCGGCAGCCGCGGCGCCGTAGCTCGTCTTCTTCCCGCTGCTACTGCCGCAAAACACACAAATCCTCACAAATTTCGACCTCCCTCCCCCGGAATCGTCCATCTCTCCACGGATCAGCACGCCACAGCGCCGAAAGCTCCCACCCGAACAGCGTTGCGCGGGCGCCTAGCAGCGCCGCCTCCTCGTCGCAGCGCAATCGATCGTCCTCGCCGTCGCCATACCTTCTTCCCTTCAATTCTTTCTTCTCCCACACACAAAGAAAAGTCCCAGCCTCGAGACCTTATAACACACACAGCACACACACAAAGAAGAAAAACTAGGTCATCTTTCCGGGAGCGTTTTTCTTTCCACATCTTTTGCACTAATCACGTAGCAGTCGCAATCTTTTGCTTTGGCCCCCGATGGTCACAACGTAAAAGAAATGTTGACGCTTCCACGCTGGCCGGGGCGCTTTCAAATAACAGATTGCGAGGCAACGTTGTTGTTTTAACTTTTTATACCGTGGCTTTGGAAATGGTCGTCCCCTGTCCAGGTGCTTCCACTGGAACAAAGAACCCTGCGAGATTTGGTTAATAAGATTTTTTGCTTACCTTGTTAAGTAGAATTCTTTGCGAGTCGAAGAAGATCCAAGCGAGATTTTGTGTTCCATGATCACCAACATATAGTGGCTGACGATCACGTTGCTAATCAAAAGTCCAGCCTTTTCATTAATGCGATGATGCGAGAGAGAGAGAGAGAGAGAGAGAGAGAGAGGGAGAGAGAGAGAGAGGGAGAGAGAGACAGAGCCTGCGACTGAGATGAAGATAAGCATAAGCAAAGCTCACAAAAGGAAAAGATATGGAGCTTACTTACGCTGCGCGCTTCGGGGCCTTTAAAGCCCTGTATGGACACGCATCCTGGCGAGGAAACATAGAGGCCAGGCGACCTGCCTCTTATCTCCTCCTGCGCTGCCGAGACACGCATTGCATTGTAACCGGTGAGATCTTCCCAAAGATCCGTGACGTTGATGGAGAGTGTATCCCGGGAGAGTTAAAAAAGACACTGAATGTGTCCCGGTGTTCCAGCGATAGACCTTTTGGAATGACTTGGTAAGTCACTTCGGCTGCTCTGGTCTGTGCGGAAGAAACCATGATAGCTTGTCAGGACAACGTTGAGAAAGAGAGAAAGTTGGGAGGAGGAAAAAAGGACAGAGCTTCTGTGCAGTACTTTGATGATGAAGTGTGTGAGAGAGAAGGGAAACAGAGGTGTGTGTGAGATGTTTTACCTGGAGAAAGATTGGAATCAATCCCCGTCCCTGTTGAGCCACTACTCGCTATCACATCACATTATGGAAAAGAGCACGGTACTGCGGATCTACAACAACTGCCACTGGCCGCACATTCAATCCCTCTTGTATGTTATTGCTGCAACCTTTAAAAAAAAAAAGGAAGAGAAAAAAACCAAAAGAGCTTTCCAGAACGAGACAGGTAAGAAAATCGAGCAAGTGCTTACCTTTAGTTCTTACATGGAGAGAGGAACGAAGAAAAAGGAATGAATCATCATACGAGCTTGTGCTTAGACAGATCGTTCTTACTTTAAGGTACAATGCGGAAGAATAGAACCTAGAGAATAAGAAAAAGGAGAACGGAAAAGAAAGAAAGAAGCTCTTACTTTGGTTGGATGCTGGAACATTGTTGATCCTCGCGCGTCCTTTGTCAACCTCAAGATGGAATATAAGTACGTGATAAAGACGAAGAGAAAAACTTACTAGAACCGCCTAAAGGTTTTGGTCTCGTCCTGGATTGGAATCCACACGATATCCTTCCTCTTCATGTGTGTAACCCACCCAGGGTCCCCGGAATCCTTGCCTTTCCAGTCGGTTCTCTCGCACCAGTCCCACGAATTGGTGGCCCTCGGCCCCGGAATCTCGATCACTTCCTCCGGATCCTCGAGCGGGGAGTTCACGAACTGCGTGTAATCCATCACGTCCTCGTTGTAAGCATCCGTGACGAGCTTCTCCCCGCGGCCAAACTCCTTGTTGATCTCATCGGCGATGGCCCTCAGCACCGGCTTCTGATAGAGCGCCTCCTGCTTGTGGTTTCGCTGGAAGTCGTCCGCCGCCTTGGCGATCTTCATCGTGACGGCGAAGTGATTGCCCCTGTCCAGCAGCCATTCGGCATGGAGAAGCACGCGCTTGCCTTGCTCGATGAAATCCCTCTCGGCAGGCTGCGCGAAGTAGCAATGCCGCTTCTCCCGGTGCATCAGTGGATCCACCTTGGTCTGTCGAAGCCGATCAATCCCACCGCGAAGAAATCCTAGATCTAAGAGCATACCAGGGTGCGCCGGCGCCTGCGCTTGTTGAAATCCTGATCGCCTCCTCCTGCCTGGGCGAATACGCTGCGCATTGGGACCGCCATAGCCATCGCCATAATTTAGGGTTTGCCGGGGTTTAGGGTTCTTCACGTTTTTGGAGCCCTAGCATGGCGAAGCCGCGCAAACAGAAGCAGGGAGGAGTGGCGGATGGCGCTGGGGAGAATGGCGGCGACGCCGGCGTCATCGTGCGCCACCAGAAGCTGTGCGTCGCGATCGACATGGAGCACGAATCAATCGTCGGGTATTTTCTCAAAAACCTTGGAGATTTTCCTCATTGTAGCCTAGGGCAGGCACACGGAGCTGGACGTAGCGTCCAGGAACAGCGTGGGGGAGTTCCACTCCGGGGGACTGGAAATCTTGCAAGTTCTTGTGGATGGAGTCCCTGCGAAGTTTGAGAGGAAGCGAAGGACACCGAATTCATCTCAGCAGGCCAGCCCTCGCGTTCAATCGCTACAAACTGCTGCTGCCACTGCTTATTCCAGCTACAAGGCTGTCTTGGCGGCAGAAAGCTCACCCGATCTCTTCATCACCTTGTCCGCGGCGTCTCCTTCCCAGGCAGAAAATCTGTGTCAAGAGAACGGGTCGTCGCAAGACGTTCCAAAGCTATCCACAGCGCAGGTAAAGCTCTTTTTCAACTGTTAGTTCTATGCTTGAACTACTTTCTTGTTTCTTGATTGCTTACAGCCGGTGAAGCTCGTACAAATTCATTTCGCGCTAGAAAAATCGAAGAGCAAAATTTTCTTCTCCACGAATTTATTTCAGACGCATCGTGTGCAACATTGGTTTCCTTGCCTTGGCTCGATGTCGAGCAGATGCAGGTACACTATGCGTTATTTCGTAGGTTTTTTTTTTTTTTTTTCTTACATTTCTCTTTCGCCAGCAGCTACCATTTAGAATTCACTGTACAGTCTGATTACGTTGCAGTAAGCGCTGGAAATCTTCTGTATCAGGTACCATCTTTATCTTGTCGAGGTGTTTGAATCGACTACTTTCTGTCACAGGTTCTGAGTAAGGAGGGAAACATGAAGACATATGTCTACAACTTGGATGTACCAACGCCAGCCTCATTTGTGACTCTGGTTTCTACACCCTTGGAAGTTATTCCTGAGCGACAAAATGCAAACGTGTCACATATGTGTCCACCAGGCTTTACCTCGAAGCTTCAAAGCTCTGTAAATTGCTATTACTCTCTATTCAGGTTAGTAGTATCATTTTTAATTTTTTTGTTTCATCACTTGTACCGTATTTGCAGTCTATACGAGGAGTACTTGGGTGCTGAATTTCCTTTTGGATCCTACAAGCAAGTTTTTATTGACTCCGAGCATTCGGTTGCCTCTCTATCAGTAGGAGCATCAATGGCGGTTTTTAGCTCGCATCTACTTGTAGACGAACGGGTTATTGACCAGGTAAGAATGGTGCCTCTGTAGTTTAGTTACTGATGTCTCTCATCTCCTTGAAGGCAATCATAACTCAAATCAAACTCTCTCAAGCGTTAGCTCAACAATGGTTTGGAGTGTTTATAACGCCAGAAACCGATCGCGATGGTAAATTTGCCATAAAAAATCATATGAAAATTTTGTTTTTGTGCAGTATGGCTTTTAGAAGGCATATCCGGCTTTCTTGTACATTTGTTCATAAGAAAATTTTTGGGAAATAACGAGGCACTATATCGGAAATTCAAGGTAGCTTCTTCTAATGGAAGGGATGCATTCTTATCTTTTTGCGTATGTATCACTAGGCTATCGAAGCTGTAACTGACGCAGATGTTGAAAGTTTTCCACCTCTTAGTCCATCTTCCGTTCCTGCTGGTGTTTTCCGGGCGGAGAAGCTGGGGCTTCTTGGGAAAATCCGGCTATGGAAAGCCGTACGACTATCATGACTTTTTTTGCTCTTTTGATTCTGTTGTTTTACAGGTAACCGTGATTCAGATGCTTGAGAAACAGATGGGGCCAGAATCTCTTCGTAAGGTACTAAGCGAAAAAATTTCATGACTTAATATGCTGAGCTATATACACAGGTTCTGCAAAGGATTGTATCGAGGGCTGGAGAACGTAACATGAGAACACTCAGTACAAAAGAGGTGCTTGTTTTCCATTTTCCCAGCTTGCTTCCTTAGCAGTTATTTCCAAGGGCTTCAGTTCAGGCATTTTGCAAACAAAATTGGAAACCTCGAACGTCCATTCTTAAAAGAATTTTTTCCTCGATGGGTGGAATCACAAGGCTGCCCGTTGCTAAGGTCTGTTATTGTTTTCTTTTAAAAGTGTAAGTACTGACACGCGGTGCAGGATGGGATTTGAGTACAACAAGAGAAGAAATATTGTGGAGTTCGCAGTTCATCGGGACTGCACAGCTCCAGAAGTCATGATGCTGGGGAACAAGTCCATCGCTGACGTTGGATGGCCTGGAATGATGAACATTCAAATACACGAACTCGACGGCATGTATGATCATCCGAATCTATCTCTGTCAGGAGACGTGCATCAGCTTTTGGAGATTCCATGCCATTCCAAAATGGCAAATCGTCGTCCCCAGCGGCCAAAAAAGCCCGGGAAGGTGGAAATTATTGATGATTTGGCAGACGATAAACCAAGGTATGAGGCTTTTTTGGAAATGTCTCGTCTTTAATTCTATTTTTTCAGTGTGGAGTCTCCGCTGTTATGGCTGCGTGCTGATCCTGGTATGGACTACCTAACGAAGATACAGCTTTGGCAACCTGAGCAAATGTGGGTAAGTTGTAAACCTCAGCATTCTCTATAGCTTCTCTTATTTTTGCATTCCGACAGATTAATCAACTAGAGAGAGACAAGGATGCTGTGGCACAGTTGCAAGCAATTGCAGCTCTACAAAAGCTACCTGTGTCGTTTTCGATAGTAAACGCGCTGAATGGCTGCCTTATTGATCCCAAGGCAAGCTGTTAACTTCTTTCATGTCTAGAAGCCTATAAGCGGAGGCGCTATGCAGGTATTTTGCCGTGTCCGGGTCGAGGCTGCTTTCGCACTAGCTAACACGGCCGGAGAGGTTTGTTCAGTTCTTTTCTTTCGGCCGCTATACTTTTTCTTTGTCCAGGGGACATCATGGTTGGGACTTGGACACCTCATGAAGTATTACAAAAGCCGATGCTTTGATATGGAAATTGGACTCCCGAGGTTTGTACTTGAGTTTTCTGTTCGTGCTCTAACATGGAACTATATCAGACCCAATAGCTTCCATGATTTTTCCGAATACTTCGTCCTTCAGGTACCATCTCATGCTAATATGCTTTGAGCCTTACTAGTCTTTCGTATAGGCAATCCCTCCGGCAGTTGGAACCGTTCGTGGTAATCAAGGGAAGAGTCCACCAGAAGCCGTTGAATTCATTCTTAATATTCTCAAGGTTGCTACCTGGATGTCACTAGAATTTTAACATCATGGAGTTGTTATCTATTCCAGCACAACGACAACAGTGGAAATGCTTATTCGGATTCTTTCTGGCTTTCGTCTGTTATTGAATCAGTAGGCGAACTAGAAATCAGTCAACAGGTAAGCTCAGCTTCTTTTTTATTTTCTATCTTGTTTTAGCTTGACTTGCTTGTTACAGAGCATTCCAAAATTCGCAAGAATTTTGAAGCAGATTGATCGGTATTTTCAGTATGATAGGTATGATTGAATGCTCGTCGTCCTGGTTTTCTTACCCACGTACACAGACTAATGCCGAGCTACAATTGTATATTAACTCGAAGTTGCATTCAGACTTTAACTCGCCTTGCTTTGAAGTTCAACACAGTCATTTCCCTGGTATGTTTTTGTTGTCCATTCTTGGATGACGACTCCGCACAACATTTTGTAGGCACCTATTGAAACGCTGTTGTCTCCTTTCAAAGTGCTAACAACACCCTGGCAAGTGAGGGTTGCAGCTTTGCAAGCACAGTTGGACATGAAGTTCCAGTCGGAAAGTCTAAATTCGTCGCTCCGAGTCGCCCTTGATTTTGTCAGAGAAGATCCATGTGCAAGAGGTCAGCTTCCATCTTCATGTGAATTGTCGTGCTAATGCTGTCGACTTTCAGTTCAATGCAAGGTGATGTCTTACGCTTTACGTATCTGTCTACGGAAGCATGCGTCAACGTCGTCTGTGGATTCTTCGACTGTCTCGTCGCTCCTGGAGTTTTTTGAAAGTGAACAATGTGCCGTGAATCACAAGTTGAGGCATTATATTTTCTCTATCTTGCAAGTTCTCGCGGGAAAGTAAGCATTTCTCACCCGTTGAATTGTGCTACACTGCTGACGTCTATTGCAGGCCTGCAACGTTGCTACGAGTGAGTAGGCTCCCACCAAAAGGACCCGTATTATTATCACCCACGGGAAAGAAAGATGATGTTGATGTTTCAAAGCTTAAGGTGCGTGTGATCCAGGCCGCGAAGAAGGAACCAGAACAACAGAAAGCTGGAAAATTGACTTTGCGGCTAAAATCCAGTACCTTCCAAAATGCGGACGCTCTACTCAAATTGCCTTCTCCGACTACTGCTCCTGAAAGTGTGAAGAGCGCCAAGTCAAGTACGATAGATCAACCGCAGGCAGCGAAGCCTTCGAGCTCGAGCAGCCAGGCGGCCGAAGCTTCGGTGCTTGTCGGTCCAGAGAAGATGGACATTGACGACAGTCTTGGCAGCTCGCAGTTCAAGGATCTCATCGAAGTCATCGACGTAAATCCTGTTCCGGAAGCACCAGTTGCGAGAAACGAAGCTGTAGACGAACAAGTAGCTGAGGCTTCTCAAAAGGAGGAGAGGAAGGAGAAGAAAGACAAGGACAGGAAAGACAAGAAGGAGAAGAAGAAGGAGAAGAAAGAGAAGAAGGACAAGAAAGATCGAAAGGAGAAGAAAGAAAAGAAGCACAAGGATAAGAAACACAAGAAGGACAAGGACAGGCACAAGCGCGAGGGAACAGAGCAGCAGCCTAAGAACGAGAATCAATCGCCCGGCTCTGACGTTGCGGTTGTTCCTGCCAGCCAAGTAAACGAAAGCGAGACCGCCGTTCGCCAACCCAGCATTCTCCTCAAAGTGAAGCAGGAAATAAGCGACGCAAACATGTCAGCTCCGCCGGTGCAAGCTTCATCAGCAACGAGTACACCACCACCACAACCACAAGTTACTGCTACCAAGGTATGATCGAAGCTTTGCTTGTGATCTTCTCATGGTTTTCTTTCTTCAGAGGCCTGGAGAAGGTGGTTTCAAGCTGAAAATTAAAAGACCCAAAGTCGAGTGAGAGCCGGGTAAGAAAAAAAAACTTTCGCTCAAAGGAATGTTTCTGATTAGGGCGGTTTGCGCAGGCAAGAAGCTCCGGCGATCGATCTCTTCCAGCGCTGGCCCGTCGGTGGAGCATCTCCGTGCCGTGCCCTTCACTCGCTCCCGAGAAGATGCAAGGTCAGACTACGACGCCTACCACAGCTCCGTCATCTCCTACGTCCCGTCGCTGTCCCCGAGCGTCAAGGAGAGGTTTCTACCATTCTGGGCAGTGTGCTCCGTGGCCAAGGTGGCCATCGACAGCGCTCAAATCGGCTACCTCAAGCACAGGTACAACTTCGCCACGAAGAGGATGGAGACTTACACATCGTGGCAGCTCGTCTACTTCTCGAAGAATGAGAGACCCTCCTGGGAACGCAGGCATGATCCCAACGAGGACCTCGACATGCAGATATACGCTTCCTACGAGTACCGCAGGGCCTATGTCAACGGGCTGAGATGCGTCGGCTGTTTCAGCGGTGCAACCAGGCTGACTCCCGAGATGGTGGAGGGTCCAGACGGAGTGAGAGGACTGGAGGAGTTCCGGATGAACGCACAGGCAGCTCTGGACTTGGCCAAGACGGCTGTGTACCGTCAAGCTCAGGCCAACGCTCGCGACTTCCTGCTCAGGATCTTCCCGGGGTCTTGGGACGCGAGAGGGATCAACCTCGACTTCCTGATGGACAGCGTGCTGGTGGCACCCATCTACGTACCCGTCTACATCTTCGAGAGCTCCTACTTCACCGAGATGGTGCGGACGTTCGTCCACGGCGCGAGAAGCTCCGCTGTCGGTGGCCAGAGGCTCTACCACGCACCGCTGGCGGCAATCGGTGGCGGCATGGCCTGCGCGGCGATGGCGTACCACATGTCCGGCTCCGTGCCGCTGGGAGCGTGCGTGGTGGCGGCGACCATCGCCAGTACCGTGGCGTTGCTCTTCCCGGTTCTGGTGCTCCGGTTTCGAGAGTGGTGGCGAGTAAGAGAGAGCGCGCAGCACGTCTGGAGGGACTGGGGCCAGGAGTACGTGAACGCTTACGAGATGTGGGAGGAGCTCGCGCGGAAGCAGCAGACAAGGCGGGAGGAGGCGAGGCAGCGCAGGTTTTACGAAGAGCAGACTAGATACCGGCGATCGGATTACTCTCGCCAGAGGCAGGAGGAGCCTTCTTCTGGCTATGGTGGTGGCGGCAGCAATCCGGATCCAAAGGGCTACTACGCGAGGCTGGGTCTCCAGCCCGGCGCGTCCGAGAGCGAGATCAAGGCGGCGTTCCGGGCGCTGGCGCTCAAGCACCACCCCGACAGGCACCAGGATCCCGGGAACAAGGCTAAAGCCAAGGCCAACTTTGTGAGGATCACCGAGGCGTACGAGGTGTTAAGGGATCCAAACAAGCGGAGGGAGTACCAGCAGCAACGCGGCTACTAAGTAGGAGTGTATCAAAGTGGATCTTCTCTTCCCCCATTTTTTGTTCTACCCTGTTGACCATCCCATTGACTAATGTTCTCAAAATAAGATAAGTCAACTATCTCTTCTCAAAATAAAGTCAACGTTGTTGACTACAAAGTCGGAAGATCAAGTCAGCGTTGGTACTACTCTTTTCAAAAAGTCAACATAGTCTCACTACGCTGACTATAAAGCCTAGAACAAAATAGTCAAAGCTGTATTGCTCTTTAAAGACTCAATCCATTCATACATAGATAGTTGGCGGTGAACTGAGAATGTAATAGTTTGGCAGCACGCAAAGGTCTTCCTTTTCCAACCCGAGAACAATCGGTTTATTCTCACAGCAGCAGCCTTTGCTCGTTTGGAGGAAGAGTGTCGTGCAGGCTCTTGTCTGTGCTCGTCACTGTGCGAGGAAGCGCTTGACATCTTCCGGCTTGCAGTACCAATCGGGCACCAGGCGTGTGGCATGGGGCCGCAAATAGTTGAAGGAATTCTTGATCGTAGCCTCGGCCACGCCAGCCACTCGCGATATCTCTGTAGTCGGAAAGAAGCAATGTGACGACCACCAAGACAAAGCGAGAAACGTTACCTTTTAGAGGCTTCTTGTCCTCCGATACCTGAGATATCATGTAAATCGCAGCGGCAGCGATCGAAATCGGACTCTTCCTGCAAGAATGACTGAATCCAAAACTTGATCCAAAATGCCATCTACCTTATGTCGAGCTCCTCCACCTTCTTCACTGTATCGGTTGCTGCTCGCACGGCTTGGTTGGTCATTCCCAAGTGCGAGCAAAAACGCCTCTGCAACAAGGAGTGTAAACGTCCATCGTCAGCATAACGAGCTTTTGATGCTTACCAAAAAGTCGCCAGCGTGAATGGAACCCATGGACATCGATTTTCCCATCTCTTCCTCCAGACGCTTGACAATAAAATTTGTGGCCCGTCCAATCTCCTTTTTCGTGGCACCATTGGCAACAGAGTGAATTTCTGCGGAAACAAAAGCCCCGTCAATGGCAAAGAACAAGAGGAAAAAAAGAGCACACCATACCTTTGAACGTTCGCGGTTTATCCTCTTGTCTACAAGCAATGTATAAGCAAGCAGCCAAGATAGCATCCTGACTCCGTCCCCTTATGGATTTCATATCCTCCACTTTTTTGTAAATCTCATCAGCACGATCCTTCATAACAAGGACGTTCTGTGCGTGAGCCCGGAAAGAAACGGCTAGTCTCCAAAGACTAGGACAAAGACCAAAAAACTCGCAGCAACACAACAACAACACGACTCGGGTACTTTCTCAAACAGGCAGGCAAACGCAAAAGATCTCAAACAAAATCACACCTTAATTGTGGATACCAATCCCAAGCTGCAAAACAAAACACAAAACTTCCAGTCAAGAGATTGTCCGAGCTAAAAAAGCAAGTTTTACCGATCAGCCATGGTGCCTATCGTCTTGAAAGCGAGGAGGAGCGCCCGGTCGGGGTTGGTTCCATGGTTTTGCCACTTGCCGAGGGCGGCATAGTCGCCCTGCGAACCATTCCCCCTGGAGATGGTGGTAGAAAGGCCCCCATCCGTGAGAAGGGGATTCGAAGGGCCACCGACACGAACGGGGTCATTGGAGCCGGAATCGTCCGAAAAGGTCCGCCACTCGGAGCTCTCGTCGATGAAATGCGCCTCTAGCACCAGGCCGCACTCCATGCACACCGTATCCCCCGCGGCATGATCCACGACGATGTCCACCTCGCGCCGGCAATCCGGGCACACCGTCTTCTGCATCCTCGCTCGCGCGCGCGCCTGGCGCTGGCGCTGGTAGCGTTGCTGCTAGCGGCTGGCTCACCTCGAGAATCAGGGAGAGATCTCACGCCGCGCGCCTTCGATAGAGGCGCTCTCTCGCCCTCCTCGTCGTCGCGGAGGATTAGGGCACAAGCTTCTGGAAAATAAGGGCAAGAGGAATTTATAAGCACAGGGGGCCGTGGATGAGGATCGACGGTATCCGTGCTAATCCCTGGATCGATGCTAATGACATTAACTAGTCATAATTAAACATTATTAAGATCGTCTTCGTCCTTTTTCTCCTCAGTGGTGGTGGTGGTGGTGGTCACTGTGATGGTGATGATCACCGTGATGGTGTTCTTTGCTCCACCCCTTGGCACAGCAAGCGCAAACGCACGCCACGGCCACACAAACGAGAAGATCCATGAACCAGCCCATCACTTTGCAAGAACTTCTTTCCTTGAAGAGACAAAGAAAACCCTCCGCTATAAATACTCGGAAAGGATTAACCGGACCTTAGAGATCTCGAGGACGAAGATGACGACTTGAGAACAACGAGATAAATGGGAGAGGTACCTGGAGGCAGTTCCAAGTGGAGCGGATAGAGCTTGCTACTGTTGGCCGGGTGCCGGATACAAACCGCGAAGCTCTTGTCGTCCACCACGTCGATCTCCTTGCGGAGCTTCTTTGCGAGCTTGTCCGGGCTCCGGCCCCGGAAGAACACGTAGTGCCAGTGCGACGCGTCGCTCACCTCCGACTCCGCCTCGGCCACCATGTAGAAGACGATGCGTCCGTCGTAGAGCGGCGGCATTTTCGGCAGCGAAGAAACCTGTCCAAGAGCAAGGATCAAAGCGAGAAGAGTTTTTCTCTACCTGGAGTTTCGATGGAGGCGAGTCCACAACCTCGACTTTCCACAAGCTCCACTCCGGACAGAAGCAATCGTGTGTCACAGAGCTCCTCCACGGCGGCAAGCAGCTGTTGGCCTGAAGAAAGTTTCCACTGTGCTCCACTCTCAGCTTCACAGTAATCTCGTCCACCACGACAAGCTCCCACTCGACCGCGCAGTCCAGCTTCGACGGCCTCGTTTGCAGCACTTTCTTCCCTGTAGCTCCCCCCAGGCAAGGAATGTCCGACGCAGTGAGGTAGCAATCGTAGCAGCTCTTGAGCCTCAGGCGCTGGCTGTGCCCGACTTGCTCGACTCTCCACAGCGAAGCCATCGTACTCGTCCCATCTCTGTCTTGAGAGACCGTCACAAAGTCGTCCTCGGCCCACAAGTACTTGCCATGGAATCCTTGAAGCCGCACATACTTGCTCGCACTGCCCTCCTCGGCCATGCTCATTGATCGAGCTCTCGAGCTTTACAAACTTCTTCGCTGCTTTCCCTGGAACTTCACTGTGTAACTCTCTCGCTATCTTTCTAGTTGCCGACTGCCTAGAACTGTCACTCTTCCTAACCGTATGACACTCTTAGCCTAACCAAGGCCCTGCAACCACTCGCGACTGACCACGTAGCGAGCTTAACTGACTACCACCTAACTATCCATCCAGACCTGGTAGCTAGTAGTTAGCTAGAGCGATGGCGTTCGAGCTTGTAGCCACTGCTGGACGATCTCCACGTTGTTGTTCATGTCTTGAATTGTGTCGCTGGGCATGGCACGGATGATGTCTGGAGAATAGCTCTCTCTGGCTTCCTCGAGGAGAACTTGGAAGATCTCACACTCCAAGTTGTTCTCAAGCTTCTTCCCGGAGTATCCTCTGCAATTAAAATACGAGAGAAGCTGTTTGACAAAGTCGAAAGAGAAAACTCTAAGCTCTGGAGAAGTTCCGATCAAAATCACAAAAACTTGGGAGTAGAAAAGAAGATCGAGATAAGAGAACCAATATCTAAGGCTTCGAGGGAAAGGAGCAAAACTAGAAGCTTAGCTACCTGGAAGTAAGACGATCGTAGAGCACGGAATTGTTGGTCTGGAGCACAACGACCGCATCAAACCAGCTCTCGGGGAAAAAGGAACAGCAGTGGTAATCCACAATCTTCCCGCCCTCGGCCATCCTCGCCTCGAGCTCATCCAGGAGCTACAAAACACAAAGAGAGAATCTATCTTCACAAGTCCCCCTAGTATTTTGCCTACCAGATCCTCGTCGAGAATGTGGCATTCGAGAATCTCGTCCCATCCATCGTAGAGCTTCTTCTCCTTGATCAAATCGCCCACATTTATATGCGCCAATCCCGTCGCCTCGGCGAGGAGAGACGAGAAGGACGTCTTGCCGGTGCCGGGCGTGCCAGTGACGAGGAGATTCGGCCGCCGCGCCTCCCCCATCACGAGATTTTAGGGCTAGCCCAGGAGTAAAATATAGTTTGACTAATCACACTAAAATTTGCCAGCAATATTTTTTTCTCAAATGATTTTGGATACATATATTTTGTAATCTCATCTAAAACCTATCTTCACATGGCATCCATTTTCTCCTTGATCAAATCGCACATTTTTCTTGGACGCATCACGAGATTTTAGGGCTTTTGCAGCCCTCTTTTTAAAGTAAAATAGGGTTTGTGGGCAAAAATGTATGGCGCGTTTGTTTGCTCTGTTTTGTGGGATTGATCCTGTAATGGCATGGAATTGGAATGCAGGAGAGCTTCGCTCCATCGTCCCGGCGAAGATCTGCACAAGCGCGACGAGCCGTCGCTGCAGGAAGCGATCAATCTTAAGGTAGAAGGAATTGTCCTCCTTTTCTCTTTTAATAAGAACAGCGAAAGTAGCTCGTCGAGAGCGGGGAAAAGGAGAAGCTCAAGGATCTTTTGCGAGAGAGATTGATCGAGTGTGGATGGAAAGACGAATTAAAAGCACAGTGCCGGTAGATTTCCCAGTCCCTTTTCCTCTTGTCCATTCTCTTTCCCTCTTACAGAGCATTCACTCGGAAGAGAGGAAGATCAAACGTAACAATTGACGAGCTTGTCCGGGCTATCACTCCTAAAGGACGAGGTAACACGTCCGAGTTCTTTGGTTTTGTAAATCATACTCTCCGTTTTTGTTTCAGCTTTGGTTCCAGATGATGTCAAGGCAGAGCTTTTGCAAAGAATCCGAACGTTTCTTCTGTCTGTCCAGTTCTGATAGTAAGTTTAAGATGCTTCTGTTAAGTTGATCCTGGCAATTAGTTGAATAATGCTGAATCTTAAACATGTCCTTATTTGCTTGTCATGCCCAGCTACGTGGGAAGTTAGTCTATTTATCAAACATGCCAACACTATCGTGGATTGCCATTCTAAATCTTAGCAAGCTTGTAAGAAGTAAAATTAGGTAATATAAGTGTTCTTGTTCTTTTAGATTTGTGTGTTTCTCCATGCTTAGAGGCCATTTGTAGTAGGGTGGACCACCTCTGAAAAAATGAGTAAGATTAAGGGACTAAAGAGGGGGAGGAACATTGCATTCATGTAAATAGACTCTCATGTTTCTTAGTTGGGCATAAGTGGATTGTAAACAATTTTATATATTGTGATATATATTTCTAACAAAGTTAATTGAGTTGTCTAAATTTTGAAGTGTTTTTACATCTTTAAAAGATAGATTGGTTCCTCATGCTAGCCTTATCCCATTCTAAGAACACATATGTATACTTGTATGTTTATTACTATAGAGAATAAAGACATAAATGAAGACAATAACATATGGCCTAAGAAATTAAAGACAAATTCAACCAACACAAAAAGGAAAACAGAACTCATAGCAAAAGAACATTGAATAACTCTTAACACACCCAACATCATAAATTATGTTGATGCTTATGGAGCATGAATGGTTTAATTATCAACACTATGCTAAAAACATTTGCTATGCATTGCATGTAGCAATGTTTGGTTTGCTTAGTATTAGTGTTATTCCTATTTATTAATTTAATTAATAAAAAATTATATTATAAATATGTTGATAATTTATAAACACAACAATAATCTTATTGAATATTAAAAGTTAGATGGTAGAATAAACTAGAATATACTAGGAAGTGTTTAGGAAAGTTTATAAATTATAAATACATGATTAATCCAAATGAATAACAACAATTAGCTGATAGAATATTCTACAATATCCAAAAATATTCTAGGTATATCCACTACCACCCACTTAAGCAAACCAAAAAGATAATCTCAACCAGAAAACAATAATACTATAAGAATATTTTTAACATTTCCACTAGATAACAGGATAAAAACTAATCAGCAAACAAATAAGTATTTTTCATCCAAGATATAACCTCTAACAAAATAATGCCAAATAAGTAACCCCAACACTGTTTGAAAAGCTCAGCAAAGAGTATGGCGACAGCATTCATCTTCACTAGTAGGTTTTGGAAAACTCTTCTGGAACAGTATCGCACCAAGTTGAAATTCAGCACAGTTTATCACCCACAGATAGGTATTAGGTAATAAGTCAAGTTTGATGGCACTAGAGTATTAAACTTTCTATATGATGAAATTAGACTAAAAAAGCCACAACATGTCAATGACACCACCTAGGAATTCAGTTAAAATGACACCAACAACAAGTGAACTGGTCTAGACCTGAACTTCTTTGTAATCACTTAAACAAAAAAGAAATTGATGAAGATAAAAACTAACTAATACTTATTGTTCATAAGGGCCTGATAATGAGCTTTATTGAATTACCTTTCACTACATTGTTGCCAAAATCCTTTATTTATATAAATCCCTTTGATGATGTCATTTTCTTGATCTCCCCATATTATCACTGTTTACAATAATCATGACATTCTAGGTCATTACAACCTATAATAGAATTAGAGAGAGGAGAAAAAGAAGGAGAAAAAGGAAGAAGATGATTATCAAGGGCCCTCATGACCTTTTAATGATCAATATTTGTATTGCCTCGTTTTTGCCAGTGTCAGTTTTCTTAATTAACTTTACCTAGAAGTAGTATTATGGACATATGAAAAATCTTGAGCATAGTTAAGTTTTATTTTGATTATTATTCTAGTATTTATTATCTTTCTGCCATATGAGAATGCTGACTTGTCCTCTAAGTACACCTTTAATACCTTAGGTTGTTCCAATATTTATTAAAGATTGCCCAAGCTACCATTTCAAGAACATGTGTCATTCGATTTGAAGTCACTAAATTATCTATTAAATAAATTAAAACAAAGATTGGACTGTATATATTTAAGAATTTATACAAAATTAAATTATGAAATAAAAAAATATTTAATGTTGTAGTTTAATGGATAATATAATTCCAACCCATTCATATTACCAATTCTTTAATTATGTTATAAATGAGCTTCAAACAAAACAAAAATTACACAACCTAAAGCTAAAAGCACTACCAGAAGCTAAAAATAATAAAAGTTTTTTCTTTACAGATATATACGATAGGACGATATTAACTATATTTTTCTTTATATAAGAACTTTAGTTTTAATTATTTCAGAAAAATTTAAATAAAATGTTTAAAATTAAAACTGTAACTGTTTTAATTCTAAGTTATTCATATTTAGTACATATTTACTCAATTAAATATGAATGGGGAAGTACTGAAGAAGAATATTTCTTAAATGAGCAAGATGTTAATACTGTAATTAATGGCTTTTATACACTTGTAAGAAATATTGATCTTGATGAATTTTATCCAATAACATATGAAGATGTATGTAGAGTTGAAACTTCTAGAGGAATTGTTTGTGTTAGAATTAAAAGATTTGAAAAATCAAAGCGTAATAATATTTGTAAAATAGGAAAAACCACTTATACTAAAGTTATGATTGGAAGAAGTTTAAGAATGTCATTCAATTCATTAATTACAGATAATCAAGGCCATTTGATTCTTAAAGGTGCAAACTCAGCAAAAATAACTTCAAGAAACTATCAAATACATTATGCTATGGCATTAGGTCCATCAAGACCCCCAATTTTATTATATAATTTTAAAACAAAATCACTATATGATTGTGATATTTCTCAAACTACTCTTGAAAGTGGAGATTTAAGAAGTCAATTTCTATATAGAGGAAATTTTTTAGTATCTCCAAATTCAAAACATATATTAATACTAGAATCTAGATGTAATTTAGTTATTTACTCTAAAAGGAATAAGATATGGGAAACTCCAATGGTTAAAAATATTGTGAATTGTTATGCTAAACTTCAAAACGATGGTAACTTTGTAATATATTCATATTCAAATAATGTTATATGGGCTAACAATATTTATTGTATAAATCAACCAAGTTGTGTTACTTTTACATTTTATACCTTGCAGGATGATTGTAATTTTGTAGCTTATAGAATGAAGTTTCCAAATGATGTTTGGTGGCAATCTGGCACTTCAAATCATGCACTATGTGATAATAGTTAATAAGATATGCATTGAGTGAATAGTTTTAATTTAAAAATAAATGACTATCTATGTCTAGTTCAGATTTGCAAAACACTTAAAATCAAGCTTTAGGACACAAGCAAACGCTACCATACAATTCTAAGCTATCTCGCCGGTATTGCCAAAGTTTTCTTCAAACGTTACAATCACCAGAGTCATCACTCCAAGCACGCGGAATTTGAGTAGCGTAGCGTAGTGAAATTCCCTTTACCCTCGTATTTAGTGTTGGCACAGCTTTTCATTCTCCTATCTGCCGTGGCAGGAGAAATTCTCAAAACCAAGCCAGTGGCATTGTTCTCCTTAGCCCGTGAAACTCGTGGCCTTTTGTCTTGTTGTAGTCCCGGACCGAGCCAAGACCAAAAGCTGCCACGCTGTTTGATCCAAAGACTCCTGTCTTTGGTATAAGCTCCAACGCAATGTGAGCAGTGGCCTTAGATGCATGAACCTCGTAAATTATTATAATCCATCCCCGATTCGTTGTTTGTATCTTTAGTCAAGGAAAATGATTTCACAGGCAAGTTGCTTGTAACTCGACTTCGATGCACTGGCCTAGTTTTCTGCAAGACAATAATAACGTTTCTTTTTCCTGTGAGAGATTTCATAGAATCACATACCTCTTATTGATCATACACTGAATGACACAAAGCAAAAATTTGTAGTTTCGAGAGTGGATAGTTTTTTTTTTCAGTGGCTTCTCCATCCACCACCAGCTGAGCACACGCCTATAGAGAAAACAACCCAACAAATTAGCGCTTAGTGCGAGACCGAATCTGTCCAGACCTCGTCACTTTTGGAGATGCCATCCGTCGGTACGTGGCGCGTCGAGCATTGCCATGTCAGACCATGTGCCCAGTGACCTGGCGACGCGTCACTGCTGCGTGGCAGCAGCCTTCTTAAGCGGCAGAGTCCCCCACGGCTTATCCCACACATAGCACGAAGCTCTAGTTCTCGTTCTCACGCTCTTCCCGTTCGTTACGCTACGTTTCTGCCTTCTTTGTTGGTTTTGCGCTCGTTCGTGTCGCTTCTAGCAGCGAGAGAGAGAGAGAGAGAGAGAGAGAGAGAGAGAAGTTAGCATATCGCACTACAAGAGAGAAGGCAAATTGTAACGAAGCAAATGGCTTACAAAAAGTGGCAGTCGACTCCGCTGCCGCTCGCGTCGCTGAATCACATATCTCGAAACTGCAGCAATGTCCAGGAGTCGATGGATTTCTATGTCAACGTGCTGGGCTTCATCCCCGTCAAGCGCCCTGGAGCATTGAATTTCGAAGGAGCATGGTGAGCAGAAAGAGCAGAGAATAGAATTGGAAATATGGTGCTCACCGCTTTGTTTTTTTTGTCTTTTGCTGTTTCCTCTTTGATCTTCGGCTTCGACTCAAGGCTGTATAATTACGGCATCGGAATTCATCTTCTGCAGAGAGAGCCCGGCATCACTTACACCACCAACAAGTCGGACCAGATCAACACCCGAGCTGATCACATCTCCTTCCAGGTGAGAGCCGCAAAAAGAAGTTTTGAGTTTGTGCGATAAAAACGAAAATTCCTGCTCTCGCAGTGCGAGGATATCGATCTGGTGGAGAAGAAACTGGTAGAAGCCGGATCCGCATTTGTGAGAAGAGTCGTCGAGGAAGCTGGCATCGAAGTGGAGCAGATATTCTTTCACGACCCGGATGGCTTCATGATCGAAGTGTGCACTTGCGAGAAGCTGCCGCTGGAGCCTCTAATAGGAGGAAACATGACCAACATCCGCAGCTGCCTTATGCCGTACATGAGAACCTCGGCCATTACCACCATTGAAAAGTTCTAGCTCGGAAGATTCTGCCGGTGAAGCGGGCTCCTCTCTGAGGTCCAAAAAATGAACAGTTCAGTTGAAATAGAAATCGTTGCTTAGCTCGGAAATCAGATAGGAATGGGCTACCGGACACGCAGTCGGCGCACTGCAGACGAATCTTGTACGAAAGAGACGTATAAAAAATGTATTGAAAGGAACGAAATACCTCTAGACGATCTCGCTTGTCAGGATAAACACGAGGTTGTAAAAGTGGGAAAAAAAATATCTTCTAGGCACCGGTGCGCACAACTACCAGCTTTTTACCTTGTATAAAGCCACTTTGGCAAAAGAAACGTGCGCTAGGCCATGTCAGGGACACCTAAATCCGAGTCCCCCTCACCGTCCCAATCCAGGGACATTGAGTTCGTTGCGTGCAAAAGGTCAGTCAGGCCAGCAACATCCTCCAGATAGTTTGGGGAATTCAAGGCCTCTAGGATAAAAGCGAAGCCTCTTGCTTTGAACTCCGAGACGATCTAAATACCATGGTGTCAGAGAAAGAGAAAAAGAGAAACGGTGGTGCTACCTTTGGCGAGCAAGCAGTGCAGCCATCGAAAGCGATCCCGGAAACGACGAGTTGTGCGTAGTGTGCGAGAAAGCCTCTAATCTGGTGGGGCAGTATTCCCATGGGCTGGTCGATGCTCGTCGTCACAGAAACCGCTTGATCAGCGGGAGCAGCTGGCCTGTGGTATAGTAGAGTCAGCAATTAAATACAATGCTGAAAACAGCTCACCCAAGTGGATGGTGCATTACAACCACCGCCATCTCTACAGCTAGCGCACCGGCAATAGGAGCTAGCGCAGGACGACTCACTGTGCATTGCTGATCGAGCGTTCGGTTGACAGTCGACTACAAGAAACCAAGGAATCAAAGGCAGAGACAAAATAGCACAAACTTACATCAGTAGGTGCTACGACATCAGTGCAGAAATAGCATCCAAGTCGCCCGTCTTGCGTGGAATTGAAAGGTCCTTCTCCATGCCGCATGACGACGAAGGAGTCGAAGCCAAGTGCAGCATTTATAACTATCTGCCATGGTGGCGGTTAGAATCATAATCGAGAATGAGGTAAACAAAGATACCTTAGATTGCTCAGCCGCTGCACACAAAATAGTTGGAAGCCAGCGACTTTCCCTTGTATCGGTTAAAAGGAAAATAACGTCATGTTCCTCTATCAAGGTTTGCAGCTTAGTGAAGTTATCAAAGGTTTCTTCAACCTGATTCCCGCTCACGCTATGTCCAGCCATTGGTATTGATATTTGATGCCCTTGCGCCCTCTGCAAAAGCAAAAGGATCAAAAGATTTACACCAAGTAAACAACACAGATATTGCAGTACCACATCGACACATTTTGTCTTTAGAGCTTCTTGAGCAGCTTCAACTTTTGAACGGCCACAATCTTTGATCTGGTATAAAGGTTGCCGCAATGGATTCGAGTATCCAACTTTGCCATAGTCTACAAAAGTTATGTCGCGAATACCCCAAGCCTGGTGACATAAGAGTTACTGAAGGCGTACGATGAATTACAGAGGAGACTTACCAGAAGCCTCAAAGCAACTTCACACCCAAGTGTACCAGCACCAAGAAGCAAACATTTCGTCTTGGACAGTAGCAAGAGATTTAAGGACGGAAGACTGCGCCATTTCATAAGCTTAAGATTCAAGTCAGCCGCTGACTTCGCGAGCCTGTAAATTACAAATCTAAAGAAAGCCATGGTAAAATAGTACGTACATATCAGGATTCATTAAGGAAGAAAGATCAACTGATCGCGCAGAAGGTTCCCATCCAGCTGCTTTAGGCACGGCGTTCGTATTTTCTGGAAGGACTCTAGTTAGTAGCTTACCTTGTCTAGGAAAGCAAGAAAAAAACATACCACCGAATTCTTCAAAGGTAGCTGACGTGACAAAACAATGTCTTAAGTCAGTTCGTCCTTGTAGCTCACGCCAACACAAGATATCCACATTCTTTAAGCCCCACCGGACAGCGGCTAGAACAAGCAAATTCCTGACAGGCCATCCGGGATTCGTTGGCAAATGTGAAGGATCATAAAAGCCCAGTAGAATCTGAAAACCTCCACGTCTGAGAAAAGGAGCACGCTCATAAAAAACTAGAAAGCAAAACAATACCTTTCCACTTCCTTGGCATTTTTCCCAGTCACTCAAAGGCCTAACCGTGACACCATCACATGAAAGGTGCAGGAGAAAAAACGAGAGACCTGTTGTACAATTTTTCTTTTCAGAAAACCAAAACAATCCCAGAAGCTTACATGTTGTCAATGGAGACGTTCTCCAGGCCGTACAAGCCGAAACAACTCGCAAGGACTGTGCAAACTGACCACATTAGTACAGGAACAGCAAAGACATGAAAAACAAGTTACCTCTTCAGCAGTAAAATAATCCGAGGCCGGCTGGAACATGGTGTGCTTCACAGCTTGAGTAAACTGTAATGCCGGGAAAGAAAACCAATACTTGAATCGCCATTCCTTCAAATCGGCATAGCAGATGACGAAGAACCGATTTAGAAGGTTGGAGTCTTCCTCTGCCCGACCCGAGCAGATATCGTCCCACACCTTTAAGCAAAGAAGAAAATTTAGTGAGAGCTTAGCAAGCAATCAAAGAAAAATACCTTTGCAGTCTCCTCGTTCATCAAAGCATCCCTGTCTATGGAATTGAACTCATCACTCGTATTGGTATTGTATAGTGTTCCTGGCGCAGGGCATCGATTTCGATCGCTCGCAGGACTCTCCGTGCCGAGCTCCAGCGACAGCGACTCGTAGGTCAGCTGCAATGGCTTAGAAATCCTGGGATGGCTACACGGAGCGAAGAATCCTACATTGCCGCAGCTTCAGCACACAGAAATTCCTAGATATTACGGGGATTACCTTGGATCTGGAGCGGCCGCCGGTCGAGACGAAGAACATCGAGCTTGAGATTCGCAAGACCATGCCAGAAATCAGCCGTGACGGAGCTCTGCCACGGCACGAACTTGAGGATGCGCGATTGCGTAGGCGCCGTCGCCGAACCCGATCCCGATCCAGCAGTGGCAGTGGAGGCGGAGGAGGAAGAGGAGGAGGAGGAGGAGGGCGAGGAGGAAGGCGCTCCCGGTGGCGCCATCTTTGAAATAGGGCTAAATAGGGCACCACTGGGTTTTGCTAGGGCTTTGCTTCGTCCTAGATGGACCTTGCGCTTCCAATACACTCTATCCAGCGTCTTCCTCCTCCAAGGTATGACTCTAATTCTATCTTCTTGCTCACTACATCGTCCTTGATTTCTAGCTTGATAGATTTATGAGCTTACCCGCATTCTCTCTTTCAGATTTTTTCTTTGAGCTTTGAGCTCTTTCGTGTTTTAGATTTCTCTTCGATATTTGTGTAGGCTTGCTTCTTCCTATTGATTGATTTCTCTCCTTCTTCAGGTTTCTTCTACATTCTTTCTTGGTTTTTTGAAGTCCTAATTTGTTCCTTTCGTTTGCAGGACTAGTTTTGATTTTTCTAAGCTCTTACAGAGGAGGTAACTCTTGAGAAGTATACTTCTAAGTTTCTTTTACAGGCCTGTTGTTAGTTTTTCCAAGGCATCTGATAGTCGGTAAGTGAGAATGTAGTAACAAGTTTTTCACAGGTATAGCTTTTGTTGATCTGATGAGGTTTCTTAATTCGTAGAGTTTTGCGAAATTCAGTATCGACGTCGGCTGCTGCTCAGGACGATGTCGCTGATGATTTGCTTGGAGAGTGGGATCCCAGCTACAATGAGAATCAGCCTTGGGACTACAAATCGTACCAAGCTTTGCTTCACGGAGGGGAAGAAGTCGTAAGCATTTTGGAGTCCATGATAGAAGTGGTACAAGTTTTGCCATTGTTTTCTTTTGATTTTTTCAAGTTTGTTCTTTCCAGTTGGACGATGTTACTAGCCTGGACAAAGAATCCGAGGACACGGCCATTCAGATGGCAGCACTGGCGTGCATCGGCCAAAGACTGGAGCATCTCGATGGCAGCTTCATGATGGCGTTGGACTTGATGATCGCTCAAGCCAGCAAAGACAAAGATGACAAGGTTGCTGCGTTAAGCTTCTCTTCCTCCTTTGCAGTTTTCATCAGGTGATTGATCGATTGATTGAGACTGACTGACTGATTGACATCACCTTGTCGTGCTCCATCGAAAAGCCGAAGTTTTATGTTTTGTGACGATTGATGCTGACTATATGCTTTTCTTCTTCCAGAAAAAACAGCTTTTGGATGTCATCAAAGAGACGACGTTGGCTCAACTCACAGAAAAGGCATCGCCGGTGGTACGCTATCAGATCTTCTTTTTAGCTCCGACTCTAAGTTGGGTTTTCAGCTACAAATCGTGAGCATGCTTAGCCACACTCCCGACAAAGAGCATCGACGTCAAATCTTACGTTCTGCTGCTGGCGGTGGAGGCATTCACTCTGCTTCCGGTGGAGGCACGGTGACCATCCCTGAAGGAAATCTTCTCCACATTGCCAATCAAGCCAACGACCTCATCAACGTGTCTCTCTCACCCAGCCTTTGTCTTTCACCTTTGGAGCTAAACGTGATCTCTTTCTTCTACAGGACATGGAGGAGAAACCGAAAGTGAATGACCGAAAGCTACTGGCAAAGCTCATTCTCATCAGAGAAGAAGCACACGATATGCTCGGCGGAGGTATTCTCGACGAGCGAAACAAGCCGGGACTTAAAAGCTTGCCCGCACCCGAGGTAGTGGATTACTTTCGTTTTCCTTTCCTAAGAAACGTTCATGGTCCCAGGTAAACTTCATCTCGAAGTTGGTCGCAGTAAGACCAGGGCCTCTTCTACGCGAGAAGCTCGAGAATGTAATGCGGGGGAGGGACGAAGGCGCGGACGTTGAAATGGAGGAGTCACAAGAAGGCGATGAGGTAGAACTTTTGGTGCTCTTTCTTTCATCGCTTTTCGAAACGCGTGAGACTCCAGAAAAACGTTAAAGTGAAGAAAATGAAGATGGTGCTTCCCGTCCGGCCTGGAATGTTTCTCGAGACTGTGACAAAGGTATTTAGTGTTTCCAATGCATTTCTCTCTGATCTTCTATCCATCTCTATTTCACAGTTGCTCGGTGGCATGTATAATAACAAAACCGCTGCTGGAATCACAGTCCAGCACCTCGACTGGGTGAGTAAATTCTTACGTTTGTCTATCTTTCGAGTGACAATCCCAATCCAACAGACTTACAGGACAACTCTAGAAATCCTCCAAGAAATCGCTCACGGGAAGCACAGCGTCAAAAAAGAAACAAACGCTGACAATACAAAGGACTTCAAAACCTCTAGTTCGTAGGCATGTTTCCAAAAACATATTTTTAATGAAACTCTGTACATTACTTCTTATACCTGAGATGCGAAGCCCAAGTTTTGTTCTTGCTGCATCTTCCAAAAACTTATAGATTATCTCGCTGCTCTACTAGAAGAAAATGGAGCTGCTAACCTCTTGGAGGATTTACCGGCCTGTCTACCACGATAGTGAGCTCCGAGCTATGGCTTCTCCCTTGAAGAGAAGAGCCTTGAGAGTCTCCGCTGCTTTGGCTTTGAGCCGGGTCGTCACTGGCACCGGGAGGAGCGGTGCTCAACATGTCGTGAAGCCTGACCATGACACGGCGAACTTCTTGCTCGGCTTGCTGGTTGAGAACCACCATAAGATCAGCCTCTGGGAAAACCGAGCACCGGCACTGCGGGCATTTTACGTTGAGGCGTAGCCACTCATCGATGCAATCCACATGAAAGTTGTGCGCGCAAGGAAGTCCTCGCACCTGGATGAAGCTTATTCGCAAAAGGAGTAACGACAAAAGTCGAAGTACCTCAGTTCCAACAGTGAAGTCCTCTAAGCATATGGAACACGACGAGCACTCGGTAGGGACACGCTTGAGCTGGAACTTTGGGAGCTGCTGGATCAAGCTCTCCACTGCTTCTCTCTACAGCACGAGATTAACACCGAAAGGCATTCCAGTGAATAAGAAAACTCACCTGCGCGGGAGTGAGCGTTAGACCGGGAAAGGCAATGGTGTCATGAGCAGTTCGCTGCTCTTGCACGGGAATGGACGAACGTAGAGTCCAATCTGGAACCCTGATCAGCTCCGCCAGCACCTGCATGTCCAACAAACGTAAAAGACGAACAGAGAAAGAATGCGAAGTACCTCCAATTCCGAGATGGCAGATCCTTGAGGAACAAGTTGCAAATGAGACTGTCGTCGCATCAACCACTGAAGGAAATAAAGAGTTACTTGCACTCTTTGAATCAGAAAGCAAACTAGTAGTTTACCTTGCTGGCGGACATGCATGCGATTGAAATCAAGCCGCAATAGCTGAAAAGTAACCAGATAAGGAATCCCCATTTCTGCCCTTCTTCTGGAAGCTAAAACAAACAAGAAAGAGGTGTTCTTCAACTCGAAACATATGAAACAGCAATGCCAAACACTTACGCATTGCCTTGCATTTGTAAACCACAAGCTCCCGATGACAGTCCACGCCCAGAGAAACGGATACATGAAAAACGCAAGGCAGGACAACACCAAAACTCTAGCCTGGAAGAGCAACAGCCGCTGCTGGGGGCTTGCATCACTGCGCACACACACACACACACACAAAGCCTATCAGAAAGATAAAAAAAAGATTCGGTGTTCCACAGTGAAAGCACTTACGGGCCCATCTTTGACGCTATGCCGTTGTCCACAAACATGAGAATCCGGAACACAAAAACAGTAGCATAGTCCACCTAGAACGAGAAAAAGGAAACAAGATCTATGAGGAAAAGCTACAAGCTCGCTAGCTAATCTTGCAAAGCTTACCACGATCCAGATGTGAAGAGGATACATGCACGCGTGATATCTATCCCAGTTGATAGACACTACGATCCTGTGGAGATCAATCATCTACTGTCAAGGAATCCATCCACAAGAGAAGAGGAAAACACAAAGTCGAGCTAAAAGCCGATAAGGATACACGCTGGTGGCGAGCATTGACAAGAAAAATCCATCGAACCTGCGAGAAATAGTTCTCTCTGCGGTGAGCGAATGCGCGAGAAAGAGTAAGCAGCACTTACCACTTGAAATCCACGCCGCGAGCGCCCATCGCCCCTTGGAGCCGAGGTCCCGGGAGGCGCTCCAGATCGGGGAATGCAAGCCCCTTGGTTTACCCTATGGCTTGGATTTCCTGCGCGCCGCGAGATTCTCGCATCGATGCCGCGAGCAGCGCGCGCGATCTCGGGGCTGGACGGAGATTTGCGATACAAGCACACCACATTCACCGACAGCTCCCGGGCATCTCTCCACGGAAGCAAAAGAAAAGCATGGATGGATGGAGCAAAGCCTAAACCCGGGATTAGGCCTACCCAACCCAGCTTACTTAAGAGCCACTGGATATACCGACGCCGATACTTAGAATATGCCAATACAAAAAGAGGATCTTCTAGTTTTCTCGAGAAACTTTCGAGGTTTAAGCAGCTGGCTTTTTCTTCTTCTCCGCACGGCACAAGCTCTTGTGGACAGAGGTCAGCCTCGCGAGCGCAGCTCTTTTCAGATCGGGCCTGTAGCCATTGTCTCCCACCTGGAAGAAAAAGAGAAAAAAAATGACAAAATAGAACACGAAAGATCACCGAGGAACAGTTCAATCACTCGCGAGCAAAAGACAAGCAACGATGCAGAAGTTTTGTAGGGAGGAAAGTTTTAGAGAACACCTGATCAAAATCGAAGTGCCCTCCACGTTATGATCACCCGGCTTGACTTTCTGCCTTGTTGACAAGGCTCGAGAGCACAGAGCTTCTCTAAAGCCAGAGGTAAGGCAATAAGAAAACAAGTATTCACAGATATCCAAAACACGAAGCAAAATAGCAAGCATTCAACTAAGCAAACTAGCAAGCATTCACAGAGATCCAAAACACGAAGCAAAGCATTCACGATCCAAAAGCCAGAGATCAAGGCAAGAAGAAATGGATTTCGAGGTTACCTGGTTGATGATGACTTTGGCCTTGTTCTTGAAGTTGGACTTGAGCAGCGAGCGGTTCAAGTAGGATGCGGGCTTGTTGCTCTTCTTCTTCTTGGTGGTGGTGAGAACGATGTCCATTTTCTCTCCAGCCGGGGCCACAGCGACGGTCTTCTTGTTAGCCAAGCCTGAAAAGAGAGAATGCGATCAATCCAGCAACAGACGATTCGCGGCATTCATCGGGATTTCTAAAAGAGCTGGAGACGATCTTTCTCACCTGAGTACTTGTAGGTGTTGAGATTGTAGAGATTGTTGGGCTCGCTGCTGAATTGCACCGAGGCGCTGCTGTTGCCATTCCGCTTCACCAAGAACTTGTTGCTGTTCTTGACGAGCAGCCAGATCAAGTCGGGAGACGCCATCGCGCTCGATCGATCGATCCGCCAAGCGCAAAAACCCTACCCGGCGGCTCAAACCCTAGACCTAGATCCCGGAGAATATTCTGTCCGTCGGCGTTGACGTTTTAATGGAGCTTTGCGCGCCATTGGCCCTTGCGTCCTTTGTAGCGGCGCCTCGTCCAAGAGCGCGCATTCTCTCAGGAAATCTCCGATGGACACCGAAATTTAGGATCGCGATCGCGATGAGTGATCAGGGGCCGCGGGATGTCTCGCTCAAGAATGTGGAGGTCGATGCTGCTCGAGGGATGCTCCAGTCCGGATCGCATCGATATCTGGATGTCCGGTAAGCTCGATCTCGGAGATTTTCGGCTTCTCGAGTGATCCACAGCGCGATTCTTGATCTTAGAGCTCCCGAGGTCTTCGCAACTGGGAATGTCGCTGGCTCGCGTAATGTTCCTTACTATATCCCAGGCTCTGGTAAGTAGCTAGCTCCTTTTGGAAACTTCTTTCGAGAGATTTGTTTTCTTGCTCTTCCCAGACAAAGTCAAGAACACTAACTTCGAGCAAGAGGTTCTTTCTAACTTCGACAAAGAAGAAGGAATCATAGTGGTATGACTATCTGCCATCGGTTTTTTATTTTCTCCCTCTCATTGTTTACCCAAATTCAGGGATGTGGAACTGGAACTCGATCCGTTTTGGCTGCTGTCGATCTTCTTGCCGCAGTAAGACTCGATCTAAAGTTCTGGAAACTCTACATTTGCTTTTAAATTTTTTCACAGGGATTCACGAATGTTTACAACATGGCTGGTGGATACCGCGCCATCAAGAACAAGCAGACAGACGACAAATAGCTTCGCGCGATGGCAAAGACTCGAATAAGATTAAGCGCAGAGAAACGAATAATTCCAGCAGGGTGTAGATCATCATCCCTCGACTTGCATGCGGTGCATACGCCGAGTTCTCTCTGGACAAAGCAATTCACGGTAAATAAGTTCCTCGCGAACTTTTATCTCCAAGTACGTACCTGCGGCAATTCGCCTGTTTCCCATTCCTACAATCTCGCATTTGTAGTTCATGTAGAGCTGGTTTGTGGTCTTGGGAGTCTTCATATGCTTGGGATTCCCGTCACACAGGCTGTTTGAGTAGAATTCCAGTGAACTAATTTGTTTCTTCCAGGCACAAACTCTAAGCTTACCAGTTAGCCAAGTAGCTCGCGTTCCGGCAGTCCATGTTTTGGACGCCGACATGGCTTCGCATCACCTCAGGCTTTCGGTTTCTGGGAGCATTCGGGTAATATGGCATTAACTTCTTGCAGGATAAGTCACTTGCTTCGCCGATCTTTTGTATTTGTCCTTGGAAGAAAGAGTTTGTCCTGCAGAGTTTTACATATCGTTTAAACAGGTATGAGCGATCGAAGCTGAGACCTCACGTTTCATCCTGGAAGACGGGATGAAACGCGTAGGAGTTCGGAGCCTTGTAGCCAGTCTTGATAGTCTTGTGCGGGATCTGCGAACCAAATCGCAGGTGAGTGTTTTCCATTTTATCCTTTCATCTAGATCTCTCAAAGTCACTGGATGTTGTTATACAGCATACAAATCTCCGGATCCAGGCATGCGAATAAGCTGGACAAGTGTTCCAGTCCGGCCTTCGTACTTGTTCTTCTTTGGGCCGTCGTCGTGGGGGCGAGAAACACTCTCTCGCTTGGGCACTTGAGCTGCGTCATCGAGGACGAGGATAATCAGATCAAAAGCCAGGAAACGTCGAAACTCTCCAACAAGTCGGGAAAAGCAAAAAGGAAACGAACAGCGAGCGAGAATCGACATCGGCACTCACGGGGATGATTTTCCAGGTACTCTTGATGCCTTCTCTCGGCCTCTTTCATCTCCGAGTGCTTCATCTCATGGAACTCCTTGTCCCACTCGCAGTGGCCCTCGTGCAAGCTGTGCGCGCATTTGTCATCGTGAAGGTGATCTTTCTTCTTCCCCTTGGCCATGGCGGGCGCAAAACCTCCGGTGGATCGATTCGAGGGCCAGGCAGCGCTAGGGAGTGGAGATCTTCCTCACTGGGAAGGGGTTCGCCTGAAGGGGTCAGGAAAAACGGTTACTACTTCACATGACTGGGACAAATGACAGCGCTCAACGGGTGACCGTTAGGTTTAGGGCTGACGAAGTTGGGCGCGGCAAATTCTTGATCCCAGCGGATACACGCCCAGTTGGAGTACCAAAGAGTTTCCAGCGATGGAACACGATGGCGAGACTCAGGATGATGGGGCGCCACGGCCCATTGTCCAAATCCAAATGTAAGCACTTCGTTCGGTCGTTCTTCATTTTTTTTTTCTTTTTCTTTCTCACTTGCTCGTTTTTTGTTTGTTTGGCCAGGAAAGGCAAGGAGGCAATGTGCTGTGGGTTTTCCTACGATAGCAACTGGTTAGCAGCTGGGAACGATACAGGAAGAATTGAGGTACTACTGCATCTGGAGTTTCCGAGCTAAAGCCATTCTTTTGATCTGCTGCCAGATCTATAGAGTCTCTGATGGAGGCCTGGCTTATGTTTTGGATCGAAAAGCCACACAAAAGTTCGCCTGCACGACAATGTCCTTCCGGCCGCCCTCGAGCTGCTTTACCAGCAGGAACGTTCTCGTATCTTGTGGTAAGCGTTTTGATCGTCTCTCGGTGAGTGAGTGCTGGATATAATCTTTAGCACTTCCTTGTTGCAGACGTTGGTGGTCTTATTCACCACTGGCATGCAACATCCGGAAAGCACCTCGGCACCACCAAAGAGGCTAACAATCACATCAACGCGGTGGATTTCCAGCCGACCGGAGAGAAGTTCGCGACGGGTGGTAGCGATTTTCAGGTGAAGTCAGTGAATTCACGAAGCATTTCTTGTCAAACTTCTGTCTTGTATCTAGCATTACAGGTCCGAGTCTACGACGAAGCCACCAGGAAAATCGTGCATACGTTAAGTGATGGGTACGCTAAGCAGCTCTGAGCTTTGATCTTGCCCCTCGCTCAATCAAGCATTCAGGGTCGTCGCACAGCGATGGGATCAAAGTTGTGGGCCACTCCAACCGTGTTTTCGCTGTTCGTTGGCATCCCGTCGATTCTCACATCATTTTGAGCGGAGGCTGGGACAACACTGTCCAGGTTCTTGCTTCACTACTTCACGCGTCATTCAATCTTACTGAGGTTTTCTTGGTGCCACCTAGATCTGGGATTTGCGCTGTGGTAGATCGGTGAGGAGCATCTTTGGACCAAAGCTGTGCGGGGAAGCTCTTGACGTGTCTGATAACAACAAGATCCTAACCGGCTCTTGGCGATCCACCAAACAATTACAGGTCCGTTACTTTGGCACGCTTGTGTTTTTGGACGAGGGAATCTTTTCTCCTTCACAGGAATGGGACTTTGGAACTGGTGACCTGATAAGAACACTGGAGTGGATGAGCAACGAGGTACCAAAGTAAAAATTCGGTTTTGTGCAACTGAGCTCAAAAGTTTCCATCTCCAGCCGAGCCAAGTCTACACTGCTCAGTACGGGAAGGGCCTCTCTCACAAATACATTGTTGCTGGAGGGAGCAAACCAAACGGTGCTTGCGTTTTCCACAAAGACGGTGGCCAGGTACTATAGCCTCGAGTTCTTCTTTCGCGAACTTTAAGCTCATCACGGCCGATTCCTTTGCCAGGCACTCGCGGGAGTCTCCGGACTGGAGAAAGGTGAGAACGAAAACGAATTCTCTTCAATGAGGGATTAAGAAAACTTTGTTCTTCTTTTTTGCAGCTGTTTACTCGGTCGCCATCTCCGAGTCTGGATCTTACCTCGCGGTCACCACGGCAGATAACGTCTATCTCTACGACATGATCGACCTCACGAGCTCCATTTATGGTTAGAAGTAGATCCATTCGTTGCTATTTTGGAGAACTCTTATCTAAACAGTGAATTTTATAGAAAATGGTGGGGAGGGGAATCGAACCGCGGCAGGGGGTCTGACGTGGCCGCCACGGGGGCATCGAGCGCGGCCGGACTAGGGTTATGACATGGGTTCCTTCCATGATCTGCGAGCGCCGTGTCGGACGAAGGCTCTCTAGACCTACTATGGTATGACATCGCTTCCTTGTAAATCCCTTGTTTTTCCTTTTATTCCCTCGCATTTTTTAGATTTGTGGAGGGAGCGATGGAGGGAGTGTGCATTCCGGCCTCTAGCGGAGGATTTCTCCCTTGTTCCCTCTCATGGCAGGATCTTGCAAGAATGCGGTAGCGCGAGGGATCTAGGCGGAGGATCGAGAGCGCAAGAATTTCCAGGTACGATCGATCGATCCCGCCTAGGTTGCCGGAATTCCGCCCGTGTGTTGTCTGGATTGCTCGAGTCTGGATGAAATCCTTTTGTTTGTGGAGATTTTCGTGTTTGTGGACATTTTCGTGTTAGCTGGTTTCTTCTTGTCGATCGCGGGCAAAATTTCTGGTGTGCTTGAGTGCTTGCCTCTGTAGAAGACTTTAATCAGTCATAGAACTTTCTTTGTTGGTGGATGGAGTTTCTTGATCGTTTTTCTTCGCAGATTAAATTATTTTCCAATGGCCAAAGAGAGATCAAAAAGAAAACGCGATGGCGCAGCAGTGGTAGAAGGAGTAGCCGCCGCCGCCACCACCAACAACAACAACACGACCCCTCCTTACAATGGCTCGGACGTTCCAACTTGGCCCCGCTGGGCTCATCCACGCCCGGATACTTTCTACGGCGCTCCAGCTCCATACAACGCTTACGACTGGTCGCATTCATGGCCGTCACACATGAGAGGTGGCGGCGGCGGCGGCGGCGACTCCAACTTTCCTGGCGGCGACTTTGGCGGATTCCCAAGAGCTGGCTATGCATTCCCAGGCGCTGCAATGCAACCGGGACCGGGACCAGTGCCACCCTCCGCTACACCACCTCCGGCCATCAACACTTCGCCACCTCGGGCATCGCCACCCTCGTCAGCTCTCCGCTCCGACTCCCAGAGCGATGGATCGTCCTTCTCGGACGGAGACACCCCGACGCAGGAGGCAGACGAGGGGACGAAGCACAGGAGGAAGCGAAAGAGCTCCGAGAAGAAGAGCGCCGCCGACTCGACCAAGAGCAAGGATCCCAAAGGAAAGTCGGCCGGGGACGAGAACACCGCCAAGAACAAGCGCTACGGGATCGAGGAAGTCAAGGACCTGGTGAGGTTCCGGACGGAGTTACAGGCCAAGTTTGAGACAATGTCAACGCATCTGGAGCTGTGGACGAGCATCGGCGACAAGATGGGCGAGCGCGGGCATCCCAGGAGGCAGTGGGAGAGCTACCGGGACAAGTGGGACATCGAGCTGCGTCGGTACCAAAAGGAGCTCAAGCTGCTGCTCTCACAGGCCGGACTGGCCGAGAACAAGGAGCTCGAGCACCCGGAGCAGCTGGTCTTCTCGGACGAGACGCTCCAGGAGATCCACAGCCGGCTCAACTTGCGGCCCAAGGCGGCGCTGCGGTCGCGCTTCCAGAGCGGCGTCGGTGGCGCGAGGGGATGCCTGGGCGACGAGGCCGCTGCTCGTGAAGTCGCCGGGAAGAGGATGAAGAAGTCCGCAAACAACCAGCTGCTCGTAGACTCCATCGTCGACAAGGTGGTGGAGAAGATTGGGACTTTCGATGACACCGCCTCGGCACAGGGATTCAAGGAGGTGCTGGACGCCGTCGTCAACCTCACGAACGTGTTGCTGGCGGAGGCGAGCGCGCAGCCGACCGAGTTTGAGATCGACAACCAGGTGTTCAGCTGGCTCAAGAGCATCGGCAAGGACCAGTACGCGAGCTACTTCGCGGCGTCGCACGTAGACTGGACCAACTTGCTGCTGCTCGACAAGGATGATCTAATGGAGATGAAGATCCCGGTCGGGCCTCGCAAGTTCATCCTCAAGGAGCTGGAGAAGCTCAGGCCGGAGATCCACGGCAGTAGCGGCCAAGCCATGACCGTGATCCCAGGCCAAGAACCCGAAGGCGTTGTATAACAGAGTAAACTCTTCTCCCCCAACCTCAATCAAGTCTTTTGCCGCTTCCTGGAGTATAACATCTCGGCGAGGCCGTCGCGGATCTCGCGAGCTCGCTGCATGTCCGCGGTGTGGTTGAATCCTGCCGGGAGTGGCAGCGGCTCCATGACTCTCGCCAGACGCGCGGCATCGGACGTCGCGGTGGCTGACTCCAGCTCTTGCAGACCCGCCGTGGCGATCATCACCTCCGCCGCGGCTTGCTCCAGCGTGGGCTCTCTCCCGGACGAAGAAACACCTCGGGTCGACTCGAGAGCTTGGCGGGACTCTTCAATCCAGGCCGGGTCGGCGCTCTCGTTCTGCGAGAGCAGCATGTTGTGGAGCGTGCAGCACACCCCGATCATCTGGACGGTGGTGTCCAAGTCGCCCTCCATCTTCTTGAGCAGCACCCGGAACCTAGACTTAAGTTGGCAGAAGGCCCGCTCGATGGAAGCTCTCGCAGAGGCGAGCGCCTGGTTGAAAGACTCCTGCTGGGGCGTAAGCTGGCCACCACCCCGGTATGGACACATCAACCACGGCCTTGGAGGATTGAAAGCCGAGTCCCCGACCAGGTGGTACCCCTGCTGGTCGATGAGCCCCTCGCCGGCTCTCCTCGCGATCCTGGAGCTGGCCAGAGCTTGCGAATCGTGCAAGCTCCCGCAAAGCCCAGCGTCGATCTCGAGAAAAAACCCGTCTTGGTCGACTGCACCCATGAGGATCATCGAGTGGAAGGACTTGTCGTTGTAGTAATTCGAGCGATCGATGCTCGGGGTGGTGATGGGAATGTGGCTTCCATCCACCGCTCCGATCACGCTGGGGAAGCCAGTCTCGAGCTCAAACTTTGCGGCAATGTCCCTAGCTCGGTCCCCGGTTGGCCACCCGATGTAAGCGTCGGTCCAGTGCTTGGCGATGATCCCCAGCCCCTTGTGGACGATCTTGTTCACGGTGGACTGGTCGCAGAAGAAGATCTTGGCGATGGCGTGCTCGCGGCCGCCGTGGAGCAATCGCCAGAGGAGCATCGCGACGCGGCGGCGGAGGGAGATGACGCGCCAGTTGGGACCTGTTCTATTCCCCTCGAATCCACACGGCTGGAAGATCGTGAAGCACAGCCACTCGAAGGTCGCCTTGGTGCAGCGGAAATCCTTCCAGAACTGGCCATCGTCGTACTGCGGGAAGATCGTCGTGTCCCAGGTGTCGGTGTGGTGCATGAGCATGTCTCTCACCCAGGTGGATTTGGCCGGCGCGCCGTCGAGGATCCCCTGCTGGATCTCCGACACGATGCTCACGATCGCCGACTTGCGCCGGTCGAATCGCCGCTTGCTCGCGTTGCGGCAGTAGATGAGCGCTCCCATGATGAGGGACATGGCGACTTGCTTGCGGTACCTCTGATCTTCCATCGCAGCGTCGGGCGACCAAGAAATCCGAGACGATGCCCCTGGAATCCAGGAAATCCGAGACCATGAGATCGAAATGTCGACAGTGAAAGCGCATCCAGGCCAAGAAACGTGATCAAGACAGGGAAGAATCCCTGGATATGCGAGGAGCTCCAATCCAGATCCAAGAAATTTCCAAGCAATCCAAGAAGGGGAAGAGTTTAAGATCAAATTCCTCACTGTAACCACAATGATCACAGAAACAACGAGACTTACTGTGATCTGGCGGCTAGCGGCTCAGCGGCTCATCCCCTCAGCGAAAGAACCCTAGCGTAACGGGCCCATGGGCCGCCCACTTAGTAGTATAAATATCTAGGTCTATGGTCAGATCAAATTCCATGACCCACATTCTTTTTCTTCTTTGTTTCACTCTCGAGAATCTCGTGCGAGAAGGGGCGCTCGACGAGGCCGAGCCGCCACTAGGCGCTGGAAGCTCGAGGCGCTGCGAGGGAAATCTCTATCGAGCGATCGATATTTCGTAGGTTCTCTGCTCGATCGATCGAGTTGTAGGTTCTTTGCGGCAGGGCAATCCGAGTTCCATGGATTGTGCTGTCTCAGGGGCGATCCATTTGCAAAGATTCCCAGTCTGCGTGAATCGCTCGCGGCGCCACTCGTCCGGCGTGCAATGCGGCTTCGATCTTGCCAAGCTCCGCCAGTCGCAGCAGCAACAGCGAGTTCTTTCTCCTCTCCAGCGCCATCTCTGCTCGAGAATCGTCCGGCATTGCACCGTCGAGCAGCCAGAGGCGCCCCCGGCGGACCGCGAGCAGCAATCCGTGCCCTGGACGCCGAAAGAAGCCGTGAAGTTCTACGTCTCTGGAGAGGGCGTGCTTGAGGCGCCAAAAGAGATAGTGCTCACCAATGTCGACATCAGCAAGACGTCACTGGCAGCCACCATTGTTGAAGAAGTGGAAGGAAAGGAGATTCTGGTCGATGGCGATGCGGCGGATGTTAGCATTAGCGAGGAGCCCAACATGTTTGAGCAAGTACGTCAGATATTCGCTTTCGCCGGCCCGGCTCTCGGCATCTGGTTGTCCGGACCGATTATGAGTCTCATCGATACGAGTGTTGTGGGAACCACTAGCTCTTTGCAATTGGCCGCCCTTGGTAAGAAGATTGATTTTGGATTCCTCTAGAACTAAAGTTTCTTTGTGGTTTACTTCCTTCCAGGACCTGGAACTGTGATGTGCGATGGACTCTCGTATGTTTTCATGTTCTTGTCCGTTGCTACATCCAACTTGATTGCAACCTCGCTTGCAAACAAGGTAAGAGCGATTGGTGTTACTACGCGTTCTGATCTGTGGTTTGGAATTTCGTGTAGGACGAGAAAGAAGCAGCAAACCATTTGGCTAGGCTCTTGTTTGTAGCTTTCGGCTGTGGCATGGCTATGCTCGCGGCTATTAGATTCTCTTCTAGTTCCATGCTCCAAGGTGAGGTCTGGCAATGTATTGGCTGTGATTGATTCAAGATTTTTTTCCTTTTAGCTTTTGTTGGAGCCAAAAACTCTGGGATCGTCCCAGCCGCGGCAACGTACGTGAATGTAAGCTGAATAAATTTAAGTTTTTCGTGGTGTAGTGGTTTTGATATATGTCTCTTTGGGACAATTTCAGATTAGAGCGTGGGCATGGCCAGCGGTTCTTGTCACCATGGTTGCTCAAAGTGCAAGGTCTGTCTTTTGGCTTCCTTTGTATGCTGTTACTGTTATCTCACTTTCTTTTATACCACAGCTTGGGAATGCAGGATTCATGGAGTCCCTTGAAAGTTTTGCTCGTCGCGAGTCTTGTAAATGCTTTTGGAGATATTCTACTTTGTACATTTCTAGGATATGGAATTGCTGGTGCTGCCTGGGCAACGGCACTATCACAGGTATGAATATGAGTCTACTTGATCGTTAACTCAAGCTTCAAGCATGCAGTATGTTGCGGGAATTTTGATGTTAACTTCTTTAAAAGCGAAAGGATACAATCCTCTGGCGATCGTTGTACCCAGCTTCAAAGACATCCTGCAGATGATCGAAATAGCTGCACCAGTTCTTATGACCATGTTGTCAAAGGTACATCATCGTATATCGTCTTCTATCCTTGGAAGCTCAATTTATCTTGTTTACAGATATGTTTTTACACAACAATTACATATTTCGCGACTTCGCTTGGGCCACTCACTTTAGGAGCCCATCAGGTTCAACAGTAAAAACCAGTTCTTTAACTTAAAAATGTCTTGATTTGCCAGGTGATGATTGGGATCTTCACATTGTTTTCAGTATGTGGAGAGCCTTTGGCCCAAACAGCTCAGTCCTTTATGCCAGAGCTTATTAGCGGAAAAACCCGCAACTTCGAGCAGGTGAGCCAAGCAAAACGATAAAAGTAAACCTGGCTCGATCATCTTTTTACAGGCACGAACGTTGCTCAAAACACTTCTCTATACGGGTGCGATTTTAGGATTCTCTTTAGCGAGCATTGGCGTCGCGGTTCCTTTTCTTGTGCCGCAGCTTTTTACGAACGATTCAGCAATCGTAGCACAGGTTGAGATGACACAATGCAGCGTTGATCACGTGTCCGTGCTGACACCACCCTGTCTCGTCTGTTCGCAGATGCATTCGGTAGCGTTCCCATTTTTCTGGAGCATTGTTTTAACACCACCTGCACTGTCGCTGGAAGGGACACTTTTGGTAAGATAGTCAAACAAACAAACCTTGGCTCGTTTACCACGTTCCTGGTAACTGACGAATTGCGTCGGCTTGTATGTAGGCCGGACGAGATTTAGGATTCCTGGGCCTGAGCATGACATCTTGCTTTGTCTGTGGAAGCCTGCTCATGAAGGTAAGCATGCTCTTTCAATCCGTACTATTTTCTAAGCCCCACAATCTCGCGGCCACTTAAAAACCAGATCTTCCACAAGCTTGGATTGGGACTCAACAGCTGCTGGTGGACGCTCGTGCTTTTCCAATCGGTACTATTCTCTCGCACGCAACAGATTCACCATTGATACTTATTTTTTTCTCCTCGTCGTTTTGCTTCTTTCAGGCCCGACTGGCGGCCTCGTATACGCGACTGCATTCCTCCAAAAGCATTCTAAAGGAGTGTGCCCCCGCTGCCACAAGCTAGATGCTCTCCACCATTCTTTTTTCCCTCGTTTCTCGCTTTACAGCCTTGAAAGGCCAAAGGACAAACCCCAGGAATCCCTCCAGTACAATGCCAAAGGCCACAGCTCGCCATCACGATTTGCTATGCTACCAACAATCTAAAGCAAAGACAAAGACCAAGTGCTTGTACCATAAATCAATATCCCAACCTTTTGAAATACGAATACGATATTTGTACGGTCGTCAAGATTATGCTATATGTACAGCTATTTGTACGGTCGTTAAGAATCTGCTTTACGTACAGCTCTCTTGTACGGTTAAAAGCTTAAAGTTAAAGCGAGTCGAACTCGAGTCGATTGAGTTTACTGGACATTCCGTCTCGGAATTTGCCGTCTTCTTTTTTGGCCCTAATTTCGGATACCCAGCAGAACGCCCCACGCTAACGAACTTGGGCGATCTATCGGTGAGTTGCCACTACCCCCCCTTTTATGATTTAAATTCCCCCAGCGCTAGGGCTGGGAGAGAGCCAGCGCTACGTAGCTAGGGTTTTAGAGGGCGGCCATGGCGCTGTGGCGCCGACGGCCGCTATCGGATCGCGGCATTGCTTGCAGCGAGCTGGATTTTGCAGGCGCGAGCGTTTCCGGCGCGGGAGCTATCCTGATTCGTGATATTTCGCGGTGCGCAGGCTCGTCTTCGTTTTCTCATGGACAGCGTGCGCACGCGGAGCCGGGGCAAGCAGCAGAAGAAGCGGGAGGGATCGTGGCGGACTGCGGCCAACGATGAGACCGACGTGGAAGAGGACGACGAGGAGAGATCGGTGCCAGTGGTGAGCGGCGAGAACAAGAGGAAGCGGGCTCCCCGGAGCGGAGGTAGGGTGGTGAAGCTGAGGACGCTGTCACGGTACGATGGAGCTAGTGAGGTTTCTGGGAGCACAGAGGACACCAAAGTGGAGTCTGCCGAGCATGCCGATGCTACGAGTGGGAAGGATACGGATTCACAGGTCGGGAAGAGGCGTGAGAGCTCTCGAGTCAGGATCAAGACTTTTAAAGTTCGAGAAAATGCCGAGGCAAAGGCGGAAGCTAAGCCCGGAAGGTTGAAGGTGGAGAAGAAAGAAAGCAAGGAAGTCACGAAGGAGAAGGAGGCAAGCAGCGTGCAGAAAAAAGTTGACGAGCCGAAGAAAACTCCGGAGATTCCCCAAAGGCCACTGAAAGTACATCTTACGTTCTCGGATGCGAAGAGAAAGCCTGCAGGTTCTGCGATAGAACCTCCGCAGGCTCCGACTCAAAAGGCAGCTGTGGTAAAGACCCCCAGCAGTACGCCGTCTTTGAGTTCGCCGGTACAATCTCCTCCAATTGACTCAACTCCTACTCCACAATCTCCGCCAAGCGAGCTACGTGACGACGAGGTAGAAACTTCTCTAAAGGTATGTGCTTCATTTACTTTTCTTGGGACATGATGCATAACAAGGCTGGCTAGCAGATCATCAGGAAACTCATGAAAATGGACTCGGCACATCCTTTTAACAGACCTGTTGACCCCGTAGGCCAAGGTGTCCCGGTAAGTTAAGCTTACTATCATCTCGTTTTCATCTTGATGTTACTATTTCAAATTCTTTTTATAGGATTACCTTGACATAATTGACACCCCGATGGACTTCGGTACCATATGCGAAAATCTAGAGAAACGTCAGAAGTATAGAAACGCGTCGGATGTTTACCGAGACATTCAACAAATCTGGACGAACTGCCGAAAGTATAACCACAAAGGAGATCCTATCTTGGACTTGATGAAGAAAGTCCAGAAGGCATGCAGCAAGTATTGGACAGCCAACGGTGTTCTTCGGGATCCAAAGAAGTCAAAGACAGGTAAGCAAACATTTGCGAAATAGTAGGAACGTCTAACTCAATGCGTATTTACAGCGGACAATGCGGCAGAAAAACCATCCGAAATTTTTGTTGCTAAGACAACATCGGCACACATTCCACAGAAACCTGCTGCCGGGTAAATTGCTCTTTCTTTTCACTAGAGATGAACCAGTAATTCACGCTTTGCACAGGACTAGTAATCATAAATCAACGTGTGAGTGTGCTGTCTGCATGAATGTCCGGCGCAGGACCGCAAGAGAGAGGAGAGCCGTAGGTTTGGGATCTGCGCGAGCCGTGAAGCGTCAAATCGCGAAAATGAAAGGCAAACAGGTACTTGCCTACTACATTTCCTCACTTGACTTGTCTCGTTCTTTCCAGGACCTCAATGACTTAGAGCTGGAAGAACTAGCGCAGTTAGAAGAGGTTTACCTTGATCAAGTGGTAGTATTTTTCCATTGTTTTCTTTCTAGATAAGTGACGTCTATCTCTTTGTCCAGGAGGAGGAGGACCAATTTTACCCCGCGAGCTACCAGATTCCCCTCCGAGCTGTGAATCCTCTAGTGCTGTCGATGGGCCAGGCGCTGTTTAGCTGCAATCTAAAGAAGAAGACCTATCCACTAGCGAACCCGTTCGAAAACTTGGTCTCGGCCTACGCAGGATGTAAGCAAAACTAAAATTCTCTTCATTCATTGTCTTCAAGCTCGGGAGACTGTACCATACCAAAGAGAAAAATTCGCAATCAAACCATTTTATACATTTGACGCAAACCAGGTACTTTTACAAGTTCTCTAGAGTTTCTAAAGCCATAGCTTACGAGCTTAGATAGAGACGCTGTTCGGAATCCCGCGAGCAGTGATTCCGGGCCCAGAGGTCGGTAACAGGAGCTCGTACGCTGGAACTCCAGCTCCATGCCTGTGCATCAGCTTGGGGTCGTTGTTCCTCTTTTCGATGATCTCCTGGACCTCGGCTACCCTCTCCTCGAACTCGTTCGACGCCTCGAGGACCTTCTCGTCGCCGGTCCAGTACTTTTGGACGCGCTGGCCGAGATACTCCTCGTCAGGGTGGTGCGTGGAGAGGAGCTCCAGCACCGCCATGACCGTGGTGGCCTGGGTCTGGTTTGGGAGCGTCGCGAGCAGGAAGCCTTGCGGGTTTTGGAGGAGCTCCTTGTACTCGGGGTCGTCCTTCTCGGGTATGAGCTTCCTGGTCAGGCTGGGGAGATTGAGGACGTAGCCCGAGTAGAGGAACTGGCCAAAGTTGACGGCAGCGTGGTGCCCGGACGCCACCCACATTATCGACGTGAGAATCTCGACGAGGTCCTGCTTGTTGTTGAGGCTCGGCCAGCCTTCGGCCTTGTCGGGGTGGCCTTTGGTTTTGATCTCGTTCCACCATGCCTGGAGCTCCGTGTCGCTGGTGATGGAGTCCGGGGAGTCATAGTAGACGGATAAGTAGCTCGTCACCCAGGACTTGAGAGCCGACCATACGAGGAGCCCGTCGGCGGCGTATGGGTAGTCTTCTAGGACGAGCCTCAATCCATCTGGAGAGTTTTTATCTTCGACAGCCATGCCTCTGGACAAAATCACAAGTAAAAGTTTTAGAACTCTGGAAGAACGAAATAAATCTCTAGACAAACTTTGGAAGACAGAAAAAAAACTTTAGAACTCTAGAACTAGAAAGGAAAGAACTTAAGGGGGGAGTTTAACGCGAAACTTGCCTCTGTAGAAGGTCGGCTGGGAGGCCTTGCTTGTCGAATCGCCACTGTTCGTAGCCGGCGGAGCTCAGCTCGAGGATGAATTGTCCTGGCGTGAAGCACTGTTCGATCACGCCCCCGGCGCTGATGAGCGTCTGCCGGGCCGTGGCGTTGATTTGCATTGTGTATCGCAGGTGTGGATCGAGGAGCTTGGCGACGGGGTGCATCGCGCTCAGCTGGCGATTCGTCGCGATCACGTAAGGCTCGATGCATGCATGAGTTTGGAGCCTGAAAGAACATGAAGTGATTTTGCTAGATAAAGAGAACTCTGACTTACCAGTGAGATACAACTTGATGGTATGCCGAGTGATTGGATCGAACGTGTGTCTTGCAAAGCTGCCAGATCCAAAACCCAGTCGCATCTTTGGTTGGATAGAACGCTCTCTTGGAACCATTTGGTTTGTCTTTCGAGACTGGCAGGCATAGTTCAATTCCCACCGGCATTAGCAAGTTGGCTGAATCCAAGTAGAGAATTGTGCGTGTTGCATAGTTCTTCCGTCCTTTCAAAGAGTTGATTCTGTTGATGAGTGGCATGAAAACGTCGTGATAGTCGATAATAAACAGCTTCTCCGCTTTTATCGCCTGTAAAACGTGGAATGCATCACTCCTTGGCTTAGTGTATATTATGTGCCAAACCTCTTCCACCGTCAATCCTTCAAGGTGCTTCTCGAGCTCTGCTGCTTCGAATGCTGATCCTAGCGTTCCACAGATCCCAGTATCCATCGAACTGGTCGGAGGAAAGGCCTGCACAAACGTCAGTGCTGATGGATATCCTTGTATTTCAAATGAGACTACCTTGAGCCGCTCAATCATTAGCGGATTCAAACCAGCAAGCATTTGCCGGCCGAACTCAGAGTCACGGGTCCAAGCGTATTTATCCTCTGCATGGTCAGGCTTAGCATACATTCAGAAAATCGAAAATAAAACCACTTACTTGCGAGCAAAGGAGGTAGCGGATACTTGATAGCATTTGAAATTTTATCAGCATCGATGAGCTGCCTGATTTGCTCCGGGACTATATCCCAGAAAGTACGATCATTTTCCGCCAGTTCAGTTTGAAGCCGAATGCCTTCGTAAAAGAGGCGATCGATATCAGTCAGGGTGTCAAACTCATCTGGAGTGGCAGTGAAGTGCGTGATTATGGTCGGAACGAGACGGTGAACAATGGCTCTAAGACGTCCAGAAGAAAATGCTTCAGTTTTCACCTGCTCAAAGTCCTCGTCGCGAGGGACATAATTCTTGCTTGTCACGGCTAGCCTGAACTCTGCACGAGGATCTGATACGTGCCCGACAAGATTAGTCGACGAACTTAGAAGCTTGGAGAAAGGATTACCTGACTTGGTTGGAGGGCGACCTGTTCGGCATCTTCTTGGATATGGCACCGCGCCACCTGCAACAGGTCTAGCCAGCTTCTTATCTTTATCCGGATTTCCAAGGTCGTTATATACGTCGTAGTCGTAGATCCTTTCCCACGGTTTACGCATGTCCGTTCCATCTCCTTGTAATGTTTTGAGTTCAGAGGCACGAATATCTTTGAGTCCCCGAGGAGTAGAAGAAGGAAGATAAGCCTATCGCGAAAGCCGCATTAGCATTTTAGAAAAAGTAATTTCCAGGCAGTACCTCGTTGGAGAAGAACACTCGTTGAGACACCTCGTTTTCCTGAGAATGAACCCAGGAGTAGCATGAAAATGAAATCAATCCAGTCTTCAGGCCCTGGAGAGAGATCGTCTCGAGGAAAAACTCTGCCTTATGTCTGTTTGCAACGAGAATGGCCCCTGGTTTCCCAAACTGGTCCTCAATTATGAATTCACCGGCATATTCAACCGTGTGTTCTCCTGTAGAAACCTTCCGAAGTGTCGTGTTCTTGCTTCTTCTTCCAAGGCCGCTACCTGTCAAGAACCGCACTACATTATAGCCTGAGCTAAAAGTCAAAAACTTACTCGGATCCACTTCAGTACTAACGAGCTGCAGAACAATATCCTCGCCGAGGGGGTCTTGGACAAAGAAGTCCAATCCCTTGCGAAAGATGTCCGTAACTTTGTTGCCAGGCCGCTTCTTGATGGTAACAATTGCTCTGAGAGTCACCGGCTTGCTGCGGGAGACTCGGTCTGCAACAGCTTGCTCAGCAACATCTGCACTCTTCAGAGTGTTCTTGACAGGCACTACCCCTCTCGTTAGCCTCAGAGAAGGACGATTAGATCTGGACCAAGTCTTTGCAGAGAAAGCAAACTCAGAGTGATCCCCGCAAAGGGTCTCCTTGCTACTCGGCAGATAACTAGCAGAAATCGAACCCGTCAGTGCCAAAGACGCCATTACAATCTAGGGAGGACGCACTTCTAGTCCTATTAAACCAGACGCATTGCAGCTAAAGGAGACTCTTATCGCTACACCAGCAGCCAAAGGCGAATGGCCTCACCTAGTACGGGTAGCCGACATATACATCCACGTGGAAATTGTTTCCTTTGATTTGTTCTTGCGGTCAAAACCGCAAAGTCATTGTTCTTGACCTGTATGTAAAAATCCTTCAGACTCCATACATTCCACGCCATAGCGGACATTGAGAGAATTAACTGTGAAATTGTGCCTATGTCACACTCACAGTGCAGACTGCTGCCCTCCAGCTACAAGCTCTTCCACTTTTGGAGACGCTCTAATGATACCTCTGGTAATGTATGCTTGATTGTTTTCTTCGATGCTTTCTACCCTGGAAGGAAACAAGAATAAGTGTTGACTTGCTTGCTCATGTTACACACCTGTAAAGATAGTTAACCATCATCCCTGCACTCTCTTTGAGCCCTTTCTTGGATTTATTGCCCATCCAGTTCAAACGTTCCATACTCTGTAGAATTCACGCGAAGCTTCAGAATGAAAAACCGTGGACTTCACTTACAGCCCCATTGCGTAGATGGAAGTTTGCTACCGGATCCAATGCCTTTCCACGTTTCTTTTCAAGTAGAAGATATCTGCCCAAAGGAGTTGGTCAAAACCATCAGGAAAAACTAGTCTCATACCTTGCACATAATCTCATGAGAGGCACCTTAAGAACTGCTGATAGTTGTTCGGACTCGCCCCACTGAGGATCCGATGCTCCCAAAATTCTATACATTATTGACTCGCCGCTCGTATCATCGTCTCTGTCAGGACTGTTGTAATTGCTATTACAGTAAAAAACACCTTTGAACTTATGTTACCCGCAGGCGTCTTTCAAAGCTTTTTCTTCGTGAGCCAAAAGCAACTTCTCTTTGAAGGCCCTCTGCTCATTTCCTTCGAAACAGAACGACGCGAGTTTAGGAAGCAGCCATTTCAGAAAGAACGGTATTGGGCTTAAAGTTGAGAAAGTCTGAAACAAAAGTTGTGAGCACAATAGCATACAGGGTTTACTATATACCTTAATTTGAGGCATATCTTGCTGCAGTAAGCGGAGCACCCGTTTGATAAGGAAGTTTCCCAAATCTATACCTGACAAGCCTGCCTGTGTATTTAGCATTATTTATAAGCAAAAGGAAACTATACACAGAGCAAAAAATGTAGAACCTGAGTCGAGGAAATAGCATAAAAGATCGCATGTGTCGCATCTTCTTCGGAAATAGGTGGCTTGTCAAACAATACTCCCTTTCAGAACATGAAGAAACGTTATAAGCTTCCGCAAAAAGCAAGACAACAAAACCATACCTGAATGGAATTACTAATGGTGTCCGTGAGGGCGACTTCTATGAACACAAGCGGTTCCCCTAAGAAAAACAAGTTGCACTACTTAGCTCCCCTGTATAGACATTTACCTGGCATAGCAGGATGGAAATAACCAAAACACCGACGACCAATGCCTAATCGTCGCTTAAGATCGTACAAATTACTGATAGGATGCACAGCCTGCATAAAAACAAGACTCGACAATCAATGTCTTCTCAACCACCAGAAAACTACCTCATATCGGACAATCTTTTCAAGCAATGAAGCTGCGTCATTCCAAGTAACCTGGTGAAGTTCCAGACACGCAGGACTTAACCACGTTGAAAATAGCGCTCGCAACTCGAGATCGAGAGCTCTCAGCGCTGGAAGGTTGTCATCACTGCAAACACCACTGGTTCAAGTGGCCAAGTGAGAAAACAAAAGATACCGTAGAGCAGAAAGCAGATCAGCACGTAGGTCCACCAAAAACTTCAAGCCACCGGCTTGGCCATTCATCTGCTCAAACAATCTCACCGATAGTGGCATCAAGGAAGCTCTCAGATCCCGCTGTGTTCGAAACTGGGCTGCTTCGAGAGGATTTTCTCCGTCACCAGCTTTGCTTTTCTCATCTGAAAGATAGAGGAGAACATTACTCAAACGACACCAAAACTAGCCTTTCGTACCATCGTGCAAGCTAAGATAATGCTGGATGAGATCCTTCACTCGTTTCTTGTCAACTCCGAATTCCGTGGAGAGTATCTTGAGGGCCCTTTGCCGATTATCCCAATCCAAGCGTTCATACTCCTAGAAATGCTGAGTGCTGGCAAACTTAGACCCAGATCAATCACAAGTACAGCGTACTACCTCTCGGAGCTGGACGAGGTTCTTATCCGGCATGTCGGGATTTTGCAAATGGATCGCATCGTGCATAAGCTTTTGCACGCGCTTGAGGATTCTCCGATCAAAACAATGGTTTTAGCTATAAGAGATTGTCGTTACAAAAGGAAAACCTACCTCTTCGACAGCTCGGTGTCTTCGATCAGCGACACATTCTTGGAGGCGCTTGGATTCTCGGCCCGAGGGATCGATTGCTTCATAATACCTTCTGGCTGAGAGAATCCCGTGGATCTGAGCTTGCAGGAATGGAAAATCAAAGAAAACTCACGATTTTGCCCTCGTCGCGATGGCGCATTAGGTACCTCGCTCCTACTCGCCGCCACATTTCAAAACAACCTAGCTCGATAAAGCCGTACAAGTGGCGCACAATTTCGTGCCATTTGGTAGTTCGTGTCGTACCTCTATTGGGCCATATGGGTCACTGCCAGCTCGAGGCCATGGTGGTGGAGGCGCCACACGCTAGGGCAGCTGTGAAGGGGAGAGCGCGGGCCAGGGTTTCGCGCGTTGCGCGCCTCGACGATCCGGAGGAGCTACATTCTAGGATCCTTTAGTTCCTCGTTTCGATCGATTCTTCTCCAAATCGATCGCTCGGCGGCAGCGGCTCTGAAATATGCATCCGCGGCAGCAGATCCGCTCGGCCAGGCCGGTGACTTGCCATTCTCTGGCGCAGTCGGGCGATATCGATGGATTGCGCGTATTGCTTCACCAAAATCCGTCATTGATCAACTCGCGAAACCCTGTGGTGAGTTCCTCGAGTGATTTCCCTCTTTCTCGGCTCTAGCAATGGATTGTCTGAAATCTTCTCTTCTACGGCAGATGTCCCAGACCCCTTTGCAAATGGCAGCTGCCAGCAACCAGGATGATGCCGTGAGGTTCTTGCTCGAATGGAATGGACCGGAGAGAGCCGATCTCGAGGCTACGAACATGGTACGTATGCTTTACTGTCATTTGTCTACTTCAGTTTTTAGTCGCTCTCTCGCAGTATGGAGAGACTGCGCTGCATCTAGCAGCGAAGAATGGCTCTACCGGCGCTTTGAAAGTACTCTTGAAGCACAACGCGCGCAAAGAAGCCAAGGCTCTGGTAAGTTTCTATGCCTCCTCCAATGTTTACGTAGACTCAATGCTTTTTTTTTTCAGAATGGAATGACGCCTTTGCACTTGGCTGTCTGGTCTTCCGTGAGAGCGCAAGACTGTAAAGCAGTCGAGGTGCTCCTGGAGCACAACGCTGACGTATCTCTGGAGGACAACGTATGCAATTTGTTCTTTTTCTTTCCCTGATCGTACTCAAGTTGTGAACAGGAGAAGCTCACTCCGCTAAGCCACCTTCCGAAGAGCTCGGGAAACGAGAAGCTGCAGGAAATGCTGGAGCGCCAGCTCGATCTGCAGAGGAGGCAGAAAGCGAAAAAAGCGTTGTCGGGCTCAAAGCTGAAGATGCTGGAGCTGGAGAAAGAACTTGAGAAAATTGTCGGTCTAGACGACCTCAAGCTCCAGCTTCGCAAGTGGGCTAAAGGAATGCTCCTGGACGAGAAACGACGAAGCCTTGGCTTGAACGTTCCCAAAAGAAAGCTGCCTCACATGGCATTCCTTGGCAATCCCGGTACAGGTATGCAGCCATGCTTTTTTTTGTAGAGTTCTATGCTCATCAGAAGTTCTGACCGTCGTGAACAGGGAAAACCATGATTGCGCGTTTGCTAGCCAAACTCTTACACATGGTTGGCGTCTTGGAATGCGATAAAGTTGTTGAGGTCCAGCGAACTGATCTGGTTGGCGAGTTCGTCGGTCACACGGGCCCAAAAACAAGGAAAAGAGTAAGCATCTATCTCTACGTAGAACGCCTTCTAATGTTTCTGTCTCTCTTTTTCCTTGTTCAGATCAGAGAAGCTGAAGGAGGCATTCTCTTCGTGGACGAGGCCTACAGACTGATACCAGCGCAGAAAGCAGATGACAAGGACTACGGAGTTGAGGCGCTGGAGGAGATCATGTCAGTCATGGACAGTGGCAAGGTAGTGGTGATCTTTGCTGGCTACGCAGAGCCCATGAAGCGGGTCATCGCAAGCAACGAAGGCTTCTGCCGGAGGGTGACCAGGTTCTTCCACTTCCCCGACTTCAGCACAGAGGAGCTGGCAGAGATGATCCACCTCAAGCTCAAAGAGCAACACGAAGACTCGCCAACCTTCGGCCTCAAGCTCGAACCGGGATGCACGGCAGGAGCCATTGCGGAGCTCCTGGACCGCAAGACAACAGAGAAGCAGCGCAGCGAGATGAATGGTGGCCTCGTCTGGCCGCTGCTCGCCAACGCCAAAGACCACCTCGACTACAGACTAGACCTGGACTGCTGCGATTCGGACGAGCTCGTGTCCATCACTCTCGAGGACCTCGAAGCCGGTTTGGAGCTCATTCCCAGGCAGCAGTCACTCTAGAGAAACACGTTCATTCATCGATCGACGTACATTTTCGACGCTATAGATAGCTACACGACAGCAGTATTCTTTCGTCACGGACGGCCATCGACTCGCCACGTGTTTTCGACCAGAGCCACTAGACTGAGGATATTTCTCGTGTGCCGGGCGTGTGGCTTCCAGGTTCCAACAACAACAATGGTGGGGGGTGGCATTCTCGGTACCGGATTTCAGCTAGCAGTGGTACCAGCAGCAGTGAGAACTCCTCTTGCATCGTCGAGGAGCGTGAGAGTGCGTGCTCAGGTCCAGGAGGGAGAAGCATCATCGGTGGTGCTCAATCCCTCTATCCGAAAAGACGTGGAGAAAGTGGTCGACACAGTGGTGGTGGGAGAGATCTCCAAGCCGGTGACAGCATATTGCAGGTGAGTAACGCTTTTCACTTCTTAGTTTCCATCTAGAGATTGTATTGGGACTACATCTAACTGGAATGGCTTTTACTTCCAACAGGTGTTGGAGATCTGGAACATTTCCTCTGTGTGATGGGTCTCACATGAAGCACAACAAAGCCACTGGTGACAATGTTGGGCCACTCTTGCTCAAGAAATAGAATATTCTTTGGTTAGTCTATTCTGCCTCTTTTTAGAGTGAAATAAACTTCTATTTTTTTATATTCTTTTTAGTTTAGATTTAATATTAATTTGAAGGTAATTATTGTTTTCTCTATGTTTGAGATTTTTATTTTAAATAATTATATTGCATGGAATATGGAAAGGGAATACAGAAAATGTGCATATCAATTAGCCCAAAAACCCTAATTTATATATAGGAGCAAGTGGTCCAAATTGAAATCAATCTGATAGCTAATACTAATATTAGTATACAGCATCATAGCCATACACTTGGCCCTGACATCATCCCCTCCTCTCGGAATAATGAAAAACCATCAAGGTTCTCTTGTAAATGGGCCGGGATCTAGAGGAACGTCAGGAGGAGGTATCAGTGGATCTATAAGTGGTATTGACTGCTCCTGATCCCTTTGTATAAAGCGTTTCCATTGCTACACATACACAATCTCTAGAGGATCGGCCTGCTGGACGTCATGCCGAACCTCATAAACTTGTGGTCCAACTTGCTGCAACACCTGATACGGTCCTTTTGTAAGCAACCAAAGAGAACGATTTGAGAGACGATCCATAGAGTTCAAATATAGAGGGAAAGGGCCCATGAACAAGAGTGCACCCCCTTTTCCAATCGGTTAAGGGTCTTGGGATATTTGGGGTTAAGCGTCCTTGGGTTTGAATAGTACTAGGCTGGGTGACCTCCCGGGAAGTCCAAACTCAGGAGCTCACATTTAGTATCAGAGAGGTCTCAGGTCCGACTCTGTTGGTACTGGGCTAAGTGACCTCTTGGGAAGTCCAAACTCAGGAGGTTACATTTGGTATCAAAGCGGTCTCAAGTCCGACTCTGTTGGTACTGGGCTAAGTGACCTCTTGGGAAGTCCAAACTCAGGAGGTTACATTTGGTATCAAAGCGGTCTCAGGTCCGACTCTATTGGTTGGCTAAGGGAATCACACCACATGTTGATTGACATCTGGCTGGTCTAGTTTGCTTCCGCTGGGCTCGACCCGAGGGGTAGGGTGTCAAGAGAGCGGGGCTCTCGGGGTAGGGTGTCAAGAGAGCGGGGCTCTCGGGAGAGCTGCAGCTCTCAGCTTCTGTTCACGAGGGCATGAACTTGTAGGGAAGCGTGGTGGATTGTAAGAAACCAAAGAGAACAACTTGAGAGCCCGAGGGGTAGGGTGTCAAGAGAGCGGGGCTCTCGGGAGAGCTGCAGCTCTCAACTTCTGTTCACGAGGGCATGAACTTGTAGGGAAGCGTGGTGGATTGTAAGAAACCAAAGAGAACAACTTGAGAGCCCGAGGGGTAGGGTGTCAAGAGAGCGGGGCTCTCGGGAGAGCTGCAGCTCTCAACTTCCGTTCACGAGGGCATGAACTTGCAGGGAAGTGTGGTGGATTGTAAGAAACCAAAGAAAACGACTTGAGAGACGATCTATAGGGTTCAAATATAGAGGGAAAGGGCCCATGAACAAGAGTGCACCCCTTTTTTCAATCGGTTAAGGGTCTTGGGATATTTGGGGTTAAGCGTCCTTGGGTTTGAATAATACTGAGCTGGGTGACCTCCCAGGAAGTCCAAACTCAGGAGTTTACACCTTTCTACTACACAAGAAGCCCCTTAGATAAATCACGTACTGTAAGATGGGGAAAATGGATTAACACTAAATCATCCACTTTGTATTTCGCAGGTGGACGATGATGGGAGTTGTAGCACTATTGTTGTCCCACTTGTACACGGCTTAAGTGTTCAGCAGACTTTACTCAGACAAGTGGAAGAATGCTCATCAAATACTGATCCCACAACTTATCATTAGCAGCTTGTAGCAATTGCGAAGGTAAACCTAGCTCCGTTGGTTGACCATATAGGAGTTTATATGGTGAAGCACCAACAGAACTCTGCACCCTTGTGATATATGCATACCAAAAAGATGGCAAATAACCATCCCAATCCGAATGCTGAAAGCTCACATACTTCGCAATCATCCCTTTAAATGTCCAAACGAGCCATTCCACTAGACCATCTGATTGTGGATGATAAGCACTCATGAAAGTGTGGCGTATCCCTAAGTGAGATGTCAAAACATGAAATGCCTCAGCCATAAATGCGAGACCATTATCCGAAAGAATCCACACTAGACAAGAATGCTGAAACACCACTTAATTGAAGAGGAAGTATCCAACAACAGTTGCAAAGGCACTAGTAAGAGCACCAACTTCCACCCAACGAGTCAAGTAGTCAGAAGCAATAATAACATACTCATTGCCAACAGTCGACCGTGGAAAAGGTCCCATAAGATCAAACGCCACTAACTCAAACAGATGGGATGCAATTGACTCCAAACCGTCCTTCCGCGGCACGAGGGGGAGTATTATGAACTTGGCACCAAACGCAGCTATGGACATACCAGATAACATCATGTCGCATCTCCAGCCAATAGAAAGACTTGCGCAGCTTCTCAGTTACACGACAATGTCCCATGTGCCCACCTAGAACAGGAGAATCATAGTAGGCATGGAGAAACCATGGAATAAAGACAGAAGGCACCACCAGCCATAAATGATCATCAGGATCCATCTCCACAAAATAAAGAAGGCCATCTTCAAGGCAATATTGAGAATGTAAATGCTGAAAAGGCAAGTCATCAGCAAGTGATCTAGGATTCTCAAACCCCCCTCGAAGCCTTTGAATACACGGCTCAAGCTTTTGAGCCTCGCGAACCCCATCAAGAGAAGGTAGATCTTGCTTTGCGCCTTGTGGACACTGAATATCAAGTATAGCAACTGTCGACAACATAGAATCCTCGTCTAGAAAATCCACAGATGCTAAAACAACAGGCTCGCCAGAAACATGAGAAGAGAGTGGAGAAGAAAGAGGAGCTCGAGAAAAGGCATCAACATCAGCCATAGAACTCCCTAAGTGATGAACAACATCAAAATCATATATCTAAAACTTCAAAGCCCACCGAGCAGTACGACCAACTAGGTTCTTCCACTTCAATAATGAAGTAATGGTAGCATGGTCACCTTCAAGTAACGTTCAAGAACCATGTAAATATGCATGAAGTTTCTCATGAAGTTTCTCAACTACTGCTAAACACTCGTTCTCTATCATGGAGTAGTTCATCTCCGCTGGTTATAATGTACGGCTTATATACACAATAGGATGATGCTGACTAAGCACACTCAAGCTTTCTTGCATCAACACTCCTCCAAGACCAATGTCAGAAGCATCCACGCACAAAATAAAAAGTCGAGTGTAGTTAGGATATACCAAAACTGGAGGAGTCATCAATAGCTCTTTGAGATCCACGAATGCCAGCTCACAATCCAGAGACCAGATGAAAGATGACGTTAATGACTTCAGTAACGCTCGCAATGATACAGTGCGATAAAAAAGATGATCCACAAAACAACCGAGATACTACACCTTGCCCAAGAAGTGTTGCACATCATTCACACACTTCAAAGTAGGGAACTTTAGAATAGCCACAAGTTTGTCAGGATCAATTTGCAAACCCTCACAAAAAATACAATACCCAAGATAAGTTGAGTCTTTGGACCCAAACATGCACTTTGACCACTTCAGCTTTAAACCAACATTTTGTAGCCGATCCAACACATTACAAACATCACAAATATCACAAACAATAGTCATCTTCGATATATTGCAAAGAACCCCATCCATCATTCATTAGAAAGTTGCTGGAGCATTGTTTAAACTAAACAGCATCACCAAGAACTCATACAAACCAAATGGTGTATGAAAAGCAGTCTTAAGAATATCTTCTTTGGCCATCAGTACTTGCCAGTACCCAGAAGCAAGATTTAGTTTGGTGAACTAACGATTTCACCTCTGACGATCCAAAAGATCAGCAGTGTGAGGAAGAGGGTATACATCCGGGATCATCACTTCATTTAATGGATGATAGTCGATGCAGAAACGAATATTCCCATCAAGCTTCATCACAAGATGAGGTTCACATGGCCAAAGACTCTGCGACTTTTGAATAACACCTTTCTCCAACATCTCCTTGACATTTACACATAAAATATTGATCTCTTTGGGTGATCGACGATGAACAAGAACCTTGATTGGACAAGCATCCCTAGTTGGAATCGGATGACTTGTGGTAATCTTGGCCCCAGACAATAGGTCAAAGTCAAAGAGATCAGAATACTCTTTCATGAGCCAGTCAACCACTGCAACACAAAAATTGTCAAAGGGATCAAAAAAGGGAAGAGCAAAATAAGATGGAAATATAGGAGGAAATAGTGGGGGGACAAAAGTAATGGAAGCAGAGGTAAAAGTAAAAAAGCTCTATTTCGTTAAAGTGGGATTTATTCAGTAAAATGGGACTAGGTACAAATTTTCAAGTATTTGAAAATGACGTGAAATTATATGTTTTATGTCCAGGGGCTAGACATATCTGGGGCATGGTGACTAGCGCGGTGACTTTGTGTCCAGACTGAGTCCATCTGGTTGTATAATAAATCTCATTGTCAAGGTGAACAAGCCGAATCTGAAGCTAAAGAAGAGCGATGGCATGCGCGCACACACTATTTGTTTGTTCATTGAGCGTGTGGTGAGCTTTCCAAGATGAACATCATTCCTATTAGCCAGACATATAACTTAATGGTGAGAACATTTAGATATTATTCAATGCACGTCTTTTTCTAGTCCATTTTGTCGTGGATGATGCAGAGGTAAGAGTCAGGTCTCTCCATGGAGAGAACTTGTTATGATAATATGTAGTCCTGCAGCTTCTCTGCTCGATGTTGTGGTCGAGCCACCTTCTAACCAACGTCTCTCGCTCTTGAGCGATGCAAGAATTCTTCGACAAAGCCATTTTGATAGCAGTGCACTCGTCACACTTTGAAAAGCTGGAGTACTTTCCTATACTCACATCCCTGAACCTGTTGCTCCACAATCTACTAAATCTAGATTGGCTCAACTTCCTGTGCCATTACTCTGGAATTCCCGATTCACATCTTCCAATATGGCCCCCTTGGTATACATGGAAGGGAGAACTCGTTGGGTGTCTCGAGTTCCATCTTCC